CATTGTACTAACTTTGAATAGAAATCTAAAAGTTATATTCGTACTCTGGGCTCTCCTCCAGGAGAAAACAATTGCTCCAGAGCAATGTAATAAGCTTTCAGTGCTAACTCAATTGCTTTGGACTTTACTTTTTTCTTTCAATTCTGTTGCAAAATCTGTATACTTCATCTGATTTTGTTATAATTCTGAAAGGTATTAATTTAGAGGTCACAATAAGATAAAAATAGAATTTAGTATGAAAACATTAAACAGGAAAACAAATTTTTTGTTAAGAGGAAAGTTCAATGTAGGTAAAACTGTTGGAAAAATTTATGACCCAAATGATGTTTCTGTGAAATACATAAAGAAAAAAAATCATTGGAAACACAAGGATAAATGACATCAATACAACGGTAAATTGGTGATTTTAAATTGTTTTAACTTCTTTGAAATAACAAGTTAGGCAAGCAAATAAAGATTCAGGGGAACCTCCAGTCAAGGTTACAAGTGACTGCCATGCTGTAAAATCCAAGTCATTTCTCAGTCTTTAGCTTACTTAATCTGTTCCAGTAGAATCTGACACAATTGGTTACTCCCTTTCCCTGAAACATTTTTCTACTTCACTTTTGGATTTTTTTCAACCTTATGGCTGCATCTCTTCAGTCTTCTTTGCTGCAATTTCTGCAACTCTTGAACCTCGAAATGTTCGAGTGTCTCAGAGCAGCCTTTCCTAAAGCCAAAGTTGCTCTCCAGGTGATTTCATTTAGGCTTGGTTCAGTAATACCAACTAGATGTTGATAGTACATCTTCATATCCCCAGCCCGGATTTCTTCCTTAATATTCAGACTTATATGTCGGCTTCCTTCTTCACATCTCCATATTGATAATACAGAAAGAATTCAAATTTAGCACATTCCAAACTGAATTCTTCCCCTTCCCAAACTTGTGTTTCTATCTGTTTTGTCAATTCTTCTAGTTTCTCAAGCCACAAGCCTTAAAATTATATGGTTCTTCTCTTCCATATCACCCATACATTTAATCTACAAGCAAAGCCTGTTGGCTCTATCTTCAAAGTATATAGAGAATTTAACTCTTTCTCAATACTTATAATACAAGCCAAAATCATACCACACATGGATTATTTCAATAGCTTCTTAATTAATCTGCTTTCAAATACCTTTGCCCCACCCCAGGTCTGGTCTCAATATGCTAATTAAAGTGATTCTTTACATTTAGGTACATTACACCTACAGATAAAAATTCATAAGTTTGAGATTCAGGGGACAACAGTAGAATAACTAGGGAAGATTACCAAGAGTAAAGATGTTTCATTAGATAACAAGGCTAAGATACCCACACCCTCAAATTCCCAATTACTGTGTATGGCTGTGAAAGTTGGACAGTAAAGAGGGATGACGGGAGCTTTACAGATACCCTGGCCCACTGGAAAGATGGACAACTGGGTCTTAGAGCAAATTAAACCTGAAACATCCTTGGAGGCAAAAATGGCAAAATTGAAGCTGTCTTACGTCGAGCACATCATGACAAGGCAGGGTTCTTAGGAAAAGAGAACAATATTGGGAAAAACAGAAGGCAACAGGAAAAGAGGGAGACCAAATATGAAATGGATGACTCCAAAATGGCAGCCATAGGCATGAGTCCACTGGAACTGAGCAAGGCTGTTGAAGACAGAACATTGTGGAATGACTCATTCATAGGATCGCCAGGACTTGGACCTGACTCAATAGTACATCAGCACACACACACACACACACACACACACACACACACACACAAACTATGCCACTTTTTTACTTAAAACCCACTGTGGCTTCCCATCTAACTCAGAGTAAAGTGCAAAGTCTATACAATGCCCCTACAAGATGGTCCCTTTCTGCCCTCTTCTCTTTCTCCTTTTTCAGGCTACTGGCCTCCTTGCTGTTTTTCAAGTTACCAATTAATTTCCTGTTCAGAGTTTTGTCTTTGTGATTCTTCTTTCTTGGAAAACTGACCTCAGATATGTGTGGGCTGACCTCCTTATCTCCTCACACTTCTACTCATTATCATCTACTGGATGATGTCTTCCTTCACTGCTTCATCTTCTAAAAGGCACACTGGGGAGAGGAAGAAGCATGGGTCTAAAAATTAACAGGAAAATGTGAGAAACGTGTTTCTCCTCCATGAGAAAGTTAAAGATCTGGAGTGAGTGAGTGTGTGTGTGAGAGAGAGAGACAATCTAAGATAACTGGCCTTGAAGAGGATGAAAAGGTGGTGGGGGATAGAATGTAACCTGTGCTCTTGCCTATACACTAAATTGCAAAGAAGACCATCACTGGATCCATTGCCACTGTGACACATAAATCAGAAGCAGCGGCCTAGATTTCCTGGTGTCAGCAGGATTACATTATCTATATTTTTCTGGAGTGAGCTTTGGTAGTGTCTATCTTTCAAGGCATTTACCCATTTCATATAAGTCATAAAATTTATTGGCAAAATAGTTTTCAATATTTTAATATCTATGGGGATGTCACCTCTCATTCCTAATATTGGTAAACTAAACAATGCTGTGGATGTGACAAACAGTTCAAAAAAAGTGAGCACAGAGCAGCCACTCTTAGGGGTTAACTCTTCCGAATTTTCCCCTGTCCCTTCACACCCCACCCCAATTGAGAATCACCATATAAGGAATTTGTCTCCCTCAAAGAGAGTTATGTGAGATTCTAGAGAATTGCTTGATAGCATGGAATTAAATTGGTAATAAATAATAGTGGTGTCCCTGAATATCCCAGAATGTTCATGAACTAAATCACTCATTTCATGAAAATGAAAATACAACATATCAGAATTTGTGGGATGCCACCAAAACAAGGAAAATCTCAAACTAATGAACTCAGCTTCAACCTTAAGAAACTTAAAAGTAAAAGGAAGAAATAAAAAAGAAAAAATAAAAGAAAGTAAGCATATGAAAGGAAATAATAAATATAAAAGTAGAAATTAATAAAATAGAAAACAGGAAAAGCAATCGATAAAAATCAATGAAACCAAATGCTTGTTCTTTGAGATTAATAATTTTGATAAACCTCTAACCAGATTTATCAATGGAAAAGAGAGAAAAGACAAATTACCAGTATTAGGAGTGAGAGAGGTGACATGAAGCAAATATGTATGTAAATATGTTCCTATTATACCATTCTATCTTTATTACACATATTACAAATGTTGTTCTATACCTTGATTTCTTCACTTAAAAATATAATCTTGACAATCACTCAATATTATGCATAAGTTTTTTCCTAAGTTTTTTAAGAAATCAGCTTCATAGAATTTGTTTGTGTGGATATGCTATAGTTTATTAACCAACTTTCTACTGATGGACATTTGGATTATTTGCCATTTTCTATGGCAAATAATGCCACAATGAATAATGTAGTACTTTAGGTATTTAGCAACAGTGGCAGTGTATTTTAATATATGTACTTATTGGAAATTTTTTCAGCTCAAAGGACAAATGCATACATTTTTTTAGACATTGCCAAATTTTCTCTTATAGCTATTGCATTGCCATTTTGCATTCAAATCAATGGATGAGAATACCTACTTCCCAACAGTTTTATCCTCAAAATATATCACCAAACTTTCAGATTTTTACCAATTACATAGGTGAGAAATGATATTGGGGTGTTGTTTAGATTTGCATTTTTCTTTTTATAAACATCTCTCTTCATGGTTAAGGCCCATTCGTTTTCTTCTTCTTGTGTACTATCTGCTTTTATCATTGTACCATTTTTATCAGATTGTTGGTCTTTTTCTTTTTCCCTCCAGTTTCCAGGAGCTCTTTGTATATTATAATGCAGATTGCAGCTATCTTTTCTCAGTTTTTCCTCTTGGTTTTTGACTTTGCCTATAGTATTTTTTCATGTAAAGTCTTAGAAAAAAATTTTATGTAGTTGAACTTATTTCTTTTTCTAGCTTTTGCATCATAGTTTAAGTAATTTTCTCCAAATTATTTGTATTTCTTTTAGTATTTTTATGGGTTTTTTTCTTTTTACTTTTGGATCTTCGGTCTATTTGCAATCATTTTTGTGTACGTATAGACATTTGAATATAATTTTACATTTTTAAATTGTATTTCTCTCTCTTGATTGCCAGTGCCAATATAATTATAATTATTATAATGTTTTAGAATTTGCTTGACTGTCCAGTAGTGCGGCTTTACACTACCCCTCACCCTAGTCCTTTTCTTCTTAGGGTTTCCATGATTATTCTTGCTCAGTCAGTGGGTAGGTGCCCCAGCTCCCTGGTTCTCTGGCAGGGCGATTCTAGGAACTCTTCCACTCCTCTGGAAGTTCCCAGTAAGACTGCACCCAGTTGCCTGCACTGTTACTCTTGTCATTAACACCCGATTTATTAGTGTTTGTTAAAAAAAAATATGTACTTAAAAATATTTTCACAGTTAAGATCATGTTCTAAATATAGATTAAAAAACTTGGGTGATTGGTTTAGATAACAGTACTGATCCTTATTATATACTTGTTTTCCAAAAGCTTTGGCTATATGGGTACCTGTTTTGCTATTTGTTTACAAGAATATGATATCTTAATTGTTTTTTTTTCATAGTTCTATCAGGTATAGAAATGTTTTACTTTTAAATTAAACTTGCTTTGGTTACTAGCAAAATTTAACATCTTTCTAGTTGTGTTTTCTCTTTGGTAAATTATTTATTTTAGTTCTTTTTCTCTTAGCATTTGCAGTATTTCAAGATATTTTTTCAGTTGTCTATTTGATTAAGTACTGTGCATACTTAACCTGTGGACTTTTTTTTTTCCTAACCAATAGATTTTTTCAGTGAAACACAGAGATAATTTTTTCTTAGTTAATAATTAACAAGACGACTGCAGTGTGATCAAATAACAATCAAATATGAGGTATGTGAGAAATAGGTTAAACAGGTTACATTTTTACTAGTAGTGCCTAAGAATAATATAAAAACCTGATTTTCCTCAATCACATTACTTTCCTTTGTGAATGTGATTTCTAAAGAAATGAAACAGTTAAAACTTACAGGATTTATTATTTTCTTGTTCTTTTTGACTGAATCCCTAAATTTGCCCACAAAGCCTCAAGATGTAGGTAAGAAATTTACTTGTATAAATCAGCTAAGGAATGACTAAGTTGGGATAATTTCTATTATTTTAACCTATATTCTTTCAACTTAATTTTTCACTTGTTTTTTCTTCCCCACATCCCTACTAGTTTATATATTCTGATCAGATACCCTGAACTACCCCAGACTTTGTATTTTGGTAGCCACATTACCTAATCTATAGACAGAGACAGTTACCACACCCAGAAAATGGTCACCAGTCTTAATGCCAGTATAGAAAGTGTTTCTGGGAGATATAATTTGGATTTGAAAATACTTGTATTTCTTGCAAATGTGTAGAGTACATAGTTACAGTGGAATGATAAATTTGAGTTGGGATTTTTCTGGAACCTTAAGTTGTTCAACATACCTCTTAACTGGGTAGAAAACACCTTTAGGGCATGTAGGACCCTGCTTCCTCCAACTGTACGGTTTATAAATCTCCCAAGCCTGTACACCCCTTGCCCACAAGTCTATCCAAGGCAGTGTCAGCCTGAAGGAAAAGGTGATTTCATATTTCTTCCCACCAAAAAGGGGGCATTTTTATCTTCATATGATCAGAGGAGGTGTCTCTTTGTAATCCCTTTGACCTGAAAAGAACACCTGTTTGTAACTTGCACAAAGGTGCCGTAAGTGTCACAGTGACCCCAAAGATGAGGACTGTGTCTTATTCAATTTGATACCCTCCACAGTGCCTGCTTGTGAAACCCAGTCACAAGGCTCAAACATGAGTGGTCATTCTTGAGTTTTCCTTCTTTTCCCTTTGTAACAACCTGTTCAAAAATTCTATTTATTTCTGTCTCTATCTTTTACGTCTATGTTTTCCTTTACATTGCCATTATCCTTTCAAAATACATGTCCCATTGGTTTTTAAATAAGACGATTGCAAAAGTCTGATGAGTTTCTTTCTTTTTCCCATCCACCCATTCAGTCTACCATTCATCTATTTGACAAAAAGTACCTGTCACTTTCTATTTATCAGGCACTGCGGGAGATCCCAACATATTAGATAAACTACTACCTGGCTGACATTTCTTGGCACATAGAAATAATCATTTTACATAAACATTTCAATGGCTCTTTATGGCTTCCAACTGAAGCCTGAACTCCCAGCTTTGTATGCAAGACTCTCATAATCTGGACCCAGGTCCTTTTTATATTAGGTTCCATAATCCTTCTTTATGACCCATGTTCTCTTCAAAGTGGACTATTTGACCTTCCCTAAAAACATCTTAGGATTTCTTGCCTTTGTACTTTTACTTACATCATTTTATCCACACAGAAAGATGGGCCTCCTTATTTTTTTTGTTAGTGGAAATCTTGTACATTTTTTCAGATTCAACTCATGTGCCGCTCCTTGTATAATCTATTTCTAATTCTTCACCCAGGGATCATAAAGCATTCCTGTTAGATACTTACCCACATTATTTTAGACTGTCATATACATTTTATTTTTTCATTTTTCTTTTTCTCTTTTTTGAGATGTACTTCTTTTATTAAAAGTTATATTTTGATTATACTATTACAGTTGTCCTGATTTTTCCCCCTTTCCCCCCCTCTACCCAGCACCTCCCTTGCCCTCAGGCAATGCCCCCACCCTTGTTCATGTCCATGGATCATGTGTGTAAGTTCTTTGGCTACTCCGTTTCCTATACTGTACTTTACACCCCCATGGCTATTTTGTAACTATTTATTTGTACTTCTTAATCCCCTCAACTTTCATCCATTCTCCCATACCCCCCACCCATCTCTTTATCTTTAACTTTTGGCATTTTAATTATTATGTGTCTTGAGGTGGGCCTCTTTGCATCCATCTTGTTTGGGACTCTCCATGCTTCCTGGGCTTGTAAGTCTATTTTCTTCACCAAATTAGGGAAATTTTCTTTCACTATTTTTCCAAATAGATTCCCATTTTAAAATTTTTTTTCAATGATAATTTGTAGTCAATATTATTTTGTATTAGTTTTAGATGTACAGCATAATGGGACCAAAAAGTACAAATTGTTAGTTACAAAATAGTCATGAGGATGTAAAGTATACCCTAGGGAATATAGTCAATAATATTGTAATAATTATACATGATGCTAGGTGGGTATTGGAAATATTGGGGGAACACTTTGTAAAGTGTCTGATTATTTAACCACAATGTTGTCATATACATTGTAAACTGGATTATACATAATCATTTTCATGGGTCACTTGCACTGTGAGTGTACCTAGGAACCTGAGGTCCAAAGGAGATGTCTTGGTCATCATTGATTGCCTTATAACATACAGCACACTACTTTGCAAAGGTAAGGACTCCACAAAAGTAGTCTATGTGGACCAATGTAAATGTGCTAGGATTATGCTCATTGGAAAGGAATCAATGATCTGAGACTAGTCCAGAGATCACCTAAATATATGTCTGGCTAGCACTGTAAACTATACTGACTACCACATGCATGGCAGCTCTTGTTTGGCTCTTCTGTAACGTGACATCACCTATCAGTTTACCTTCCTACTATTACTTTTATAGTCAAACATGATAAATACTTAACATGGAAATGTTTGTTGACATTTGTGGCTGGGGAACAGTCAATGGCAACACTGAAGTCTGTTTAGTTTGAGATTAATGCAAGTCAATTCAATTAAATAAATATGTTATGTACATAATGAGCTGTGATTAAGATTCCATATTTGTTTCATATGACTTTTATTCCTTCTTGTTAATTATACAAAATTATTTCTACCTTAGTTCTCTATTTTATACTTTGTATTGATAAATTTAGGTATACTATATAGTTATTTTATTAGAAAAGTGTTAAATACCAGGATATAGAATAACTTAAATATCTTTGTTTTTCAGATGATTTTAGTACTACCCAGAAATTTATAGAGGAGAATGTTGGATATATGTGAGTTTCTCTTAATTCTTTTTGATGATGATGGTGTTTATCCTAATCTTATCTGATGTATTACAGAACTGTTAATGCTTCTCAAAAGTAATTTAATTAAATAGAAACCATATCAAAAAGTAAACATATTGTTAATCATAAAATTCAGATGAGGTCATTGAATTGTCAAGAAGTTGTATTATTTACAGCCTCACACTTGGATAATTTCCAGAGGCTAGTCAACAAGTGGATGTTCCTATGAACATCTGCCGCATATATTGGGCATATATGGAAATTCTGCAGATAACCATTATGTACTCTGTGTGGATTGTTGCAGCACCATCATTGCATTTGCTCAATATATTCAGGAGGCATCTTTCGAGGAAGTAGAAATGTTGGCAAAAACCATGATGGAATACAAGGATCAATGCTTGGCCAACATGACACTCTCTCAGTGTTTAAAAGTACCTGTAAGTAAGTTTTTCGCATTTCCTAAACAAACTAGCTTATTTGTCAACACTAAGAAAATTTTTGGCTTGAAAATCTAGAGAGAGATACTCTGTGCCCCGTGTTTTATTTCACCTGACTTTGGTATTTAGGATAAGGTGGTTTTCTAAGAGAGATGCAATTCTGTATTATGATGCACAAGGGAACTTGACCATGAGCTTGTAGTCCATGCCATATGTATACAGGCACAGGACAGCCAAAAACCTGGGAAAGTGCACAAAAGTACAAAGCTGCTCTCCTTAGCTGCCTCTCTCGATATGTACTCTACTATCGTACCCTCTTTTCTTGGACTTTCCCACATAGGGTCACCGTCTGCATCTCTAGAAAAGTATTACTAAACTCCACTACTAAATACTTTACCAACACACTCACACTCTGTCTTAATCACCTTGGGAGAGGAGGAAAAAACTGTTATGCAAGTGGAATATAAGCAGCAAAGAAAAAGTAAGAGGTTAAAGAGTCTTAGGGTAGGGGAGAGAAACTTTTATGGAGTATAAGATGGTTGTTAAGGGTGTGGGTCAAGATGCTCCACTGCTGATATTGGGAAAATAGCAACCTTTTCCCCAAAAGGTGACTCTCACTGATCATTGTATCAACTCAGTAGGCTGAGAAACTTTACAATGAATGAAAAATGTCTTTTACTTCTCTGTTGTCCAGCACCATGTTTTACTGGAAGCAATATGTGCTATGGAGGGGCTGCCACAAAAGCATAATTTTTCACACTGCTGCAGTAAGGTTGACAATGAAAGAAGGCTCTGTTTCTTCCGTCATAAGAAAGCTGATGTAGGATTTCTGCCACCTCTCCCTACGCTGGATCCTGAAGTGAAATGTCAAGCTTATAAAAATAACAGTGAATCTTTTCTAAGCAAGTAAGTTTCATTTTAATTAAAAATGATGTAATTGAAGAATTATTCTTAGGCTAAAGAATATCTTATATCTATTTCAAAGGAACATAGTGGTGTTCATTGAGCAATTAAATCATTTACTGTTTATTGTGTGTCAGGTTCTGTGTTCAGTATTGAGAATATAAACATGAATAAGGTAAGAAACGTGCTTTCAAGGTCCTTTCATTAACGATGTGTGTTTTCTAATGTGAGAAGCCCTAGAACAGAGAAGTGTGTGCACGGTGACAAACTGCTAGTGGAGGAAATACTGCTTTTCCAAAGAGAAGGTGCAGCTTTTACTGAGGGTAAACCTGAAGTCAATAAATGTTTAGTAAAAACCTGCTTTCAATAGCACAGTAATTGCACAAGGAGAGACTTTTTCTGGAAGCCGGTGTACTCACTGAAATCTAAATCACAAGTTCATAAGAACATAAGTGAGCATGATCCCGGAATCTCAGAGGTGGTGTGTCTAGGTAGCTGTTCTTTAAACGTGGAGGGGAGAGAAGCTGACCATTTGGCAGCATGGAAGGTAAGAACAATAGCCACAGCCCAGTGTTCAGGGTTAGAACTGCAATCTTCACTCACTTCAGAGTTGGCAATTCAGTGGTAAGTCTCCAAAAGACTTCCCCTGGTGACTGAACAACGCTGCCTTATACTGAAGGTTTCCCTAATGGGAAATCTTCCTTCTTTGTACTTTTATTTTCATAACCTGATCTCCTCACCTTTTCCCATCTTTTCCTCTCTTGTCTACCATGCCTTTACTTCTTTCTTGTTCCTCCTTCTCTACTTCTTTTCTTTTATAGTTATATCTATGAAGTTTCCAGAAGGAACCCCTTTGTTTTCGCACCTACACTTCTAAGAGTCACTGCTCTTATTGAGGAGATGACTAAAACGTGTTGTGAAGAACAAGACAAAGCTAACTGCTTTCGAACAAAGGTGGGTATTGCATTTATTTCATGGATAAGGATAAGGAGTCACAGGAGATCCTTATTGAAAATTAAATTATAGCAAAGAGTTGTTTACCATTTATAACCACCCTCTTCTTACTTTTACTGGGTTTCAACCCATTGACCACCTGCTGCTTATCTAAAATCTTATTTCCTGACACCCCACAAAGATAATCACCCATTTCCAAGGTATCTGTCTTCTGGATTTTTCTTCTTTGTAAATTGAAAGAAAACCCTGGTGACTTTCAGGGTAAAATTTGACATTTTATCTTCTATCCTTGGCAGGCTTCTTTTAGCTAACCATAAAAGGGAATCATCCCAGTAAAGATGAAGAAGCTCACAGCATGCTACGTGATTCGCCTTCCCACCAAGTGCAATTCTGTTATCAGAAAGACTGGCTCCATCTTTATAATGTGCCACAAATGTGTATTTTTTTTCTGATACATAAATTTTTTACAGTAAAAATCCCATATATTTTTTTAAATTTATGAGCAAGCTTTGGAATAGTTTGGTTGACATGTAGTTAAGAAATAAGAGAATAGAGGGATTTTGCCCTTGCTTCAACAGAATTTTCTTTCTCTTTCAGGCAATAGCTGTGATACGATATTTAAAAGGATTGTCTTCTTTTCAAAAAAATGTCTGTGGGGCATATGTGAAATTTGGACCACAAGTTTTAAAATCTATGTGAGTTTTATAATACATATGTTGTCTTTCCTTGTATTTTCTTGTCTGTGTTCTATTTTTGTTAAATTGTTGATAACTTTTTATTTATACGCTCCCTAGTTCCTGAGTCTATGTAGATAGCTCAGAACCAGGACTTTTATAGCGGGATGACAAAAGACTTGGGAGGTGAGGAAAGGCCAGAGAGAAAGAAGGCTACGTCCAAGATATTTTTTTGGTTCGCTGGGAATCTGAATTGGTCTGGGAGTTCCAAATGGGAACTGAATCTTCCAAGTGCTTTAATATGTCATGTATATCCATCTTCCACTTTAATGACTAAGAAACAACTCTATATGGATAAATTTTTATCTCACTTGGTCATCCTAGTCAATTAGTAATGGTGCTAGTGTAATTTTTTGAGAAAAATTCTAAGATTTCAAACCGATGAGCAGGAAACAGGTCTGTGATGGATCACCTACGCTGACCATGGGCTCGCAGCAGGAAGTGGTGGTTCTTACAGGTGTGCTGTGCTATGAAAATTATGGAAGAGAGCACACCTCTCAGGCCTTCCCCTCCTCACACAAAGTGATCGTGCAGGTTAAGCAGTACATAAACGGCCTTTTATAAAGACATCTGTGAAAAAACAAGGGTGCCAATTCTTTTTTGCAGCTGCTTATACTGCATCATCAAATTAACTCTCTCTTGTCTTGCTTGCTGTTCAAGTTTTCTTAGTGGTTTATCGATTCTCTTTCCAGATACACTGTTATACTTAGTCAGAAATTCCCCAGGATTGAATTCGAGGAACTTACTTCCCTCCTAGAAGATGTTTCCTCCAAGTACGATGGGTGTTGTGAAGGGGATGCTCTGCAATGCATCCGCGGAAGGGTAAATATTCTCTAAGACCAAGTAAAAATAGTGGCTGTGACAGCCATTTTTTAATTCTGAAGTTGTACGAATGCATGGCCACTCTACCGCAATGAAATAAGAATGTTAACAGATTGCTAAAAAAATAATATAAACATAAACATAGTGAAAGGTAAAATGTTAACAAATAAGTACAAATAAATCTTTGGGATTTTATATATATGGGATTGTTTTTAGATTACTCAGCAGGTTCTATTTCATATGGCTAAATGTCTTTGACATAAAACTTCATAAATTTAGGATTTGTGAACATTTTTATAGAACAGATTAAAGTATTTTTTAATGTTGCAAACTCTCTTTTGGAGGTATTAGAAATCAATAGTAAAGCCCAGAGAATGGTTTGTTACCTTTCTTTTTAAGAGCTGCTTTCTCTGAGTTTCCTCAGATTATTTAGAAATAGTCTATCTGAATAAGTGGACACATTAATTTAAAATAAGGGGGGGTAAATGGTAATAAAAAAATACATTAAAAATAACTTACTCTATTCCTTAAAATTATTCTCTAAGAGTGTATGCTGGTAAGTCCATTGATCTAGTTTAAGTTGTTTATGTACAAAAAGGTAACCAATTTCATTAAATGTTTCCTAACTTCTTAATTGAAATAATACTTTTTTTGTAGTGATGTTTAATTAGTTTTACTTTTTCATATTTACAGTGAAAGAATATGTTAATTAAATAACTTGAATTTTAGGACATGGAGATATGTATATTTTATTTTAGGTAGTGGACAACAGATGTCCCCAAGAATTATTTTGTTCCTAAGCATACTCCAACTAAAAGCAATCTCACTAGCTATTTATTTTTGTATTGTTTGGTTAATGGGGATGTGAGTTTTATAATATAACTTACTGAATTAAGGTATAATGGAAGATTTTTCTATGAAATTTGGAGCTGAGACAAAGGGATCATATTATATTCTTAGTATCTTCTTTGATGTTTTATAGAGAAATATGAGGAGTTAAATTATAGTTTATTAAAAATAGAAATGAATTCCAGACAATAAGATATATGTTGCCTAAAACAGTAATGGCCTTGAGTGAAGTGTGTATATGTATGTTTGCAAAGACTGGGCTCAATGTGGTTAATTGAAAACATGATGCCAACCACCCTTCCACTTCTCACCTCAACCCAGAGCTTCATCCTATTCTTCACCCTCTGTATGCACCAGAATAAAATTCTAGGCAGGAGGAGCAGCTTGAGCAAAGTCACAGAGGCCTGGAATAGCCTGCTGTTTTGATGGAACTCCGTGCAGTTCATGTGAAGCTGGAACAGAGAGTAGGAACAATGTGCAGTCTTATTCTGGAGAGTCCAGAGAAGAAACTAGGGGCCAGATCAGCGTTTAAAAAATTATCCAACTATTGTGTAAATAAGAGAACTTCAGCTTCTATCTTATTCCCACAACTTTATGTGGAGATCAGAATTGGGATGAAGGAATAGACTAAGAGTTTTCATTTTGTACATTATTTAATCATTTGAATGGCTTCAAATTAATAATATCCATTGGAAAATGACAACAATGAGTAAGACAGCTTATGTTTCAGAAGTCTTCATCTGGTAGTTGCTGTAGTGGTTCATTTGTTTACCATTTTTTCTTTTACTTATCAAATATTTATTGAGCTTCTACTATGGCTTGGCAATGCAGTTCCAGGCTAAAAGAGAAGAAATCTAGGATTAATGATATTAAAGTAACATGTCTTGGTGGCCCTCATTGATGAACAGTTAAACTTTTATGGGAAAGAAGCAACACGTAGAATTTAAAATGCCAATATATCAGAGAAGTAAGAGTAAATTATTTAAATGATTAATATTTAACAATATATGTGAATTTATAATAAAGTCTTGTTTTCATAGTTATATCACCTAAAATCTTGAATGATAAAACTTGTTTTAATATGAAATTTCATGTGTATTAAATTATACAAAATACAAATAAATTTTATCTGTCAAAATGAAGCAATTTCAGATGCTATGCTTATGGTTAGCTTTGCCTTCTATTATGAAGGAAAATCCAACCATGACAAAATTGTCAAAATAAATTCATTTCTCATTCCTGGTACAGAGCAAAGTTATGAGCCATATTTGTTCAAAACAAGATTCCATCTCCAGCAAAATTAAAGGGTGTTGTGAAAAGAAAATACCAGAACGTGGCGAGTGCATAATTCACTCAAATAAAGATGACAGACCAAAGGATTTACCTCTAAGAGAAACAAAATTTACTGAAAATAAAAATCTGTGTGAAGAACGAAATGCTGACCAAGATATCTTCATGGCTAAGTAATATAACTATTTTGAAATTTATAAGGCAAACAGAAACTTATGATTTGACTTGTTTTGGTTAATTTGGGTGGAAGAAATGGGAATCATTTAAATCATTGGGTATTACATTATTTTAAAAAATCATGGTTATAGACTATAGTATTTTCACAATTTTCAGAAAATGCAACTCTGTTATTATAGTGATGGCTAACACTTATTGAATACTTGATATGTACCAGACAATGGACTAAATACTTTATATAAATTATCTATTTCAATTTTTACAAGGTCATGTAAAAATGATTTCCCCCAATTTTTCAGATGAACAAACTGAGGTAGAGAGAAACTAGGTAATTTGCTCAAAGTTCACATTTAAAAAAATAAAGTAAACAAAAAAGTAAGGATTTGACCAAACAAGTTCTAAGGCCTAAGGAGTGGCAAGCTTAACTGCCATGCTATGCCACCCCAAAGCTGCTCATGGGATTGTTAGTGGACTTAGAATCAAAGGGACAAGATTTGAGTTCTGGTTGAGTCACTGGGACAAGTTAACTTCTCTGTATTTTAATTAATCAAATATAAAATTTGTGGAATATTCATTCATTCATTCCTTCTTTCATTCATTCAAAGTTCATTGGTAATATAGCATAATCCGGTAACTTTAGTAGGTCAGACAGGGTTCCTGTCCCCAGTAAGCTTTCACCAATAAGAGGTATAATGTGGGGAAAAAACAGACGTATAAGTGAGTGCAAGAAATGTTCTTTTATTTCTTATAACACTATATTCTAAGTAATATGAGGGCAGAGGAGGAAGTGGGCAATTCTACCTGGGGTCCCAGGAAAGGTTTTATTAGGCAGAAGTTCTTGAGGAAATTTTGGTAATCTAGACAGAGGGGGAGGAGTGTGTATCGAAGTACAAATCCACTTGGTGCATGTGTGGTTATGAGGAGGGTATCTGTAGTGAGAAACAGGGCAGTCAGAGGTAAAAACAGATCAGATCATGCAGGCATGCTAAGTAACAAGATGCCACTGAGAGGTTTTCAATAAAGAATAAAGAAGGGCAAAATCACTTTTGTTTTTTAGAAACTTCATCTGGAATGAATCCCAGTTTGGGGCTTAGGTAGTTGAGTAATTTTAGTAATTAGGTAGTTTTAATTTAGTAATTAAGTAGTTTAGTAATTAAGTAGTTTTCAGATTCAATGTAATGGGAAGCATTGGTAAAGAAGCAGGTTTTGGGGATAAGAGAGTATGTTTGGATATATGCATATGGACTTTGGGATCCCTGTAGAATAACTAGCTGGGACTGGAACAAGACAATTTTATATGAAAACCTAAAGCTCGGGAAAGAGGCCTGGGCTAAATAAAGATAAGGTTATTCAATGTTTGCCAAACTTTAAGTGCTTCTTACCTACTAACAAACTTAATTTTCAAAACAACTCTCTGAGGTTAGAACACTTTTATTATTCTCATTTTACAAGAAAGAAAACTGAAGCACAGAGGTTAAGCAACTTGCTCCAAAGTGACATAGCTAATACACGTGTGGTAGAGCCAGGGTTCAGATGGAAGCAGCCTGACTCCAGACTGCTGTTCTTACAACCGCTGTGATCTATTGTTTCTTACACAGCACGGCACAAAGTCAAATTAAAGTAAACCAATTGACAGATGTAATGCATTTCACTTGAGACTGGCACATGTGCCTACTAAATGAAAGCCATCTTTATCATCATCATCTTCATCATCATCATCATCATTACAACATAGGTAGTATTTCAAATGGGGGGAGAAATGATAGAGCAAACAATGAAACAGTTTTAAGGTGCAGTCTTTCTGGATGTGAATGTTTGACACAGGACTTCAATGGATCTAGCAAGCAAGGGTAGGCTTCCAGAGGTTTTTGATTGTAACATTTTGGTGGCATGTTTTTAGGTGTAATTTTATTCTTGGAGAAAGGTCCATGGCTTAGTTCAGATATTAAGAACAGCTCTTCATTCTCTGAAGACTACCCATCCCTGATTTTGTAAGTAGGAATATATCCCACAAGTGGGACTGAGAAGGCAGATAAGGAAGTAGGAGAGACAAGGTCAGCAAAACCAAGATTGATTAAGATATTAAAGGCTGCAAAACAGATTAAAAAGAGTTCCCAGACTTCAAAAATTCTTGTGAAGTATTGCTCTCACAAAACATGGAAGACCATTTTAATTTATCTTAAATGGATAAGATTCTATTATGAAGAAGGTTGTAAATGTGCAGCCAAGATATTTAGAGAAGATACTCCTCTCTTGAGAAGAGAGTTGTATAGTTTAAAAAAGAATGAAGTAGGCATCACATGGAACCTAAGTTCAAATTCTATACTTCCTTTAACAGCAAGGTGCTTAACTGGTCAGAGATTTAGTTTCCTCAGCTATAAAATAGTACTTATCTTGAAGACTCAGTAAATGCAAGTGAGAAAGTGTTTAAAGAGGCCAGAAAGCATATCTTATTTCTGTCAACCAAAGGCTGATTCAGTGCCTAGTACCTACTAAGGGCTTGCTAAGTGCTAGGATCTTTGCTTTCCCTTTCCCACTTTCTCCCCAGATCACACCACCTAGACCCTTGGGGCCTCTCACCGAGGCCATGGAAACCACTGCCAATAATTTAGAGCTGCAGGGCTGACGACTCCCATATTTGAGAAGTGTCAGGATGAAGTGATGGACAAAGGCTGCTTCACAGTCTCTCACCAAGGCAGCACTGGGAGTGAGGAGAAAGTCCTATTTTCATCATCTCAAGTTGAAAGTCTGAACGCATTTTCCAGCAGAACTATACTCGATATGTATTTTCTAAAGTATTGGTGGTATGATATACTAATTTTGATGCTTATGGATTAAACTGTCTTAATAATTAATTCAAAATGAACGGAACTAGCAAGCAGAACAGAGACAGACTGATAGGTAGAGAGCAGGCTGGTAGTTCTCTTGGGGGGGCTGTTTAGAGGGTGGAGGGATCAGGCAAAAAGGAAAAAGGCCTCATGAACACAGACAACAGTTTGGTGATTACAGGTGGGAGGGGAGATAAGGGGGATCAAGTAAATTTAAAACATAAAATTAATAAACATATTTAAAATGGAATAATATAAAACTGCAAAAAAATTTTTTAATCAAGCATTCAGTCTAATAACTCTGTGTCTAGAAGGGCCATTTCATATTATAAAGACACCAGTTACAGCTGGTCCAACTCAAGTTACTGCTCCATCAGCCTGAAAAATCCTTTACTGCCAAAACAGAATAGTTAATTCTAATTAAGCCTAACAATTCTATCCTCTAAGTAAAAGCATTGTTAGTTTAAAACATAATTTAAACTTAAATGTTAGACCCAAAGCCATAAAAATCATAGAAGAAAACATAGGCAGCAAAATCTTGGACATTGCTCATAGCAATGTTTTACGGATATATCTGCCCGAGCAAGGGAAACAAAAGAAAAAATAAACAAATGGGACTACATCAAACTAAAAAGTTTTTGCACAGCGAAGGAAACCATCAACAAAATCAAAAACCCATAGAATGAGAGAACAGGTTAATATGCAAAATTTATGAAGAACTAACAAAACTCAACACCAAAAACCAAACCAAACCAAAACAAAACAAAACAAAAATCAAATGACCCAGTTAAAAAATGGGCAAAGGACTCGAATAGACACTTCTCCAAAGAGGCCAATAGACATATGAAAAGATGCCCAACATCACTAATCATCAGCTAAACACAAATTAAAACCACAGTGACATATGACATCATACTTCAATGTTAGAGTGTTTGTCATCAATAAATCAACACACAACAAGTGTTGACAAGGATGTGGAGAAAGGGGAACCCTTTTGCACTGTTGGTGGGAATGCAGACTGGTGCAGCTACTGTGGGAAGCAGTACGGAGATCACTCAAAAAATCAAAAATGGATCTGCTTTTTGATCCAGCCATCCCACTTCTGGGAATATATCCGAAGAAACCCAAAACACTAATTCAAAAGAACACAAGCACCTCTATGTTCATTGCAGCGTTATTTACAACCGCTAAGATAGGAAGCAGCCCAAGTGTCCATTAATAGATGAGTGGATAAAACAACTATGGGACATTACATTATGGAATACCACTTGGCCATAAAAATTAGAAAGTTAAAAAAGAAAAAGGAAGTTTTACCCATTGTGACTGTATGGATGGACCTAAAGAACATTATGCTAAGTGAAATAAGCCAGTCATAGAAATATAAATACCATATGATATCACTCTCATGTGGGATCTAATGAACAAACTTAACTAACAAGGAAAATGGGGGCAGACTCATAGAGAGCAGGGTGACAGCTAAGAGTGGAGTGTAGAGGGTGAAGGGATTGAGCAAAAAGGAAAAAAGACTCATGGACCACATTGTGGTGGTTGTCGGGGGACAGGGGAGTATAAGGGGACTAAATGGTAATGGAAAAAAATAAACTTTCAGAAACAACAACAAAGAGAGAGAGAGAGAGTGAATCTAGGTAAAATGATTGCTGATAGTCAAAATGCCCTTGTGAAGTCACTCCCTGGCCACACTGAAGAGGAACACCATCTGAGAGCAGATTCAGTATTAGATCTGACTACACTAAAAGACAGCAGGATTTCGTGTTTTGCTTTCTCTAAATTCTAATATACACAATATTTTACCCCTCACAGGTTTCTTTATGAACGCTCAAGGAGACATCCAGAACTGTCTACACCACAGCTCTTAAGAATTGCTAGCGTGTACGATGACCTTCTGAAAGAGTGTTGCAATGCAGAAAACCCTCCAGACTGCTACAGTAATGCGGTAGGTTCCATCAAACAAACAAATCAAAACAACAAATACTTAAAAAGTGATATGAAAGTTTTACTTTAGTCTAAGGGGTAGAAAATGTGATTGGCCAACCTGAGTTTACTTTAAATTCAGTGCAAGCTGACCACTGGGAAGACCAAAATCATTAGTTTGAGTTATGCATTAAGTTTTGAACTACTAATTCTGTGTTGTTGATGCAAAAAACTCTTCTCATTAAATATTTTATGTTTATATTTTTATTTATGTACTCTGTATTTTATTGAGCCGTACTAGATATTTTTATGGCTGTAAAAGTAATACATGATTATTAAAGATGATTAGGAAAGTGCCAAAAGTTACAAAGAAAAAAATAAAAATTTTCTGATTCTGTCACCAAGAAATAGCTATAATTAACATTTTCTTTAATCTCTTTAATAAAAATATGCATATACAGGATGGGGAAAAAGTAGGTTTACAGTTGTTTATATAGATAAAAATACAAGAATAAGCTCCATATTTTGTGTGCTCACAACTGTAAATCTACTTCTGCCCCACCCTGTATATGGGTGCGTTTAAAAATAAGACTGGAATATTAGTTCTTAAGGAATTTTTGGACACATTTTTATTTAGTGTCATAAAAAACTTTATGTTATTAAATGGACATCAAAATGTACTTTATTTTAAATAGTAGTGTCCCATTATAATAATTGATGTAGCTGCTTTCCTATTGTGTTCAGCTTTCTGGATGTTAAATTAAATTGTTTTTAACTTTATAAGTGACCCTGAAATATCTCTCCACTCATTTTTGTTTATTTTTATTCTTTATTTATATTTCTTTTTTATTGTGGACACTGTTACAGATGTCCCCAGCCCCTCCTTTGCCAGCCTCGACCCGGTCCTAAACCCCTTTCCCTCTGGCGATCACTATCCTGTTGTCTGTGTCTATGGGTTATGCATATATGTTCTTTGGCTAATCCCTTTTATTATTAGTTATTTTTAAGGTAGGTTATTACAAGGAAAAATATTAGGTCAAAATATAGACTTTAAAAAAATTAACACAATTGCCTAGTTAATTTTCAGAAAGATTTTACCAGCATATAGTCCTACAACAATGCTTGCAAATGCTCATTTTACTTTCACCTTCACCAAACATGGCACATGAAAATTAACTTTGCTAGATTTACATGTAAAAAACAGTGAGCACGTTTTAAGCATATATTTACTTGATTTTTTAAATGAAAGTAAGCTTTTCTCATGTAACTTTAGCTATAGTAGTTATGTTTTCTATAAATAATTTGTTCATGTCTGTTACCCATTTTCATATTGTAATTGGTGTTTTTAATATCAATTTATATGGATCCCTATGTAATATAGAAATTATTTATGATTTCTGATTTTTCATTCATTTGATATGTGCTGCTTTTGATTTATTAAAAGAATTTCTTCCACTAGCCGTGAAAGGCAGTTTACATCCATTCTTATTTGAACAATGAAGTGAGAAGACATGAGTTTCGGCAGGGCTCTGCCACTGTTGTAATGAGGAGGTCTTTCTCTGATCTTTAAATTAATCATGTTGCTATAGTTTGGTGTGTTTTTTTTCCCCACGGAGACACAATTTGTCCCACAGCATCCATTCCCTGGTGAGTGGTTTTCTACCTGGTGTTCATTCAGTAAGTGTCTAATTTTATGTCTCATGAGAGACAGTTTGTCAAATATTGGAAGACAATTATTGGAAGTTTTAATTTCCAATTCTAAATGATGAAAAGAAGGTCTAAAATAAAGATAATTGATATTTAAAATATTCTGCAGCAATACTTACTAGCTGGGTCATTCTAGGCAAGTCACTACTTTACAAAACCAGTTTCCTTTATGTAAAAACAGAGGCAACAGCTGCTCTGGCCACTTCAAGGTGAGAATTGAGTATAATCATTGTCACCATAAGATTTGAATTTGTACTTTGTAAACTGGAACTCTAAAAAAAAAGTACAAAATAATGATGAAAAATGTGAACTTTCATATTTAAGTAAAAAACATATCTAACTATAACCATAATTGATAAAATTCAAATTTTGATACACACATAAAAAGAAAACTACCCTCAATTTAGTGAGTAATGTATGGTAATGATAGTCTGAAAATATTGTATAAATAAAGAAGTTCTTTGACAAGTCAACATGAAGTTTATGATTAAATTTTGGATAAAATATTAATAAATATGATTGTTCTTATTTTCAGGAAAACAAATTCAATGAGACAACTGAGAAAAGCCTCCAGATAGTACAACGAGAATGTGAACTTTTCCAGAACTTGGGGAAGGATGACCTGAAATACCAGTAAGTTGTCTGTACTATTAGGGTAACACTTTTGACCAGGAAGAAATAAAGAGAGCCACCACATGTCAATATTTTAGCTCAGTCTTTCAGTTATGGTGAATTCATAAACGCAGGGAAAGAATAAAACCAAAAAAGTCAAGAATGTACATTGAGCTGTCACGTTAAGCCTTTGACAGGAAGGAGAATAGAAATGAAAGAAATACAGGATCTTGGACAAGTTGACTCTATAATGTTTTATTTTTTGTTTGGACTTGCCTTCTTCACTCTCAACCTAGAATTTCTGGATTCTTCCTCATTTGGGGTTGGGGTGGGGTGAAGCAAACTTTAGGTTGTTACAATTTCCCATGGAAAGGAAGGTTTGTCCAGGATTTAAGCCCATCTTACTGAGTTTATCAAAATAATTCTGGATTTGCTTAACACTTGTATATTTATTTTTTAGTGAGCATTCATGAATAATATGCAGTTTATACTAGATTTTCTTAATTAATTACCATACTAACATATGTTGAAACCAAACATCTTTAAATCAAAATGAAATAAAACACAATTTAAAAAGTATGATTTCACTTAGCATAATATTCTCCAGTTCCATCCGTGTTGTCATAAAAGGTAGGAGTTCCTTCTTTCTTTCTGCTGCATAGTACTCCATTGTGTAAATGTACCACAGTTTTTTGATCCACTCATTTACTGCTGGGCACTTACACTGTTTCCAGCACTTGACTATTGTAAATAGTACCGCTATGAATACAGGGATGCATAAGAAAAATAAGGAATGAAGCCAGATGGTGAAAGAAAAATACCATATGATCTCACTTTTAAGAGGAATCTAATGAACAAAATAAACTAATGAATAAAATAGAACCTCAGGCATGAAAACATGGAAGAGACTGAAAGTGACCAGAGGGGAGGGGGATAATGGGAAAGAAGGGGAAAGGACTAGAAAAAGAACATGTATGAATGACCCGTGGACATGGACAACAGAGTGGGGATTGACTGTGGGAGCGGGGGGTGGGATGGGAGAAGGAAGGCTAAGGGGGAAAAATTGGGACAACTGTAATAGAATGAAAATTAAAAACTAATACAAAATAAAATGTTTTAATAAGGAAAAATAAAATTGCTAATAGAGCTGTACAAAAATTTAAAAATACAAAATATGATTTCATTACGTTTGCAATCTGGCTGTTTGCTTTGCAGTCGCTCAGCCTATTAAAGATCTTAGTTTCCTTCATTTCAGATTATCTTTTTCCAACAAATATTTATTAAATTTTTTCTTTAAAATATTTTTTACCTATTTCAAGCAGAATTTTACATACTAGCCAATGTATTTGCTGCCAAGGAGCTCCTAATCTCACAGTTAAAACAGGACGGGCAAATCTGAGATTTTTTGAAGTCACTATGAAATTAGAGAGAAGCCAAAATACTGAGATCTAGGAGGCAAGGTGCAGGAAAACAGGGAGCAAAGAGAGAGTTCTCTCCCTTTTTATGAGAGAGCTGAGGTTCACATTGTGCTTACATTCATTGTTTGTAGCCTTGGAGGGTTAGGGTTTCATGTAGCTAGACAAGGGGAAATGGGTATCTCCTTCATTCAGAACCGAACTGACAAATGTCCTTTCAGCTACCTTATCAAATTCACAAAGATAGCTCCTCAGCTCTCCACTGATGAACTGACCTTTCTTGGTGAGGAAATGGTGACAGCTTTGACCACCTGCTGCACACTGAGTGAAGAGTTTGCCTGTGTTGATAATTTGGTGAGCATGGACCATGCACCTGACTATGATATGTGTATTTCCTTATTGCTGTATAGCAATTATCTGTCTTCCTCCCTTCATTGCTTTCAGTACTGTTAAGCAAGGAATGTCAAGTTTTCTTTTTGGCTCACTGAATCAAAACCTTAATGAGCAAAAGAGAATGTCTTAAATATTTTCTTGGGATTCTCCAAATCACCATTCTTTTTTATTCTTATTCATATTAGAAGTAATTTGTTAGGGTAAATGTTTTAGGAATCATAATAATGTTTCAGAGTAATATGGGAAACTTGATAATTTTAAGTAACATTACAAATTGTCCCTCCTGCCCCACCAGGTCAGTAAGGGAGTTGCTGCTTCCCCTCACCCCCCACCCTACCGCCCACCCACAAATGCAAGTTGACTGTATTTCTTTAGAGCTGGGGTGAGCAGTGCCCCAGGAGATATCCCAGGAAAGGAATAAGTCTAAGGGCCATAGTGCTTGGCTGTCACTTTGATTTAGCTGTTTGCAGTGAACAATTAAAATTTGTGTATATGGTACACAAATTATCTGTCTTCCTTTCTTCATTGACAAGAACTTGACAAGACAAGAAATTGATCTCCAGGCATTAAAATTGCTAAAGCTTGCAATTTTGTTTTGTGTAATGCCATTTGGGATGGCAGCTTCTACTTTTCTTTGTACATAGTGCTGCGTTATGAGTGCATGGTTTTTTTTTCTGAGTGAAGTTAGCAGTGAACTTAGAACAATTTAACCCTATTTCGAAGCTCCATTCCAGTTTTGAAATCCTATCTGAGTTCCAACTTTCATTGGTACAGGTGGATTTAGTTGTTGGAGAGATATGTGGAGTAAACGAAAATCGAAACATCAACCCTGCTGTGGATCACTGTTGCAAAACCAACTTTGCTTTCCGAAGGCCCTGCTTTGAGGCCTTGGAAGCTGATAATATGTATGTGCCTCCATCCGCCTCCCAAGGTTTACTTACCATTGACACAAACCTGTGCCAGGCTCATAATGAGGAGCTCCAGAGAAGGAAAGACAGGTAGGTACCAGCATTCTCTTCCATTCATCTTTTTATTTAGCTTGAAGACACACTATGTATTGATGAGATGGTTTATGGTAATGGATGTGTGATTTTGGTGTCACAATCATGTTTCCTCCATCAAATTGTCCTATCTCTCTAATTAAAAAGCATCAAAAAATACCAGAGCATATTGATTGGCTTGTTTATACCGTCAAAACCTAGCTAGGCTTTTCCTTTGCTAAGGACATGGAGTGTCCAGTAGACTGTGATTTGAAAAGGTGAACTAGGTTAGCCAGCAGAAAGGCTCATAGGTAGGATTATAATAAATCAGATTTTCTTGAGAGAATATCTTAGATGCTTGCCCTGAAAATCTCACTTAGTGTTTGAAAAAAGGAGGGGCCCCAAAGAGACAGGAATTTTATTTTTATTTTCTTAGATAATACTATAAATGTCAAGAAATAAGACCTATTTTTTAGTTTTAGGTAATGTCTGTATCAAGTGGAATGGAAATAAATTTTTGAGACAGGTCAAATGTAGTCACATTTTCTACAATAGTGTGATAACGAAGACCTAATATATGTTCATATTTTTATACCATCTTGTCTGTTGCTACATAAATCTATACAGAATATTACCATGGAAATCCATCCCATAAGTTTAATAGGAAAATTCCAGCAGACCCTTTCAAAAGTGGAATATTTTAACTTTTTATTTTAACCGTCCCAAATAGAGACCCTCTCCCCTCGAGGTACATGATACTGTAACAAGCATTTTGGAGAAAAAGAGCTTAAGAAAGAAATCTTTAATTAATTCTAACTGACATCTTTGGGTCACAGGTTTCTTGTTAACTTAGTGAAGCTAAAACCTGGCCTTACAGATGAGACGCTGCGGTCATTGCTTACAGATTTCACTAATCTAGTGGACAAATGCTGCAAAGCAGAGGGGCCTGAAGCGTGCTTTAATAAAGAGGTACTTATATTCTTTTCCACTGAAATTCTACAGGTATTTCTGGTCAAATCAAATACAACCTAAGAAGATCCTGCTTCTTCCCTGCAATGTCTCTGAGGCCAATGTTTGAGAGCACAGTGGCCAAAAGCTAATATGCAGCCTGTCTCTGATAAGGTTTTGGTGCCGTGTCCTTGGTGACAACATGATGTAAGAAAAGACATCAGGAAAACCTGGGTTCTGATGCCACCAGTCCTGGCCATTAACTTAAATTGAACCTCAGTTCACTATCTGAGGATGAGAATGGTGATCATTTTTCCTGAATTATACCACTGGTCTTTTTCTATTTTGAATCACCTATTATCTTAATATAACATAGTCAAACTGACTTGGGAAGGAAATTAACCAGCAGCAAAGGAAGAGAAAAAGGAAGGGCATTAGTATGTGAAGCCTCTTAGAGGGTGACTGGGGAGCTGTCTCACCTTCCTGGGCCTTGTCCCAGTGTCCCTAAGTTGAGAATATGGTATTTATATGCGAAGTGAAGAAGCGGCAGGTCAGGGTAGAGAGAGGACAAGGGAAGAAAGGACATGTGTCCTGCATGTTCTCACTCCAGTGACTGGAGTCAGTGACACACACTGTAGTGTTCCAGGACCCTCGGGTACCCATGAACGCCAGCCCCAGTGGATGGCTCCTTCAAAGCTCCTCTTCACCATTTTCCAACATCCTTGCTCACATCTTTGTTCCGAGCAACACCCACTCTACTCCAGATTCCCTCACAATTGTGCACACATATGTACTCTGTGCACACACGATACTTCATGCACACTCACATGCATGCACACTCACACATGGTTTTCATCCTGGTTGAGACCCCTCTATTTTCCAACTGAGTGCTTAGTCTGTGAGAATTATTTTTTGGAACAAATCATTAGTTTTTTAAAAATATGTTTAATGTAATTAGAGGCATTAATCAATATCTACCATCTACCTGAATGACTGTGTCCCTCAGGCTGTGTAAAGGGAAGGATGAATTCATTGGCAGTTCCTAAAAGGCTTAGGGTGTCTGAACTCAGGTTCACTTGAAGAAAGAGTGTTCCCAGTCTCCCTGTACAATATGTGAGTAGTTTAATTTTTCTTTCCAAAGGTCAAGGCAACATGCAGCTCTAAATTTAAATAATGTCTTAAATTTTAATTCCTGTATGTTTTTATTTATTTATTTATTTATTTATTTACTTATTTATTTATTAATTAAATGTTTCCATCTCAGGGTCCAGAACTGGCAGCCAAAAGCCAGGCTTCTTGAAAAACATAAAGTAAAAACCACCAAAGGTAATACTTTCTATCTCAATCAAATGCCAAATATATTTGTAGTTTCTTGGTTGCCCTGGCTTTTCCCCCCTCACGCTTCAATGCCTAGTTCTAGTTCATCCCACATGTCCTGTACCTAACAGACCCCGATAATGGCCGTGTAACGTTTTTCTGGGCCTCTACCACTCCCTATGGGCTGGCACTGCTGCTTTTCAGCCGGTACCTCTTACTGCTCAAGCAGTTTTCTAAATCGCCTAAAGACGCGCACTGCTCTGCCTCTCTGCTATTGCACCCAGCTCTCGGAACCAGGAAGGGGAAGCAATCGAATGTCTGAATGTGGACAGAGGAAGGGTTGGGATGACAGACAGGCCTCAGTAAACCTGTTCCAGGAGCTTTGCTGCAGCATCTCCATAAACAAAAAGCAATGTTTGCGATTTCAAAAAGAAATACAAAGGATGCCCTTTCTTCTGCAGTTTAGGTAAGAATCATGCACATACTTTAGGAACAAAACATTGTGTAAATATAGCAATGATGTTCAATGCCTGGGAAGAGGGTCCTGGATCACCACAGAGAGTAGGTTCATACTTACAAGAGGCCAAACTATTTTTTATAAACATGAAAGCTATACCACCCAAGCTATAACATTTCCCATTCTTTTGCTACATGAGATACTATTTTTTTCTTCCCAGGTTGTGGAGAATAAAGAAAAAGACCAACTTACCTACTTCCAGCTGTCCTGTGGTGAATTTCATTTTCTGAGATGAACACAGTAAAGAGTCCGCTGGCAACTTCACCTGAAATCCTGTTATTGCAGCAAGCAATAAACAACAAAATTATAAAGCTAATTCTCAAAGACTGATTTTATGTGTCAAACTGATAACAAAATTAAACAACCAAGATTTATTTAGGCCATCAGCATCTCTTGCTCACTGGCTAAATTACTCCATGGAAGGCAGGACTCCAAATAGCAATTGTGTGGGCAGAATCCTCACAGAGCCCGTTCTTGCTGCTACTGAGAAGGGAAAGGGAAGTTGAGGGCACCCAGCAGTGCTGTCACTGCTACTACCACCACTGTCACTAGCAAGCACTGAATGTTTTCCATGTACCCAACACTGTCCTAGGTACTTCTCTTGCTTTAGCTCATTTAACCCTAACAACTCTATGAAGTAAACGTCATTTCTATTCCCATTTTACAAACAGGGAATCTGAGGCTTGGGGAGGTAAGCTAATTTGTCCAGGGTTATATGACTAGTACTTGGCAGAACCAAGGTTTGGGTCTTCTAATTCCAGAAGAATATTCTTAGCCCTTGGACAGACTCTCAGATAGGGCCATTTTGTGTGCCTCATAAAATCTGTTACATTGAGAGAAGGAAGAGGACAGTGACTCTTCTCCCCCTCCATTCCAAGCCAAAATTGCTGTAATGTTGGAGCTGTAAGCACTTGGCAGTGATGTCTAAGGAGAGGGAGTGGTAGGAACTGAAAAGCCAGGCAATAAAGGTCGGTCATAGACTCAGGGCCTGATCATCCTTGTCAGTCTCTAAACTTTTAAGGCTTTTAGGCTTTCATTTCTGAAATTGAAGACGATGATCACTTAATAAATAATACTTGAGAATACTCACGAATTTCTTTTGGAATAACACGTAGAGCATAGTTTTGGCAATTCTTATTCATTTATTCAACAAATATTTATTAGACTGTTATCATGTGTCAGATATTGTGGATACAAATGTGAGCCAATTAGACATGGTTCTTGCATCTTGCAGGGCAGGAGAGAAGAACCATAAGCAAGCAGTCACATATGTCGTAGGTGTAGGGATGGAAAAGGGCCCTTCTGTGGGTGCACCCTGCACAGGCACTTAGTCTAAGCGGAAGGAGCAGGGTGAGAAGGGGGTGGGGAGTTTCAAATTCCTACTGCTATAACTTGCTCTATGGTTTCAGACAAGTTCCCTGCAACCTAGGACCTCCATTTCTTTGTGTAGGATGGGAAAATAACCTCCATGTCATAAAGGCTTCTGAGAAACATACTGAATTACTGTACTATAATGTAGACAATACAATGGCCTGCAGATAACAGGTATTTATTTCATGAAGCTATTTTGTCCTTTTGCCATTTTTCTAAGTAGTCTCCATTACTAATGGAGATAACAAGGAAGAATGTTTTACTTAAATAATAAACTATAAGTTCAGTAAACAGAAGTGAAACAGAGCACAATTAGCTACTTCAGTTTTGTATATAATAGTTGATCTTACTCCGTGTACAATGCTATGCTAAGAGCAGGCGCTATGCAGCCTGAGCTGCAGGAACCTGTTACCATCACAAGTCTCTACCGCAGTGGAACTGCCATACAACTCTCTACTGATGTACCAGAGACCAAACTAACGTTAATCATTGTGATGAGAGTGGGAAAAGGCACGGTTTGTTCTGAACACATTCTTCATGGAGAAGAGAGAATTCAGAACAACTTATTCTGTATTGCTCAGACAGAGCCCATACCAATAAATAAAACACACCTAGACTTGATGCAAGAAGAACTTTCAAGTGCTAGAGAGGCGTATAAGAGTGATAAGCCTCATGGTGCACTACCGAGTGTCCAGACTAATGAGAGCATGAGCAGTCAGCACCTAAGTTTTTGGTGAGACCTAGGGATCTAGTTGTGGTTTTTCTAAAGTGTGCTGTGCAAATAATATTTGTTAAAAATCCTCAGTGTGTTTTTACTTGTACACCTTCCATTTTTTATATCAAAGGTCAGCATGAAGATCTTTATTGTTTTAGAGAACAAATTCTTTGCTGTCTTTTGAGTCCTATCACAAAACTCATTCTCCACCTTTGCTTAAATGATCCCCACTACCTGTCTTTCCACTGGTCTGAAATTCCACTATTAGGCACTAAGAGAGGACTTAACATCTTGTTAAGTTTCCAAGAGTTTTACCCTGAGAGGACAGTTCCCCTGGAGAGTTAATTTCATCCTGTTTTTTAAAAAGAAGAGTTAATGTAGCACATATACAATAGTTTTTTTTTTCCTTAAGTGCCAGCTCCAATCAATTAATAGTGCCGGTCTTGTGGCATTGTGCTGTGAATGATTTTGAGGCTGAGCTTTGATTGAGAGAGAAAGAGTGCAGTGATCAACTAGTAATATCTGCAATGGTGACAGGGACAGCACTTGCCCAAAGGATTTGCCATCCCTAGAGTAATAGGTCCATTTCTGACAGTTCCCAGAGGTTCAGGGTCAGATCTCAAGAGAATAGCCATAAGGATGCATGACAGAAGGGATGTTGAGCATTAGGACCCTGAGAAGGATGATGAAACCCTGCCAAACATACTCTTCTGATTGCTGACCCTGGCTTTCTATCACACGTGGCCATCCATATAACCAGTGTGTCCCAAATTCAAATAATGAGTTTTATTGTTTTTCAGGCAAACATACCTCTTTTACTTGGGATATTCCTTTGCCTAGAAGATCAGAAATGAACATATGTGGGTCACAGAATCAAGCAGTGGACTGCTGGCCTCAGAGATGACCTGGTCCAACCCTCCATCTATAAATGAGGACACTGAGTACAGAAGTAGTTAAAGTAGTAACCAGTGATCTCTTGTTTCCAAAATTTTTGGACTTCACATTTATTTTAGATTTTTTATTTAATAAGTAACTACTGTTCCCTGCCCTAGACGACAGGCAAAGCAGACAGTAGCTGAGGAATGTTGGGACCTTAGCTTTTGATATTAGTTCTTGGCTGGTACAGGATCTGAAGTTAGGCAAACCTTAATTTCTCCCCTTGAGTCCATGTACAAATAATATTACCCTGAGTCTTAATTCTTTATTCACGGAAAAGAGTATTGTTCTTATGTAGTGTATAATGGGCCAGACTCACAGTAAGCACTCAGCCCCGTGCTCCTCGGTGCTCCCTACTCTTTCACAGGCTTGGAAATGTGTCTAGCACTGGAGCTGGGGCCTAAATCATTTATTTGAATATGGGGTAGTACATGTTTGTCTTCTCCCCTGCTACTTTAGAACTTTGTACATGTCAATAGACACTTCCAGGAAATGAGATATTTACCAAAAGTGTTTATTGATTCCTTCATTACAAGGCCTACATGGTGTAATCTTGAGAAAACAAGTACATTGACATGATTCACTTTAAAATCCTGTATTCATTAATGAATGGCTATCATCAGCATTTCTTTATTGCCATGAATTCTTTGATTTAATCAGGTTTGTAGTGGCCTGGAAAAAAATATTCACCAGAAAAAGTTTAATTATTAATGGTCATCACTTAAAAGGACTATAAAAGGATTCTTCAATTCCCTCAAATGATACAACACCTTCTATAAAAGTTTGTCTGAAATAATGAAGGCTGTTAGACTTTTATCTTTTCTTGTTTTTTTCAGCTACATTAAATGTCAAAGTCTTCTGAGAAGTTTCCTAGATGCAGGTAGGAAATCCCCTTTACAATCTATGATTTCCCTCTCCCAGGAGTAAGATGTAATGACTGCTGAAGTGAGTGTAGAAAGACTTACCTTTCTGAGTGCTCATCACTGTCCATAGGGTCATGGAAAATGGCTGGACATTAACTTGTCGAATGAATACAGGAAGAGAGCTAATAAACTGAGACAACCCACAGGAAAACCTCATTTTAGCCTTTCACTGTATTTCACTCTAGATGAGAAAATAATACATCTAAAACTTGTACTTAAAATTAGATAAAGGATTTTAGATAAAGCAAAAGTGTTCAGAGTAGGAGGAATAATTTTAGAGCTACATTATTTAATATCTATTATGAGCCAGGCACTGTGCTTAGTGCTTTACACATATGATTTCATTTAATGTGAACAACCATCCATTGTAATATGACTTACTTACCTTTCGCAGATAGAGAAACCAAAACTCTGAGAGCTTAAGCTATTTTCCCAAGGCCACATTTAGTACCAGAGCTCAAAGTTGAACTCAGATTAGCTGTCTCTAAAGCTTTCTGCTGTGTTAATATAGCAAATAATAATGGTTTCTTTATTTAATAGATAGCTGCTAAGCATTTTAGAAGTTATTAGTATAAGAAAGAAGAAATTGTTTTCAATAGAAAATGTGTATGTGAATATGGTGAATGGGGGTGATGAAGAGAATGAAGATGATGAGCAAATCCAAGATCTGTGAGATACTACTTTTGGCAAATTAATCAAACTCTAATTTTCTCAATATTTCTTCAGTGTGGTATTTAACATAATGTGATGAGTTAAATAACCAAATTGTTAAGTTTAATTAATTCTGATGTGTCAACATAAGCACATGTAACTTACTTGTAGGCCAATGATAGATTTCAACTACATCATATATTTGAAAAGAAATAAGTCATTCACAGAATACAGTTTAAATACAAGTAAGACGTATTTTGGTAATTCTTCTAATTCATGATAATTAAAACATACCTGGAAGTATACAGGTGAATAAATATAGATTTCAGAATTTTAAAGGGGGCTATCAATTTGGAAAATTTCCTCTTATTTGTATGAAGTCTTTTTTTTTTCTTTTTTCAGCCATGCAGCACACTACTAGCCAGAATTATCTAGAAGAGAACTTAAGAGACATGTGAGTTTTATTAACAATATTCTTTTGTCTGAAACTTAAAATCACATTAATTCTTTAGGGAGAGGGATGTGGGGCAATGATATAACAAGAATGGTGGAGCAAAGGGGTTCAATTCTATCTTTAACGCTCACAGTGTCATGTTTCAGCATTAGCATTATGGTTGCTCAGTTTCTTCAGAAATCCACTTATGAAGAAGTACAAACCATAGCTAAGGAGTTGCTAGGTTTTGCAGAGAAATGCAAGAGCCTCAAGCTACATGAGTCACCTTCAGAATGCTCTCACCAGTTGGTAGGTGAATCATGTTCTGCCTTTCTTTCTTTCCCTCTCTCTCTCTTTTAAAGCTAATTTGCAACCAAAGATGTTGTTATAAGGCTTTTGAACAAATTGGTAGGGGATTGTAAGGCAGCATTATGTATGATTCATACACAAGATATAATCTTTATACGTTTATAAACTTACAGTTGATCAGTTCATTCCTGGGACTCTTTGAACCAAACATTCAAGAGAATGAATTATAGTCTTGAATGTCAATTTGTTAACTTGAGTTGGTTGCTCTGCTTCTGTCACTAAAACACTGTCATCTGACATCCTTGTGTAAAGGTTCTGAGGAAAATGAAATACTTTTAAATAGTTTTTTAGAGAATATGTGAAAGAAGAAAAAAGGGGAATATTATTATGGTCTCTTTTCTCAGTTAGTAGATAACCTTGGCAATTGTTCTTGTCTCTTACAAAGTTATATCTGTCTTGTGATTAGTAAATTCTTGATAAACATCAACACATTCTATCTATCTACCTGCCTACTTGATCAATTATTCTCATGCCGAACAGTTTAAAATACAAATGAATAGTTTTCTTCTTTATTTGTAATATTATTATTCCATTTTCTTGGGGCTAAAATCTACCTTTTATTAGATTCTTTGTAGATATAGAAAAATCATTAGACTTATTAGAAACAGATTTTAAATGAAATATTTGTGTTAGTGGCTAGTCACACTCATTTTATAGTGATTTCTTCTTATTTTTATTTCAACAGATGATTTTATGCTCTTATCCCCAAAATCTGAAAACATGTCACTTGAGGTTCACAGCATCCTACACATTTACAGCTACCCAAAGATATTAGGAAACTAACAGAATTATTACATTTCCACTTAAAAATTTGGTAATGAACACACATTGCTTCAGAGTTCAATTCTTAAAATAAGTTGCCATGAAAACAAAACTAAAAACAATTAGGAAGCAAGGAAAGCAAACTACTATCTATTTATTGGTAGATAAATCTCATTAAAAATATCTTGATTTCTTTAAGCCCTGGACATTCTGGCTTATGTTTATTTTAATAGCTATGAACTGTATGAAAATGAAGCAATTACACAGGATAGAAGAGAATGATTCATTCTATTTGGCCAATGTCCAGCATGTGTTAGACTTAAAAACCTAAAAGGCTTTTGATCAAAATAACTATGTCCAAGGATTATTGGATACAAAATATAACATTCTGCACTCAGTTGCCTCTTCTTAAAAAAAATAATTTTTTACCTTTCTTTTGGTTATTCCTTCTGTCCCCTTTAAGTTATTATTTCCTCCTACAGATGGCTATCTTCTTAGAACATATTTGTAATAACCAAGGAATGACTGACAAACATGTTCTTTCTGACTGTTGCAAGACAAATGACACAGCAAGACACAAGTGCTTCTTATTAAGTAAAAAAGATGATGCAGATTACAGGGACATATTCCAAATTCCAAATCCTGAACAGATCTGTGAGATGAACAAGGAGAGCGCAGGGTCAGTGAAGAAGAGGTAAGTCATTTCTCCTTGTCATGGTCTTTGAAAAAGTATTTTCCAATTTTGAAGACAGGTCTTTTTTACAAAACAAGCTCTGAGAACACAATGCTTTATTGCATGGAATTAAAGTGAAAATTTGAGCTACAACATATTTTTTTCTCCCTCTAAAGAGCAATTATGGTCTCAGTGAACCCCACAAGGTAGGGAAATGTCTGTACCATGAATCTTTAAACATGACTAAGACCTGTAGTGCACCCATTTCCTTAAGGGTTAGATTAGTCAGACTGGTAGCAAAAGATGGTGAAATGTACAGTCAAGTAGGTGAGCGTAATACACAGAGAGTACTGGAGACAGAGAGCAGGTAAGAGCTCAGGAAGGGGCTGGCATTTAGGATGATTATCAGGAGATATCAGGGAGGGTATCTGATGGGCATGGATGAAGAGTCTGCCATTGGAAACCTGGAATAAGTAACAACTGCAGATGAATTTTCTGCTCAAGAACTCTGATTCTATAATTCCCACCTAGAGTGGATAGCATTATAGCAAATGGGTAGGCAAGCTCATATCTTGGTTTTCTATTTAGCGCAGGATAATTCTATACATTCAGAGTGGAGAGCTAGCAAGTGGTAGGGATTTAAAGGCAGGAAATCAATAAACAGAGAGGTATAAAAGACAAGAGAAATATAATGCTTCAGTTCTCAAGGAATCCAGTTCTGGCCATTATACTAATACAGATCAGACACCAGGAATAAGGCAAAGATCTGATTGCTGGGTCTAGAGTGCAAGAGCATGGTAGAGATTTGATTTCAGATTTTAATTATGAAACTTTAGACCAGAGATGAATGAGCAGACAGGGTGGCAATGCTAAATGAAGTATACATTTTAATTCACCCACAAAAGGTCAGGATTGTCTGAGGAATTACCGAGCTTTCAAGAAAACATTAAATGGGCTCAGCCACTTAGGGATAGGGCTTGGGCAAGTTCCCAACCTGTCTGATATTAGGGGCAACCAAATGGGAACTGAACTCCAAGCTTGACTACCAGGTGACTGTAGTGCTATCCACTGCAGGTGAGAATTATAGAATGAAATTTGGGTTGAACATTCAGTGATTAAAAAATCTAACCAATTTTCAGGCAGTGAATTTAACCTCTTCTTGAACACTTACAATAAAGTCAGTAATTAAGGAGTTGTTTTATATGCTAATTTTAACTTACATGCATGCAACTATAAATATTCAAGTCAAGAATATTTCTAACTACTTGCCTCATAATTATAAGCCAAGACCTTTATTTCATTCTCAACTAAGGAAATTGAAATTTATATGAAAACCAGAGAAAAGTCATCTGTTTTGGGCTTAAAAGATAGCATAGCAACTTTCCTAGTCTAGAAAGAACTTTTGGATGATCTTGAGAGACATCTCTTCACCCAACAATAGCTTCTAAATTTAATTCCTCTGCATTCATGCACAATCCTGCATTTACAATTCAGTTTAGACTATTGAACTTTTTACCTTCTTCTACTTGTAAAAGAGTGAAAAGTTTTAATTACTGACTTCCTTTCCCCACTGACCGAGAGGTACAGTTGATCGCTTCATGGGCATTCGGAATGTCTGACTACCTCACAGTGATCTATCGTAAACATTTGATGCATTTAAGCGTAGTGCTATCTCATGTCTCTCACCATGATATTCTAGATGTTACAGGTCAACAAAACTGAACAAACCATACATATTTAAGAAACAGTGTCAGCACATGTTCCTGAACTCCAAATTATACAATTTTGGGTTTGTTAAATTATAGGTACATTTATGAAACTTCTAGAAAGCATCCATTCTTGTACGGACCCACTATTCTGACCATGTCTGCTTGCTATGAAACAGCTATTCAGTCATGTTGCCAAGAAGAAAATAAGACTGAATGCTTCTTGATAAAGGTAAGATATGTTAGCTCTTATTTCGAGCCTCACTGTGCAAAGTGTGGACCATGGCCAGAAGCATAAGCACCACCTGGCCGCTTGTTAGAAATGTACAATCTGTAGCTCTTCTCCAGAACTACTAAACAAGACTTCAACAAGATACCCAGGTGATCGATACAGTCATTTAAACTTGAGAAGCATGATCTAACATAGTTATTTCTTCCTAATAAATGTTTAATATTTCAGTTGCTATTGCTACATAACAGAAGACCCCAAAATTTAGTGACTCAAAACAACAATCATGTTATTATCTCATAATTTCTGTGGGCCAGGCATTCAGCAAGGACTCATCTAGGTGGTTCTATCTCATGATCTTTCATATGGTTGTACGAGGACAATGAATGGTTGGATCTGGAACTCTGAATGGCTGAAACATCAAGGGACTGATTTAACATCACTTTCTTCTCATATAATCTCAGGGTCTTTCCAAGCAAGCTTGTTCCTGTTGACATAAGAATGTAAAAAATCTGCAGAGAATTTTTAAAAGAATTTATTTAAGCCAAAATGATGACAATGGCAGGAACCAAAATCTCAAATGTTTGGGAGAATGGCAGGTTTGCAGTTTCTTTTATACATCTGGAATTAAGGAGGGAATGTAAAGAAGATTACGTGAAAGTGGGAGAATGCAAGGCAGGGATTGGCAATATTATGTGTTCTCTCAAGGGGCCAGGCTTGTTTAAGGGAAAGAAAACTTTTGCTAAAGAAGTTACATGCCTGGGGCATGACTGCTTACCATAATGCTCCCCATTAAGAATTTATGATCAGATCACCCGGAGATATTACTTTTGGTTAGATTTATTACACAACTCTTTTTTGTCTCCACTGCCTTGACAAGCTTGGGCTTCCTTACAATGCAGTAGCCTCAGGGCAGTTGGACTGCTTACTTATGGCTAAAGTCTTCAAAAATAAGTGTCCTAATGAATAAAGCAGAAACTGTCTGACCTGTTATGACCCACACTCAGAAGCTACTACTGCCATACTCTATTGGTTGAAACACCATAAAATCTCACCAATTTGAAAAGGACAGTATTCATACGGTACCTCTTGATAGGAGAATTGTCAACATCTCATTGTAAGAAGAGCGTGGGATAGATGTTGTAAATATCTTTGGAATATACAGTCTGCCACACTTAATTTTTAACAAAGTGGTCTTTTCTCTTTCACTAAATAGATGTAAATAGTTGTAAAAGTGATTAGTTCCATGTTAGAAGTATGTTTCATGTGCGCTCATTAAAGGTTCTAAATATCAACATAAAATAACCATTTTTATTAGAGGGGGCACCAGATGGATTTTCCAAAGGCTGTGCTGAAATAGGTAGTAGTTTGATAATCATTTTGATGAATTCCTCCAAAATGCAATACCACTTCTTCCTTGCTGTTTCCTTCCATTTTTTAGTGAGATTTTATCTGATATTCTTCTAAACTGATATTTTTCTATTTCTCTAAACATATTTTTTCCTATTTAGCTCCTCATTTTCTACCTTGTGTAAGAAATTAAATAATGTATCTAAAGAGTTTCTGTCATAGTCTAAATATGCAATAATTGTAGCTATTATCATTAAAGATATATAAATATATATATTTTGTAAATTTCCACCCCTTCAGAAGCCAATTCTGAATTCCTAGGACAGTCTTTTTTTTCGTTTCATATTAATCAAAATAAATGATCATGCAGACTTATGTCTCATTACCTGGCATTTCTGAAGAATGAGTTTTTTTCATGCAGGAGAGTTTTGTAGATAACTTGGTGCTTACTGTTTTAAGTTTCAAAGTTTTTTACCCTTCACCTTTTTCAGTGGAAATTTTTTTCTTGACGTATAACATACCCCTATAATGTTAAGCATAAACAAATGTTTTTAAGTTAGCTAAGAGTTCTTTCCTCCTTCGCCTCACTTTTTGACATTAATAGCCTCGCTACTTCCAGGATGTCTGTTCCTAGCAGTCTGGCTCCAACCTCAGAAAAAATTACACAACCAATTGTGCAACTTTATGAGTTAAGTCTTCAGAAACTCTCTTATGAAGAAATAAGTAAGCTTGTTTGTATTTAAGTTCAAATGAGTATGATACAACAAAGTAAGGACAAAAATAATTATATTTATAATTAATTATAAAAATATAATTATGAGTAAGCCAGTTTTGTAGTTTGAATATTCCTTTTGTATACATTTTCTAACTTCTTAAAAATAGCACTGTAAAGTGCAGTTACCTAAAGTAAGAATATTACCTATGGTCAATATAATGTTTTAAGTGAAAATATAGAGCTCTTCTGAAATTTTAAAATATTACTTATATTCTCACCACTAAGAGATATCAATTTTGGCATATTTCCTTTTATTTACTTTTTTTCTATTTACAGGTTTTATTTTGTACATTGTTGTGACCACAGTGAATACAGAGCTTTGACTAGAGATTTAAACATTTTACTTTTTATTAGAAACTTAGATCTTTTAAAAAATAATGCACTATTATTTATTTAACCTTCTCTCTGCTGTTGAGACATTTTTTTGTCTCCCAATTTTTGCTTTTGTAACAACACTCATGTTTCTCTTTTTTGTGTTATGTTTTATTTATTTAAAAAAGTTTATTTGTAATAGTTTCAAAAGTAAAAATCCCAAGTTAAAGAATATAAACACAGTTTGAAGGAATTCATATATAGATATATATTGCAAAACTGAAGCATATATTATAGAGAACACTTAGAGATATGTGCAAGGTAACAGTAACTTGAATAAAACCAAAATATAACTGTAAGAGATGTTGGATGTATCCTAGTGGCTCTTTGGACTTCCCTTTGCTTAGTTTCTTGTTCTCATTTACATTTCAAATGTTTGGTCACTGGAACAAATGATCTCTGGGGAAGAGAGATGCTCTTTTATTTTTTAAAAACTCCCAAATTATGCAGTTGTACTTGGCCTCTTTTAAATAAGATATTAAAAACATTCTAATTTTGAAGCAATGTACAATTTTTACTTTCCTCTTTACTAATGCTGAAATTAACTTCTCTTACTACCATATTTTTTTTCATGAGTTGTTTTTCTAATTACAGCTAGACCCCATCAGAAAATACATTAGAGAAATATCTTTGAGGCATCACCATTTATGTGAAATTGAGATTAAATTCAACCACAAAGTAGCAAAAGCAGTGTAAGTTACCTACTTAGATTTATGCATTTTGTTGTTGCTGGGTCACCCCTGTTTATTAAATTCATTAAGAAATCATTTATCTTGTATTTAATCATGGCTCTCAGTACGAACCTGTTTCCTTTTTCTACATGTATGCTACTTGCCTGTTCAATAGGGCACACAGGGAAGTGCATGAAAATTGCACAGTTCCTCTCATCCATTATCTCCCACCTCAATCTCTTCCATCTGCTCAAATCCCTTAGTCACTTCCTCAGTGCCCAAATGGTTCCATATATGCAGAAGCAGGCACTTCCTCATTCTACATGGCAAAGGCTGAAGGACAAAAGCCATTCTTTTCTCTGGGAAGATAAAAAGATTTGGCTCCAATGTTACACAGAACAGGAAAAGCTAGAGATGATTTCCAGGGGTGGAGATGAGATGAGGATGAGGTGGGAGAAGATTTTGATGTTATTCATTATGCCTCTTCCTAGCCCAGGTTTTGTTTCTGTCCAAGTTGACCCCCGAAGACACGCATCTTCCTTATTTCACCTTCTTGCCCAATTTAGGATAACACTAGGCTGCCTGGAAGCTCAGTTCCTCTTATCTTCCCTATTTCCCAAGAAATTTCAAGGATGCTGCTCACTTGTCAACAGAGAGAGGCAAGGGAGAGCCAAGCCTCCCATAATTATTGTCTTTATGGTGAAGAATTTTATTTGGAAAGTCAGGTCATATACAAATCACCTTTCTAAGCAACTCAACTCTTTAAGCACAAATTTAAAGGATTAAAATGACTATGCTATCCATGATTATGAGTTAAATCATGTTTGTTTCGCGCCTTAGACCTTGTATGGCTCCAGGTGCCATCACTAAAGAAATAGAAAGCATTTAGAATACACTCTTCTCAGCCTATACTTGCAAGTCTGTTTCTATCCTTTTGGTTACTCAATGAACTAGAATTAATTTAGAAAAGAGCAAATTCACAATATGGTTGAGAAATGTACTTATTTTTCTTTTCAGGGAGTTGGTTCTGTTGACTAAAAAACAACCTAAAGCTAACTTTTCTGAAATTACCAAGCTGGCTGTTGATGTTAAAAATCTGCATCAGGCTTGTTGTGAAGGAAATGTGCTAGCATGTGTGGTTGACAGGGTAAGAGCCTCTGTTTTCTTAAAACTCACTTTAGCCTTTAAAATACTTGTAATTCTTACCATAGGGGAAGAGGAATGGAGGAGGATGAAGAGGGTAAAGAGGGTCAAATACATGGTGATGGAAGGAGACTAGAATTTGGGTGGTGAGCACACAATACTATAATGTAACATAGAATTGTACACTTGAAACTTCTATAATGTTATTAACCAATATCACTACAATAAATTTAATTCTAAAAAAACTCGCAATTCTTAAATAAAGGTGATAGCGGTATGTAATGAATCTAAAAAGGTAATTGTCATTTATCAGGTTTTGGTACTACTCACTTATGCTAACTTCTGAAAATGAATTAGAAATTTTTATCCTTTTGAATTTCTGAAATAAATTAAATAGTATTGAGGCCTACCTGTTCTGTGAAGGTTTGAAAGAACTTGTCTGTGAAAAGAGCAGGGATGTAGATAGGAGCAGCTGTGACAGCTCCTCTGTTTCTTTTGTTATGATTTTTTTAAAAACGTTTTTCAGTCAATTCTCATTCTTCATGAATTCTATACTTGACAAAATTTATTTGTAACCCCCAAATCAATACTCACAGCACTGCTGTGGTCATTCTCAGGCTTGCGCCTGCTCAGAGCGGTGGAACATTTGAGTAGTCCCCACTGAGGTGGAACCAAGCAGTGCTCTGGCTTCTTGTATGAGCTCTCAGACTGTAAACAAGTGTTCATTCTGTGGTCTCTTTAGTGCTATGTTTTCCTTACTTTTGTACTTTTTGTTGGTGATTTATTAGCTGTTGAAAATGTCCCCAAGGGCAGCGCTGAAGTGCTGTCTAGCATTCTAAGCACAACAGGGCCGCAATGTGCCTTAGGAGGAAAATACGTGTGTGTCTGATACACTTGTTCATGTATGAGTGACAGCGCTGGTGGCTGTGAACTCAATGTGAATAAGTCACCACTATATATTACATAAGGTGTCTTTAAACAGAAAGATACATGAAACAGCGTCATGTCTTGATCTCTTGACGAAAATGCGGCCAGAGTCTTGTAGAGACCGACCCCGCTATTTCCCCTGGGGTCGATGATTCAGTATTCACAAATTCAGTGTTTATACAACAGCTGTGAATAATGACAGTGCACTTACTTTTGTGAAGGTTTTAAGCATACGTTTTTCTTTAACAAGTCTCCTGCATCAGCATTTTCTCATCTAGGGATATAGAGTTGTACATGGTAATATTATTTGATAATTAAAAATATCAACTATGTAATTACATCACTTTTCCCCATATATTTCTGTTTTCTCCTTTAATTAATTAGCTTTGTGAAGGGACAATTATTGGTCTTCTCCAAGAGCAAATTCTTGGACTTCGTTATTAGTTCTGTATTTCTGTTTTTAATTTTATTAATTCTTTCAAGTTTCTTTAGTTGTTTTTATGTCAATTACTTTGGTTAACGTCTTTATTTATACTCATTCTTTTAAAACAACTTTGTTAATAACTATTTCACTTGAACTATCACTTCTTTTATATACTATGTTCCACTGTTTATTATTTATACTGATGTAATTCTCTTTTGATTAGAGTATTTCTAATAATGCTTTCAGGAATGGTGTATGGATTATATACATCTGAGTTGTGTGCCCTAGAAAATTTTCTTTTTTAAAATTACTGCTCATTATATGGTACCACCCAAGAATGAGTACAAAGGTGCTGTGTAGAAGACAATAAATGGTAGGAGAAGTTTTCTTTTCTACCTAGAATGCCTACATTCTTATAGTTTCTTTCATCGATTTTCTTCCCTTTTTGTCACTGCCCTTTGAAAACTGATATTAACAATAGGTCCATGCCTGGTCTTTTCCTTTTACACATACAATCAGAGCTGGATGGCCATCCAACAAGGATTCACTCTCCTCTTCCACAGTCTAGATTAGTTGCTGGGCCATGAATTTTATTTCCTGTCTTGCAACTAGGTGGGGCTACTTCATCAAGTTCTGGTCAGAAGCGAATGATGAGATTTCTAGGCCTGACCATAAAAATCTCCTGACCAAAGCACCCCCAGTCCAAAAGCAATGTTAAAAGCTTCAGGCTGAAGAACCCTGGTTTCTAGAATTACTGCCTGGGGCTGATACGCCTCCCTTCCCAACAGAACTTTATTGAGAAAGAAACAAACATGATTTTATTCAACCAAAGGGAACATTCTAATTACTTAAATAATGCACATGCTCTTTCTTTTTTTACCAGTCTCGACCTGAACTTATAGCTTCAATTTACCACTTAGCCCATTCTTCTTCCTGAATTAATCTATAGTGCCAACTGCTTAGAGGAAATTCTCATGAAGATGTCTAATGGATGCCTTAAATCACCTTACCTCTATATCCTTACAACATCTGTTATAATGCATTATTATTGTTTAATTATTTGACTCTTCAACTAGACTGTGAGTTCCTTAAGTGTGGACACTAGCTTATCTATACACACACAACTATTTGTGTGTATGTATACATGTATAGTGTATGTTAAATGTGTAAGTGTAATGGTAATATTATTATAATATATATAGTAAGTGACAGAAACAAATGTTTCCAAAATTGAGATCTTAAAACAATAACCACAATAGCAAGACTTAATTTGCTTATTATAAGTCTTAATTTGTATTTTGTTGAGCTAAGCATGGAAACAATGGTATGGTCTGTCTCCCCTTAAGGTCTTTAAGAGATGTTAAAGAGGTTATGACACTTGAGTAAGATCAAACAAAGAAGCTTTTCTTATAAGAATGAGTCAACACAAATGATATTTTGGTGATATTCATTTGGTGAATATCATTTGGTGAAATGATATTCAGTTTGCCAAGGACAGAGCAATGTCAGATGCAAAGTTCTTGGTTTTTTTCTGGTTTTCTACTAATAACAAAATAATAAATAAATTTAGAATGAAGTCATCAAAAATAACTGCTTCCTTTTATGTTTTAGAGCCAGTTTATGAATTATACCTGCTCTAAGCAGACTGTCCTGTCAGGCAAGATTGCTTCATGCTGTGCACTGCCAGTGCCATTCCGAGGGGAATGCATTATCAGCTCAGAAAATGACAACAGGCCTGCTCTTTCATCCCTGCCACTCAGCCGGTTTACAGAAGACCAATTTGTATGCAAACAATTCACTGACAAGCAAGATGATTTCCTACAAGAGTAATATAGATTTTTTAAAAATCTTATTGATGGAATATCATATTTATGGATTCTTTGGAATATTATCTTGAGTTGTAAACTTAAATGATGACAGTGGTGAGCCAATGACGTAGATGAATGACTAACAGGGGACTATGACCAAGAGATGTCTTGTGGAATCCAAAGTTGGTAGCTACTATATAAATCACTATATAGCTCTTCTAGCCACTTATTGCCATATTGGAATGCAGACTTTGGAAGGTTAGGTCTACTGCATTTTTAAAAACATGCAGTGGGGGTCAAGTGTTTGCAAGCTTTGCTCTAACAGACTCAAGAGTTGTGTCTAAGTATGAGCTTCAGATTGATACTCCTGGTTAGCTCTTCTATTTTAATTAATTTAAAATCTATTACCAAAGCCATGTGTGGCATTTAAAGATTAGAGATATGGATGGACTATTAATATCTCTGGTATCCATTGAGAAGTATCTATTAATTTATATATAAGACAAACTGATTTCAATATATAATATTAAGCAAATATTGCTGTATGGTTGAAATACTTTCAAGGTCACTTTGTGAAGCATTATTTGGAACAACTAAATTCTAACAAAGTAAAAGAATGTGAGCTTTCTTTAAAGTTCTTTGTACAATGAATGTAGCTCTATTTCTGAAATTACATTTGATACTGGCTTAAAAAGTAAATGTCACTGCCTAAACCCATTTATTCCTAAACATGTATTTGGTACTGAAAAAGTTGACAGGCACAGCTTTCTAGTGGGATTCACATTAGACTTGAGTTTCAGTCTAGCTTTGTCATACATATGTTTTGGAATGGAGGTCAAGCTACTAAATTTCTTCAGGATTTTGTGTTCCAACTGTAAACTAAGGTGGTTAGATAAGATGACTTCTAAGATGCTCCCTGTGATTCTATGATTCTTTTGAAAACATCCTACAGTCCAAATTTCCTTTCTTATAAGCCAGAAGAGAGTACAGATTATGCATGAACTACCCATGCTTGAAGGTATATATATATATATATATATATAAGGAAAGAGGGGAAGATGTTGATTGAATAACTAGCCAGCACCTTCTTTCAAATGGACTGTAATGCTTACAAATTGTAGCCTCAAAGACCATCGAGAAAAATGTGTTCTCACTCAAATACTTAAAATTAATTTCTAGTAAAGGTAAGTAGAGATCCTGAACTAGGAATTATCAGCTAATCAGGATATTTTAGGTTTAAATTCTGGCTCTGCTACTCATTACTGTGTGATTTTAGAAAAATCACATAATTTTATTGATTTCATTTCCTTATCTCAAAATGTAGTCAGTAAACCCACCCTGACAGCCTCTCAACGTTTCCAAATGTCTTAAGTTCAGTTAAAATATTGAGTAAAGTTCACAATTATAATTGGCTTTTGAAAGAAAACTCAGAGCCTTTGAATTTTACTGCTTACTTTCACCCTGCTTCATATGGATACAGGTTTCTTTATGAATACTCAAGAAGACATCCAGAGTTGGCGGTTCCAGTGATTTTAAGAGTGGATACAGTATATCAACATTTATTGGAAAAATGCTGTAAATTAGAAAATCCTCTGGAATGCTATAGCCATGGGGTAAATGCCTTTTTTACTTTTTAAACTGCTAACTCATTAGTGACTACAAACATAAGAAAAATGACAGTGCTGTGAGTAGCGCCATGCTTTGGTAAGATGATTATGCATGCTCTTGCTAATTGTAGCGCTATGCCTGAATTATTGTCATCTACACCATAGGCCACGTGAACATGCTGCAGCAACTCTCTGCAAGCCACTGTCCTAGATTCTGTGCTCCACCGTTTTTCTGCGCAATTCCTTTCAAAGTGAATGTCTGCTTGGCACAGTAGCAGGTAGCATGGCCGCATAGCCTACTAGGGGATGGGAAGGTTGACTGTTTCTACCACGCAAGAGGAAAACTGTCCCTATTTCGGGCCAGGAATCATATTGTTTGGAGGCAGCAGCTCCCATTTTGCATTCGACATAAAAAATGCAGGCGGCTTTATAATCCAACTGGGTGATCGGTTAGTCCTGGTTTATAAGGAGCTAGGTTGCACTGGCCTTTGTCATTCTAACCAATTGCTTACACATATATAGAGGGTGGGGTGGGAGTGCAGGGTGAAAGGACTTTGTGGACCTGTCTGGGCTCAAGCAGGTACACCTAGCATCCTCCTGTTCCCAGAGAGAAGGATAAATGCAGGTGATTTAGTTTCCCATGGGTTAGCACCCTCTCGTGGCATCACCAGCAGACCTCCACAGTAATCATTGTTATAATGGCGCCTTAAAGGAGTATTATGTGTAGAGTTAACAAAGCAACTTTACAACCAGTGTTCTATTTGATCTTCATAACAGCTTGTTAACAGGTAATTCCAGAATTACTAACACTCTACAGGTGAGAGTATTGAGTTTCAGAAGGTTCAAAGGACTTGCCTGATTGCACACAGGCAGTAAGGACAGGGCTAGGGGTTAAATACAGGCAGTTTGCATGCCTAGTAAAATTTTCCCTATAACAAACACCCTTACTAGGATCAGGTGGACTGGGTTTGGTGCTTCTACCAAAGTGCTAAGCCTGGAAGGTTGCCTGTATCTTCCCACTGGAATTTATTGCATGGTTCAAGAACTCTGAATTTGCGTTAGCTCTTAGAATTCCATTTGACTCATTCAGTGTGTATTTGTGACATATTTTACTATAGTCAAGGCTGGTACATGTTTTTATTATACCATGACTTCTTAATGCACATTTATATTTCTATATCTATATTTTTATCTCTATATTTGTTATTTATGTAAAAGACAGTATTATTAAAAATAACCAACACACACACATGCTCACACACTGCCCAATCAAACTTAGATCTATAAACTACCTTTAATGATCTCTCTTTGGCTTGATAAATGATTTGCTTTATGCTTGTAAAATATGCCCTTTTATCTCAAATGAGTTTTTATCACAGGAAACTAATATCAATCTTGCTGTCCCACTTTTTCCTCCATAAATACATGACCATTTCTGTTTTAGCATAATGTATTTTTCAAGATTCGTTAACTCGGTAAGTAAATAAAAACCCTGGGTGCAGGAAAACAGCTATATTAAACTCTTACAAAAGATGGTTTTGCAATCTTACTTCAAGATATATTGTTGCAGTGGTAGATAAACACTGATTATTTTTATTTTTCAGAAAGAGATGTTCCAAAGAGTGGTTCATGAAAGCCACGAGCATGTTAAAAATCACTGTGATTTACGTGAGAAATTAGGAGATAGTAACTTCCATGACAGGTATGCTTGTAAGATATTGTCCAGATTTACATTTGTTTAGTGAGTTTTTGTTAACTCTTGATGCTGAGAGTTGCTAAGAGTCTGCATCCGCCCTGCATAAGTTATGAGGACATCTGTCTTATCAAGGCAAAGATAGCTAGACAGCTTCAGAGGTCTAGCTATCTTTGCCTTGATAAGACAGATGTCCTCATAACTTTGGGTACTTTCACTGCTTTCCAGGCCAGATTCCAGATTTCAGTCAATGGCCAGAGGTCAGGGAGCCAAGCAGGTCCTGGCTGCCCTCCTGTAATCTCACACGGGCCCATTTCTTCACACATGGATGCTTAGTTCAGGTCTTTGCCTGAAATTTTGAGTCAAAACTGCAACGGAGATCTAATGTAAGGTCCCCTTGTTGATTTCAGATTAGACTCATAAGCAAATTTAGTATTTTCACCACTGAGAGTAGAGATACCTTAGTCCTTTGCCAGAGGGAACACGCACAGCCTCCTGTGTGCAGAGACTGGTAAATCCTACTGTATTTCAAAGATTAATACATAAAAAAAAAAAAGCCAATTTTTAGGAATCTTTAGAATCATGCCATAATAGTCTATTTAGAAACAGAGTATTCAGGAAAAGTTCAGTTTGATGTAGTGTCCCAAATTATTGTTGACCTTAAATGTCCAGAATAATGATTAAAAAAAAAGCATTCTTGTTTCAGAGAGAATATTTGGCTTATTACTTTTCTATTATGTTGTATTCAGCTGCTAACGTCTAGTTTAAGGATTAGAGCTGTGGTGCTCAAACTTTGAATTACCTGGAGGACTTACTGAAACGCAGTCCCGCCTTAAGTGTTCCTGATTCCTAAGTCTGGCACGGGGCCTAAAAATCTGCACTTCTACCAAGTCCCCAGGGCTGCTGACACTGCTGTTCTGGGAGTCACAGTTTGAGAACCATTAGACCAGGCTGACTGTTTCATTGGATGTTATAGCCAAATTCTTCCCCCGACTCCGTTATAACATAAATGCAAGAATTAGCTCTGATTTTTTGTTGTCCTCAAAATCAAGTCTGTGGTGTCTTTCTCTTTAAAAAGTCTCTTCCTATCCCTCAGTTCCAACCACCACACTCCTAGTTCACACTACCACTGCCTCTCACCTGTGTTACTGGAATGGCCTGCAAATTTTTCTTCACTCAGATAGCCTTGTGCCCACCTCCTGGCCATACTTTATATAACAACCATACTTATCTTAAAAACAATGTAAATCTAATTCTGTAACTAAGCTTTCTTCCTTCTCCTCTCTCTTATCTGCCACCCCCTACCCCCATACACACATGAAGAAAACAAAAATCACATTCAATAACTTCCCAAATGCTCCCCTCCCACTTTTCACTCCTTTGTACCTGGCTCATTTTTAGGCATCGTCGGATCTCAGCTCACATGCCATTTCTTCCAGGAAGCCTGCCTGAGTTCCCTGGGATGGGGTTTGAAGCCACCTAATGTGCACCTGCAGCCCTGTGTACTCCTCTCACCCTGCCAAGTGTACTTGTCTATCTCCCCAACTAGCATGTGAGCCCCAGAAGAGCAGGGATTGTTTCTTGATCCTTGCTGTAGTCCCGATTCCTACACATCACAGACAACAAATAACAGCTATAATTGCCTACGCAGATGTCTATTTCAGGACCTGTTTAAGTCTGACTCTGCAGCCGTCCAGAGGAGCTATCATGGGAATCCTTGATAATCAGAAAAAGATGGGTCGGGGTGGAGCGAATACTGTATAGGTTCATTTCCCCTGAAGACAATAATTTCTAAAGTATTCAGAGTCTGACGATATCAAGTTATTCAATTTTTATTTCTAAAGATACAGTTTTAAAAGAAACAAGTTGAAAACTGTTATTGAAGCAGTTTAGTAAGAAATGGGGAAAATTCCCTGGCAAATGGCCTGAGGAAACTGAGATAAATGGCTGAACAAATGGCAAGAAGGGCTGAGCAATGAACAGCCAGCCTGTAAGTCACAAGACTGTCCTCCCCAACTGAAGGTGCCTAAGAGCACATGGTTTATATCACCATAGACAGGGAGGTAGATAACAAAGACCAATTAGAGCCAGACTAATCCAAGCTAGAGTGAAACTAACCAGGCAATGCCCCCAAAGCTCATTATACCATCATTATAATGAAAATTGACACCAGAAGTAGAAAGGGAGAAGCCCGGCCACTTCCACAACAGACCATATTAGGAACAAGACCCTCCCAACCAGAAGGCACCACAAAGCTTGGAGACAACCCTCCTGCCTTGGGAACATATAAAATGCCAAGAATTAACCGATCAGGTCCACTACTCACTCATGAGTAGGTCCGCATCCCCTAGGACGTGTACTTTTGCTTCTTCCACAGTGGCGCCTGTGCCCTGGCCTCTCTCTTTTTCTCTACCTGAATAAATCTTCTTTCGTTCTCATTCTAGCTTGTCTTTGATATTTTTGCTGTGCAAGTCAAGAACCTGGAAGTTGACTGACACGTGAAGGGTCCCGAAAGGTCCCAGACCATGCCAGGGCAGGGCTCACCCATGTTGTGGAAGAGGTCTGATAGCATTATGGATAGCCACATGTCTCTACATTGTACAGGAAGCAAACTTATATTCTTCCAAATGTTCCCAATCGAAAGCAAAAGAAAAATCTATATAGCTGAATCTTCTCATTAAGCACAAACAGAAAAATCGGATTTTACTTCATAGTAGAGTAATTAAGGGCAGTGCTAATCTTCTACCTAAGTAAGGTCACATGAAAGCAAGAGAAAAAGCACCCTAAATTGCATTGTTTGTGTTTCTTTGAATAACCTTTCTCTAGGCAACATGGTTAACGTGACAGTGTGTGAGGTTGGAAGAGAATACCAGGTATATTGAATAGGCCGCTGAGCCATTGGAACAAGGACTAAAAGGAGGGAATTAAACCTAGTTTAATGCCTTGTTCAACTTGAATCAGAGAGAATGTCAGATATTGAGGAAAACTGTAGAATTCTTCATTTTAGGCACATAGTCATTGCCAGGAGTAAGCGGAAATTATTTTTTCAGGCTCCTGGTCCTTTATACAAAGAAAGCCCCGCAACTATCTGCTCAAGAGTTGGTTATGTTCACCAAGAATATGGCAGCTTCTGCCACCAGATGTTGCCCTCTGAGCGATAAGCAACAGTTTGCGTGCATGGAGGATGCGGTAAGCACATCTGTGACTTCATGTTTGCCTGTTCTAATCTGTAACCTTCAGCAATCAATCTCATGTCAGTGGACACATCTATGAGCAGTCAATGGAGCCTAATAATTCTGTCCTCAAGAGAAATTCTTTCAGCTCAGCTCTTGCCAGTTGGCTTTAATTAACAACAGGGTTAAGGCTATCATGTCCCTATCATTCGGGATGTCAGATTCAACACGCCTTTGCCTGCATCATACCTCTTAGTCTATTTCTTGGAATTTCCAGTCAGCAAAAGTGATTTTGCCAGGAACTGCAAAGATAATGCTGGCTTCATCTACCCCAATCAAACATATAGGGGAAAAAATGCCCAGTCTTCCTCCTGTGTTTCTTCTTTCCATTCACATTACTACCAAACTCACACTTCTGCCATCAGATGTGTGTGGGTTATTTTCCAACAACAAGCAATTCTCTGTGACACCAGCTGAGTGTCTTACAATTTAAATCAGTCCTGACACTATCTACCTGGAGACAGCATCAGATACCATAGGTTAAAGGCTCAGTTCTGCAAGACTGCCCCCTACCCCTTTCAGATGACAATTGCAAGTCTAGGTTGTAACCTGTGCTTCTGACTGATTAGCTATACAGCAGAGGTTTCCACAACTCCTTTCTAAGGTTTAATTAATTTGCTAGAGTGACTTGCAGAACTCAGGGAAACACTTACCTGTTTTTTAGAAGATATGGTAAAGGATGCAGATGAACAGCCAGGTGAAGAGATAAATAAGGTGAACTCAACTTGAGGATGATGGGAAGAGGGAGGACAAGTCTTAGAACCAGGCTGCACCTTACACTCTTCTTTTTTCCCTAAACAGTAAAATCCCGGGTGAACGAGCAGGAACTAGTATATGAGAATACTTAAATATAATAGCATTTTCTATAGGTAAGAAGATAACAACCACAAACCTAATGGCTCTTACTTTAATTCTCTTTTGAGAAAGGCTAAACTAGATCTTGGAGCTTTATGCAGAAGACATGAGGCACAGCCTATCAATGCTGGTGTGGGTCACTGTTGTGATGACTCTTATGCCTTCAGGAAGCTATGCTTTGATGACCTGCAAGTTGATGGAACTTATATTCCTCCACTGTTATCCTGTGACCAAGTAATGAGCCTTAAGGAGGACTTGTGCGAAGTTCAGGAGGAGGAATTCCAAACTGAAAAGCAAAAGTAAGAATCTTTGTTGAATTTGTTCTTTACTGCCAACACAGGAGCAGGTATAGAGAACCATAAAGTGGGCACAGATGTACGTACTGCATAATGGATGGAGTAGCAAATGTTATGTTGGGGGTCAAGTAGAATTGAGAATGTATGCAATTTTGCAGTTTTATCTATCATGGGCGCTGCCACAGCTTGATCAGTTATTGAGTTTGAAATCTGTTGATCAGAAAATATTGACAGAAAAGTACATTAATATGTATTTCCTGAAATGTGAACTTCAGATGTTAGTTTTATAAAGGGTCATGTACAAATAGGATTTCATGGTCAAATAAGTTTGGGAATACTATATTTCCTTGCTCTTCTCATACTGTAAATCTTCCATTTACAAGGAAGTTGGAGAAGTCCTGCAATAATCTCTTCAGCTTGTTCTAAATTAGCATCATCTGGGCCATAGAAATACTAAGATTCTTCAGGACCAGAATGCTGGGGAAGTACTTCGGAACATTTCAGTAGAGTGATATACATCACTTTATACTTTAATACTTCAGAGTATATAATTACTTTTACTACCACTTCTATTGTTATTAGGAATGACTGTTGTATATGTTTGGAAGAATGGTTTGGGGATGATTATTTGTAGGTGGCAGCTGGGTGATAATGTAATAATGTCCATGAATTCAACTCCTTGAATCTTTAATTTCCTTTTCCTCCCACTCCCGAGCCCATGTAATGCAGTTTCTTGCACTAGATAAGGCTTTGTAATAACTCCTCAGAATATAGGAAAATAGGATATCATTAGAAACTCACAATACTGGAAATAAATCTTTAAATGTGATATATATATATATATATATATATATATATCTTTCCTATGAACATTTAATACCAAAAATATTGAAAATGAAAGGAGACTTAGATATTAGTCCATTGCCTGCACCCCAAGTTTAGGAAATCCTTCTAAAACACATTGTGCAGTTCCTGCTGAATATTTCCTGTGCTGGAAAGACAATTTGCTTAAAGCAGCTTATTTATCTTTAGATATGCTTAACTAAAAAGCCCATCTTTTTTTCATTAAGTAGAAATCTGTTCCCTTGTCACTTCCAGCTAAATTTCTACTTCTGAAATGACAGGGAGAAATATTTTATAGATATTCCGTGAGCTGAGTAAGGATAGATCCCTATTATTTGACTGCAAACTGAGGATGAGGTAGGGTTGTTATACTCTTAATTCGAAGATGGGCTTCCCAGGGAAGGCAAGAGGAATGGTGTGCAATGCTTTCTAAACTTATATATGACCTTGGGAATGCATGTCTCTGCCTGTGTGCACATTATGTATATGATGTAAACATACATGATATATATGCAAGCATTTATAAATTAGAAAATTTTTTTCAATATAAGTTATTGCTTTACAAAATGCTGTTCTGATTTGGTGGCTGTTACTGGCACTGGAGCCTAGTGATCAGAAATGTTGACAGTAGACCACAATGTCTTTATATTTGATCAGTGTTTTCCAGTGTGTGTTCTATATAAAAAAGGTTTCTGCATGAAGTCAGCAATAGGATTCAACCCAGTGTTCTTTTCAATTCTTGTCTTCACAGGATAAATTAGAATGTTTCATCATTCCAATATGTTGTCCACCCTCTTGCCCTCCTGCTATTGCATCCCATTGCCAAATCTCTTTCCCCTTATCCTTTCTTCATATGATATTAGTTAGTTTGCTGCAAAACAAATTATACCAAAATGTGGTAACTTCACTCAGCATCAGTTATTATTGCTCAAGCATCTGTGGGTTGATTGGATGAGTCTGGTGACCTGGGTCAGGCTTAACTATTCTCAGTGGGGCTCGGGCAAGAGTCTATGGTCAGCTGCTAAATCAGCCGGGAGCTAACAGGCTTGGCGAGCATGGCTTGTCTCTGCTGTATGTGGTCCTCTCCAGCAAGCTAACCCAGGCTTCTGTGTATGGTAGCTGGAGAAAAAGGGGGACGTTTAGAGGCCTCATGAGGCCCAGGTTTGGAACTATGCAATGCCAACTCTGCTGTGAGGCAGGCTCTAGGACTAGCTCAGATTAAAGGAGTGTGGAATAGACTTGACTTCTTGATAAGAAGAGTTGGAAAATCACATTTTAAAGGACATGGACACAAAGAAGGATGGGCAATTGGGTCCATTTCTATCATCAATCTGCCACATGTGAGTCATTAATGTATTTGTTGATGAATGTCAGGATGAATGATGACAATGATGAATGTCAAGATATGATGAAAAGTGAGGCAATTAACTGGATCTGAGGCCATCAAAAATGAGGCGGAATGACCAAGCTTTATACATGTGATAGGAATAAATAGGGGTAGGGGATGTTCGAGTTTGATGATGTATACTTCAAAGGAACTAAGACTTAAAAGAGGATGAGGAAGAGATGTGCTGGAAGCAGTAAAAGAGAACTAGATGATAAGGTAAGTAGGGCTCAAGTGAAGTTAGCCACCTCTTGAGAGGTTTAGAGAAGCTGTGTTCTCTGGGGAGTCATGTTTTCACATGGAGCAAGAAAGTAAAGTTAAGAAAAGAGGCCATGGATATTGGAAAGTTTTCTGATGAGAAACCTCAAGCTACAAAGGAGACAGAGGATGAGTTAGGGAGGACTAGGCCAGCGGGAGATGGGTCAGATTAGGGATACAGAGACATCAGTATGATAACAGATGATCTGGGAGACAGACTGCTGACTGTGACTGAGGCGACTGAGGCACCACCAGCTTGGCCTTGGAAGTAGCACATGCAGCACACCCAACCCTTGGCCAGCTGCTCTTGCCCTTGGCTGCTGACAGCATAGATGATGAAGAGCTCACAGGTGGTTGACATTTCCCCCAGCTCTCCCTAGAGCATCCACTTGCATGGATTAAACGAACACTTATTATCAGGTCTAGAAAAGAGGCTCCTTCTTTGCTGCTGCAGACAAAGAAACGTCCTTAGTGGCATCAGTCATCCACCTCTTCACCCCAAACTCATTCCTGAGACTAGAGCTGAGGTTTTACCATAGTCCGGGCACTTTCCCTTGGAATGAACTCTGCTGTTGATGGATGTGATGTTAGAGGCCCACAAAAGGTAACTGTTCTAGTAAAAGCCAAGCGGTAAAATCCATTTCTTTGAATCAGCAGGATGCATTGAACACCCTCCTACCTCTGAGAGTGAGACAGTTCCCTTCTAGTGCCCACCATGCTTCCCGCTCTCCTCACATGCCCCTGATTCTGTCCTCAGGAAAGGCAGGCCCTGGTCCTCTTTGTTTCTTCTCCCCCAAGAGCATTAGTGTGGTAGCTTATATCTAATTACTTTATTTACTCTAAGACTGGCTTTTGCAGGATCTGCATGTTATTAGTCCAACAGTATCATCTTGCCAAGTGAGGCAAAATGTGTTTGTTGCCTTGGCAATGAACACTTTCTCCCGGTCAGCAAGAACAAGGTTGTCACTTGTTCTGTTTTATCACAGTATTTGCAATTCATTAGCCAGCTGACCCTTGAAGTCCTTTCTTCATTTCCCAAGGTGACCAGATCACAGATTAGGCTTTAAAACTTTCCAATAAGCACCCAAAACACATTGTAACATTTAGTTAATCATTCTTTCTTTAAAAAAAAAATCTTTATGGGCACTTTATACAGATGGCCTGCAGTCTGAGAAAATGGTGGATTATGTACCCTAACGGCCTATCTTAAACTCCTTTTTATTTTATTTTTTTAATTAATTTTTTTTTTTGTTCAAATGCATTTGTCTCTACCTTTCTGCCACCCCTTTCCCCTGCCCCCCTCTCCCACCTCCCTCCCTCAATCCTTCCCCACTTTGGCTTTGTCCATGGATCCTTTAGTTAATCATTCTTTCTTTAACCCAGGCTTGATGTGGAAACAAGGAGAAAAAAAAAATCTATTTTACTGCTAGAATTCAGGCTTTGCTTTCTCTTGAGTTCTCCGGGTGTAGATAAGCACCACTTCATGTATATCATCTCACTAAATTCTTACCCCAAAATTTATGTGCTAGGTGATGTTGCTACACCATTTTAATTATGAGGAAACTGAAGCTGTGAAGGAATGAAGACTTGGTATGAGATCACGCAACAAGTAGCTAAGTCGTTGAACTGCGATTTGCACCCAGGCAGTCCTGGGCAAAGAGCATATGCATAACTGTCAACATCCAGCAGATAATGTATCTTAACCAAAGGGTTGTAATACTGAGTATGTGTAAAACATGGAGCTTTTCCGATAAGGGCTAGGTAATAAAAAGTGTGAAACATTAGGAAGTATCCCTGTCCCAAGGAATTCACTGTGTTCTCCGTATAGTAACAAAGAGACAGTTACTGTGAGGATTTCTGGGATATTCTCTGTGGATCCATATTGAAAATCAATAGCCAGTCTGGAGAAAAGTCCTCCATCTTCCTGGTACAGTGTCAAGGGCTCTCTCCCTGGTGTTCACGCCCACACAGCTCTGGCTGGCCGCTGCAGCCCGTGTTCTCACACACACAGATGCGCGCAAACGACAGGCAAGTGAAGGGGCTCCCGGAGGGGAAAGAAAACATTCAGCAAAATAATAAGGGGGAAGTAGAAGTTGAAGTCATGGAATAAGAGAGAGAAAATGAAAAGGACTCAGAAGTTCAAAGTAAAAAAATTTCCAATCCAATTTGAAAAATATTAAGTTTAAATGTGAAGATTTAAGACAGCATGTAAAGACTAGCATGGACTCTAAATAAAATGGTGCATAAATTGGATAAAAATAAAAGATTAATATCATAGAAATAAAACTGAAAAGAGTTGATGTCATTGAGAATTAAAAATGAAATTTAAGATTTAAAGGTAAATTTAAAAGTTTTAAACTAAACAAATAAAAAGGGTCAGCGGAAATACTTTTAAATAAAAGCCATCTGAATGGTAAGTAGAGAGATCAGAGCTGGAGAGAGCTAAAAAGGGCAGGAGAGGTAAATCAGTTGCAGGCTTTGACAAGGATGTGATATCGTTATTGGGGGCAAGGGTCCAGCTTCCGAGTGGCACAGAGTACCCAGTTGTAGAAACGGCAGCCTTTCTACCTGGAGTGCCAAGGAGAGCTGACGTGACCTCCCGATACTCCGCTCTGAGTCTCATTCCAGACCTTCTGCCTTTTGTTTGTTTGTTTGTTTGTTTGAGGCAATAAGGCATCTTAATTATTTAGTGCTCATAAATTATTGGAGTTCTTGAATGTGTGGCTTCTGCCTTTATTTTTTCTATGGTAAATAGATTCCATTATTATTTTATAAAATTATACTTAAGATAATTCTTTAGCTATAATTATGTATCATTTAAATATAACTTTCAATTTTAATCTTCAATTACAGTTTATGTATAGTATTAATTTGTCATAGTTTCAGGTATACAGCATAATGGTTAGGTAATCATATAGTTTACAAAGTGATCCCCCGAATATTTACAGTACCCAGCTGGCACTATACACATCTCATAATGATTACAATGTTATTGATTATATTCCCTATACTGTACTTTACATCCCTATGACTATTTTGCGACTACCAATTGAACTTCTTAATCCCTTCACCTCTTTCACCCGGTCCTCCGACCACCCCTCCCCTCTGGCAAACACAGGTTCACTCTGTGTCTGAGTGTGTTTCAATTTTGTTTGTTCATCTATTTTGTTCTTCAGATTCCTCATATAAGTAATATCATATGGTATTTGCCTTTCTCTGTCTTATTTCACTTAGTATCACACTCTCCAGGTCCATCCGTGTTGTCACAAATGGTAAGATTTCATGCCCTTTTATGGCAGAGTAATATTCTTTTGTATATATGTACCACAGTTATTTTGTCCACTTGTCTATTGATGGGCACTTGGGTTGCTTCCATAGCTTGGCTGTTGTAAATAATGCTGCAATGAACATAGGGGTACATATATTTTTTCTAATTAGTGTTTTGGATTTCTTTGAAAATATACCCAAAAGTGGAATCATTGGGTCCTAAAGCAGTTTCATTTTTACTTTTTTGAGGAAGCTCCATACTGTTTTCCATAGTGGCTGCACCAGTCTGCATTCCCACCAACAGAGTATGAGGGTTACCTTCTCTCCATATCCTTTCCAACACTTGTTGCTCGTTTATCTATTGATGACGGCCATTCTGACATGTGTGAAGTGATATCTCATTGTGGTTTTAATTTGCATTTCCCTGATGATTAGTGATGCCGAGCATCTTTTCATATGTCTATTGATCATCTGCGGTGTTCTCTTTGGAGAGATGTTGAAATCCACTTTTTAATTGGATCGTTTGTTATTTTGGATTAGTGCCCTTATTGGATGTGTCAGTGATGAATGTTTTCTTCCAATCAGTAGGTTGTTTTCATTTTGTTGATGGTTTCCTTTGCTGTACAAACACTTTTCATTTTGGTATAATCCTACTTGTTTATTTTTTTTACTTTTAAATTTTCACCTGGCAAAAGAGACATCAGAAAAAATATTGCTAAGAGAAGTGTCAGAGATTTTACTACCTATATTTTCCTTGAGAAGTTTTATGGTTTCAAGTCTTACATTTAGATCTTTAACCCATTTTGAGTTTATTCTTGTATATGATGTAAGAAGGTGGTCTAGTTTTATATAATTTCATATATATGTTCAATTTTTCTAACACCATTTATTGAATAGACTGTCTTTATCCCATTGTATGTTGTTGCCTCTTTTGCCAAATATTAATTGGCCATATAGGTATGGGTTTATTTATGGCTCTCCATTTTTCTATTCATCTATGCATCTGTTCTTATGCCAGTAACATGCTGTTTAGATTTCTATAGTCTTATAGTATAGTTTGACATCTGGTAGTGTAATAAATCCCAATTTGTTCTTCTATCTCACGACTGCTGTGACTGTTTGAGGTCTTTTGTGGTTCTATATAAATTCACTGGAATATTTGTTTTAATTCTGTGAAAAATGCCATTGATATTTTGATGCATTGAATCTATAGATTGCTTAGGGTAGTATAGATATTTTAATGATATTAATTCTTCCTATCCATGAGCATGGTATATGCTTCCATTTATTTGTATCGTCTTCAATTTCTTTCTTCAATGTCTTATAATTTTCTGAGTATAGGTCTTTTACCAACTTGGGTAGATTTATTCCTCGGTATTTTATTTGATTTTGATGCAATTGTAAATGAGGTTGTTTTCTTAGTTTCTCTTTCTAATAGGCAGTCTAGTAGTTAGGATTTGGTTCTCTTAATGATCTTCAATGTTATTATTGCAACTGTTCTGGCGTGCCATGAATGTTTAGGTAAGCAGTAAAATATCAATTAATGTACCTTTCCCCTGCCCTTCATGCCTTGTTTTCTTTGTGGTTGAATCTGTCTTGGTTTAGGATAGCAAAGAAAAGAAAGGAAAGATATAATTGAGAAATTTGAAATTCTATTTTATTAAATAGGCAGAAAGTAGGTTACTATTTTAAATATTGAAAGTGGTCGAAACATTCGTTTATATAGTTGTGGGGAAAACAGCCTGTGAGAGAAAATCTGTGATGATTGTGAAGCCATTCAAGTTTCAAATTAGTTTATTGGTTTTATCATTAATAACATCTGAAGGACCCTGAACTTCCTTTGTGTTATGCTTGTAATATTTATTTGGAAGCTAGTTGTTTAGAATGAGCGTTGTTCATAACAAATGTTATAAGAAAAGCTATTTAATTTAATATATAACCTATTTACTGTCCAATGCAATGAAAATAGAAAACAAAAATATTTACCCTAGAAATAATTATACAAACTTAGTTAAATTTATTATAAAAATTTTACTTAAGAGAGAAAATTGAAAAAAATTGTGTCAGATAAAACATGAAGTTGGAGATGGACACTGTGAAAGCTCTGTGCACTTTGGGTGCCTTTAAACTTAGAAGTGAGAGTGATGAAAAAGCATGTGCAGCTTTATATAAACCAGGTTTGCAAGTTGGCCTTTAAGGACTCAGAGGCGCTTTTATTTTTGCCACTCATTTCTGCTTCAGGCTCCTCAGCAACCTTGTGAAGCAGAAACCATATGCGACAGAGATGCAGTTGCAACCAATTATTGCGGATTTCACTCACCTGGTGAAGATGTGCTGCCAAGCAGAAAAACGTGAAACATGTTTCCAAGAAGAGGTATTCCTGTTTCCCTGTCTATTCTCTTAGCACTCTTAGGGTTATTAAAGTTTAAAAAACTCCTTTCTCCATTCCAGTCCTGAGTAGATTAGGAGAAAATCATAGTCTAAATGAGTGATCTTTAACCTTTTTTCATCTCATAGCACACATAAACTAGTTACTAAAATTCTGCAGCACACCAATAACATATTTTTTGCTAATGTGACAAAAATAGGTATAATTTTGATGGACTTACAAAACAGAATAATGATATTGTAATTACCTACCCTCTTTGCTCCAAAGTGACTTTTTAAAAAATTAGGTGTCTATACTTTATATGAGGATTTCTGGTACCAAGAATTAACCAATCAGATACAACCTTATTATGCGACATGACCAATAAGATGAAACTCTATTATATAACCTACATATTTATGGTTCAAGACAGGGCATTCGCATTGTTGTCATGTTTTTTATTTGACAGTCTAAGAGAAAAGAGGTCAGGTCCCCTAATAAATAGTCGGGTATTGCATGTTTTAAAACTTCTTGCAGCACGCAGGTTGAAAATCGCTGGTCTAGATGGAGTGGTGTAATTGACTATATTTGGGTTTAGGATATGTTAGTATTTATGTGTATTCGAGGAAACTAGGAGTGTTAAAATGACTAGGGATAGTACAGGAGTCATGCCGCTGGATGTCCTGTTTGGAATTGGGGGTGAGACGAAGAAGGATGAATGGAAGACTTTGGTAATTGTAGAGAAATGGTGTCCTCATAAATACAGAGAAGTTTTAAAGAAGTAACAGTTGAAAGACCTGTTTGAACAAAACTGAAGTTTTATTCTAGAAATTTTCCAGGGCTCAATCAGGAAGAACCACAGAACGTAGTTTGGGATTGAACTAGGGAACCCAAGTATTTCATTTTCCCAGTAGCCAGAAGGTCATTAGATTAGGGATTGGAGACTAGGGAGAGAAATGAACAGTGGCCAGAAAAGAGTATCTATTCGTGCATACACACCAAACTGACTCCCAGAAGACTGTTTTCTGTAATTAATCTAATTGCATATAATTAACAAGTAATTGATTTATCATAAGATGGTAAGATTGTGTGACTTAAATTTCAAAGAATGTCATGGTGGCAGGGAATATTCATGTAAATGAATGGAGAGGACTTGGGAGGGGTGCCCTCCTAGGGACATGACTTGAGCAGAAACTCAGAAAGGGTAGCTAACAGTATCTAGTGGAGAAATGCAAGGGTATAGTTAAAAAAAAATACAGCAGCATTTACAGTTCAAACAAGCCGGAGCTGGTTAGGACTGGGGCTAATTTTGCAATGGCCCAGGAAAATGTTTTTACAGGTAACAATTTTCATGAATGCCTTAATTAACTTCACTGGCTCTTTTCTACCTATTCAGCTAGATTGTACCTGCATGTTATATTAAAAGTCATATATTTATAGTCCAGTAAAAACTAGGCAAATTATAGGCCTTGGGCTAAATTGGTTCCACTTCCTGTTTATGTAAATAAAGTTGTATTGGGACACAGCATGCCCACTTATTTACATAATGTCTACCACTGCTTTCTGTCTACAACAGCACAATTGAGTAGTTGCGGAATTAAGTTGTGAGAGAGACTATATGAACCACAAAGCACCCAATATTTACTATTTAGCTGCTTATAGAAAAAAATTGCTGACTCCCAGACTATCTGATACACAAAATGAAAATAATCACCCATCCTAGAATTTGTTTATTTTAAAGCCTTTTTACCTTTTTGCAAAGCATTCAGAAAACATGTTTGCTTGAGTAACAACCCCATAGCCACACAAATAAACACTTTTACTGAAGAGCATGTGCCAGTGAATTCCCAAGGGAGTTTTCTTGAAGTATTCTTGTTCTTGAGTATAAATCCTGGCTGGAACTATTTCATCAATAACATTATAAGAAGATTTCTGTGGGTTTTTTCCCATACTTTGTGCTTAATAGCAGTCTTCAACTTAATGATTAAAGAGCCCGATTTTTTTTTTTATTTTCCTCCCTTTCCTTTTTTATTTTCTTGTAGAGTTTCTTCCCAAATTAAAGGAAATAATAGAAGTACTCATAAAAATATGTCAATTAAAATTTGCTAGAATTACCTCTTCAAATAAAAAATGTATTAATTACATATACTTATTATATGTCATTATGCATCATGTCTAAAGTTTGGTCAAGTTTACTTTTTTATTTTTCTAAGGCAGTGATTCTAAAGTGGTAGTTTACACCAGAATAACTGCCAGGCTTATTAAAATCAAATTGATGTCTTTGCCCACTGGGTATCTGATTCAGTAGACCTAGGGTGGAGTCTGATAATTTTCTTCCTAATGATTTCCTAAGTGCTGCTGATACTGCTGGTTTGGGGGCCACTTTAAGAGCAACTATTCTAAGGTGAAAGCAGATAATCAAAACCTATTCCCTTACCCCCTCTCAATATTTTCATATGTTTATCTATTAGTGAGAAGTTGGAACTGAGGACAATAACAAATAATAAAACAATTGGAAAAATAACATGTTTATTTTAAAGAGTGAGAGAATTTTTGGATATTAGATATAAAGATTAGGCTGGAATATTAAAAATTACTTCATAGTAAAGAAATGGGCTTAGAAAAATTGTGGGAATAGATGATCAAAATATTTTGAAATTAAAAAAAATTTTTAAAGATTTGATCTATTTTTAGAGAGGGGAAGGGAGGAAAAAGGGAGAGAAATATCAATGTGTCATTACTTCTCGAGTGCCCCCTACTGGGGACCTGGCCTACAACCCAGGCACATGCCCTGGCCTCGGAATCGAACCAGCAGCCCTTTGGGTTGCAGGCCGGTGCTCAATCCACTGAGCCACACCAGCCAGGGTGAAATATTTGGAATTTTATTGTCAAGAATTTGTGTAAGCCTTTGCTCTTGGGTTTGTGGAAGGAGTCTAGGTTTGATCGTAGTATAAAGGAATAATGCTTAGTGGCTTCAGAAGTCTCCAGGGAACCGCAATCCCAGAAGCAAAGAGGCTTAGCCATTTGTCAGTCTGTAGATGTTCTAGGGACCTTCAGGCATTTTCTTTGTTTTCTTTTCTGAGATTATAATAGTCAGTTATATAAACCTGTTCTGCCTGTTAAATGAGAAAGTGAGCAGGTTTAAAGATTGCCTTTCCAGCTATGGCTCTTGGGAGGATGAAACATTTTTTGGTAAATTGGAAGCCATGCCTTGAGAAGTAAGCCAGAATGAAGGACAGTTCTGAAGAGAAAAAAGTCAATGTTGGAATGTTGGCAAGAGTAAGAATGAAACATAAGGACGGAATAAAACAGGAAACTCAGCCACAGCGTGAATATGGATTGTCCAAAGAAAAGGCATTCCACATTTTATGAAATAAGAATGTGAATTGTAGACATCAGTAGGTTCAAAGAAAAAAATCCTGTCATCCAGTTCAGTGAGGAGTGGTAATTATAGCCTGAGATATTTATCTAGCAATGAAGAGAATATAATATAGAAAAAAGTTAACATGAATTAGCAGAAATTTAGGCACGTTAAAATGATGGTTTGAAAAATAACACATGAATTTTTAAAAATTCTTCACCCATGGGCATGTTTATTGATTTTAGAGAGAGAAGTAATGGGAGGGAGAGAGAAGAAACATTGATTGGTTGTCTTCTGCATACACTCTGACTGGGGATTGAACCCACAACCTATGTATGCGCCCTGCAGGGAATCCAACTCGCAATCTTTTGGTGTAAGTGGACAAGTGGATGATGCTCCAACCAACTGAGCCACCCAGCCAAGACATGAAAATAACACATGAAATTTAACAATAAAAATAAAAAACAAAGTTCTGCTTTTAGATGTAACTTAACACAAGTTCATGTGAAAAAATCTGTTGGTTGAAGTAGCCTTTATTTACAACCTGATGGGTCTGTTATCCAAACAGCTGCAATCTTGGGGTGCCTTTCTGAAGGAAAAAGCAAGCATCAGATTAAGAAATGTGATAGTCCCATCCTCTATGGGTCAGGTCATTCTGGGTTATTATGTTCAGTTTCTTATGATACATTATTCAAGTTTTGAAAATTATGTAAGTCATACACGAACATGATAAAAGTTCAAACAGAGGAGCAGGGTGCATTTCCCATTCCCAAAAGGAAACCGATTTTATTTTATTTTTATTTTTTTGACATTTAAATTTTTCTTTTAATTTTCTGTTTCTTTTTTCTTTTTTAATTGAATTTATTGGGGGTAATATTCATTCATAAAACCATGCAAGTTTCAATAAGACATCATCTGCACATTGCATCACGCACCCATTACATAAGCAAAGTCTCTGTTCTCATTTCCCCCCTTTTGCCCCACCAATTTTAAATCTTCACTTTTAGTTTTCCTAGTTATTACCATCGTCACTTTAATAGTCTCTTAAGATACTACCATATTAAAGAATACAGTGTACAATGTACTTACACTATCTTCAACTCTCCCTGCAGACTTTCTCAATTATTTTTTAAAAAGCATTTTTAGTTCTTACATTGGTTATATATTATTTATTGATCTCTCAACTTTAGCCAGTGCCTAATAATTCTCTAAAACATAATTAACATATGTAAATTTCATTTGATTTATTTGCCAGCTTTCCTTTTTAAAGCTATAACATTACTTCTACATTGTCTGGATTTATTCATCCCGCTTTGTAAATATAAGGATTATATATTTTGTTAATAGGTTAGTGCTAAAAACTGGAAACCATTAAATAGTAAATTCAGTAATGTGTTTACTTGAAATATTATTCACAGCAGTGCTGTGAATGAATTGACCCACAGGCTAATGACTTATCATGTATCCCCCAAAAGGAAATCTCTTTTCTTACCTACTGTCAACTGCAGAAAATTATGCCTTATTTATTTAATTTGCATATTTTGGCTATGATTTTCTAGGATATTCTTTCTGAGTTTCTAATTGCCTCCTTTTTCTCTGTTGACAAATAAAGCAACTACTTTTGTCACACCACTAAAATATTTCAGATACTTAATCATAGAGTTTTCATAATAGAAAATTCTGTCACCTTAAAGCTCTATTTCAAAAAGTCCTCTGACTTAATATTTCAGTTGAATCTAGTTATTTCTAACACTGATTCATGGCTATCCACATGGGGTTTCTTTTCAGTATAATCCTGGGTAAATTTGATTATTTCTAAAATCTTAGTTGTGTTTTTTCTTGGATTCTTTTAAATTTTGGTGCGCTACAATCATGTGTGTGTGTGTCTATGTATATATGTATATATGTATATGTGTGTGTATATATATATATATATATATATACTTTTAAATGTTCATATGGGAGGTAAACTTTCTGGTTCTTGTGTTTTTATTTTATTTATTTATTTTTTAATGACCTGGTGACATTTTTTAAAAAAATTTTTATGTATTGATTTAGAAAGAGGAAAGGGGCAGGGGGTGGGGAGAAGCTTTTTTTGTTGTTCCATTTATTTATGCATTCATTGGTTAATTTTTGTATGTGTCCTGACAAGATTGAACTCACAACCTTGGTGTACAGGGCCGATCACTAACCAATTGCGTTACCCAGCCTGGGTGGTCCTTGTATTTTTAAATATTATTTTGTCCATATTTTTGCACAGTATTTTTGCTGGTATGTCAGTTGGGATTCTTTAGTTTTAAATAATAGGATCAAATTCTAGCTAACCCAAGTAAAAACTAGTTTATTGAAAAGATAGTGGTGGCTTTAGGAATCTTTAGGAAGTTTGGAAAATGGGCTAGGCAGCACACAGAACTAAAGCAGCTCAGAATCAATGACTTTCTGGTCTTTTAATGCTGATACACCTCCTATTTCTGTACTTTGGCATATCAGTTAATATCATACCAATAGCTTTCTTTTTGTTTTCCATTAAGTTCATCAATCTCTCTTATATTGGCATGTTTTTTATATCATTAATATGGCATTATTCTTTTACTTTTTTGTATGTTTTTACTGTTACTGAATTGAAATTTTGGAAGAGATGAAAGATAAGACATTTAAAAAGAATACTGACAAATTATGTCCAAAGAGTATCTAGAATAGGAAAAGGATTGAAAAGCATGTTGCAAAGGGTATGGAGAAATAGATTGGTAATGTTTATCCCAAAGTCTTAGTGGGGGTGACATGTTAGCAGTCTCCCCACATGTCCAGGCTTCTGGGAAAACAAAGAGTGGCTGATTTGGTCTCAGCATGAGGAAGACGTTTCCTCTTTCTTTGCTCTGTTATCTAGATTCCATCAGAGGAGCCCCTGCTTTGTATTTCAAAATCTTGCTTGGGTGTTACCTCAAGATGTGGAGTTATCCTCACTTTTTTCCTCATTCAGGACATTTTACATTATTACAGTAGTCTTCTCCAATGTCTTCCTTCTACCTCATCTTTACAAAAAACTCTTTTTTCCCCCCAGCAATGGTTATCATAACAAATTAGACATTTACCAAGAAACTACGGAATAAATAAGATCAGGAAAGACTGATATGGAGAAATACGAATTCCCCCACTATTGTTAGGTTCTGAGAAAATGACCAAGATTATATATGAGGGTCTTGAGTATACTTATGGGAAAATTTCCCATGACAGTTTATTTTAAAAGTCATGGGTTACCAAAGATATGAAGAAACTTAAAATCCAGCAATATGTTTTTAAAAATGAGCCCAAGAAGATTCCAATCTCTCTAGATGACTTAGATGTGATACTGTTTGAGGGTAGGAAAGAGGACTAAATTAATAGACTTCTAACCATTTTCCACAGAATTGTAGGGGCCCTTAGGAGTGAAAGTCATCTCTCCCCCAGGATGTGTGTGTATGTTGGCAGTGGAGTTCTGGGTTGCCCATCAAACTTTGCTAAAGATCCCACTTTTATTTATCTACCTGGGCTTCTGCAAATGATTTTTATTTCAATAATGACAAACAGGTAAAAATTGGAGAAGACTGCTGAAATTTATACAGAGGTCTACAAGAGCTTATAGGAAGAGGGCGGAGACATACTCTGATCTATTTTAGTGGTTTGTTCCTCTTGAATTCCTGTACTTAACTATATGATGAGTTAGCATTAAATTAGCCTGGAGCAGTTTTAAAATCCAGTGAGAAGGTGATGTTGATTGTCCATTTTTGCCCCACAGCAAAAGTGTCTCATTTTTTGTGAGGAGGCAGCAAATTTTTATTTTTTACAAGTCTGGGGTCCTAAAAGCGGGAGAGGCATTGCAGTTAATTAAATCCTTACGCTAAGGGACTAGGCCTGTAAGAAATTCTAAAACGTTGAGAAGCAGGCACCTCAGAGCCCAACTCAGGCATGAAATAGGGAAGTCTTAAAAGATTTTATACTTGGGGATCAGAGCTGTTAAAAAGTGTTTGTTTGTTAATTTGTTTTTCTTTCTCTCACAGATGTGCTTATTTGCTTATTTCCTTAGGAGTCCAAACTGATCGAAAAGTGCCAGTCTCTCTTAGGAGGCTAAATGATTCCAGAAAATGTCAATGTAGGATCTTCGCTGAGGTCTACATTTTATTTTTCATGTATAACAAAACCCATGTCTAGTATTCAAAATAACACATGAATCAACAAAGTCATTGTTGGCTACTCACAATGTTACACAAGAACACTACCCAGTCTATACTAAATCTCTTCTTCATACTAAGCAGAGAAATCCACTTACAGTAACCTCTACACAACCTAGTTTATTCTTTCTTCTCCCCATAAGCTTTCTGCTTCTTAGAAGCGGCAACAGAAATATGAAATCAAGGGCCTTTGAAAAGCCTCAGGTTGATGTAATTGCCTGCCACATCCACTGGAAACTGGCTTCTGGGTGTTCAGAGTAGAAAGGACCCCAAGTGACTGGAGTTTCTCTCTATAGCACTTCTAAAACTGATTATTGAAGAATTGAATGAAATGTGCTTTATAATAAAGTTACCTTCCTAATCATTTTGCCTTCCATGTTTAACCTGTATACATGATACTGATATTAGACACAAAGGGTCCTAACATATTTAAATTAAATTGAGCTTTCAGTGGTAATTTATAATAGTCTTTCCCTGGAAACCCTGGCACAAATGACATAAAAAATTATCATGGACTTTTTACTTTTCAACGTATTTTTGTATAATAAAAAAACAAATAGTAATATTTTAGTGCTTACTAAATAGGTGAATTATTTTTATTAGAGGAAAAATATAATTTTCATTATAGTGCTCTTTACTTGATTTTAAATATTTTTCCTCATTTCAGTGATTTCAACATGTTATTATATATACTGCAAGTTAAACCCAATAAATATTTGTTAACTATTATGTTCAATATGTCGTGCTAGGTGCTACAGAGAATAACATGAATATAATAAGACCAGATCACTAGTGAATTCTTAAAAGACATAAACACATAAGCAATTAAAATAAAAGGCAAGTTTCAAAGTTCTGGTGTCACAAGAGCACAGCTAACTGATAATATGATGTACAGGAGTTTTTGATCACACATCGTCACCGAAACCATGGGAGAGCATGGTCAAGGACAAAAAATGGGCATAGTTTCAACAGAGATGTGGTAGAGTATGAGGTGTTTCAAACAATGAGGAGTTAGTAAATTTGGCTAGTTGTTTTGTTTTTAAAAAGTATATTTTATTGATTTTACTATTAAGTTGTCCCAATTTTTCCCCCTTTGTCCCCTCTGCCCGGAACCTGCATTCCCCCTGGCAATCCTCCTGCTTAGTTCTTGTCCATGGGTCATGCATATAAGTTCTTTGTCTTCTCCATTCTTTATACTGTTTTTAAAATCCTCCTGTTTATTTTGTACCTACCAGTTTGTCCTTTTTTTAAAAAGGTAAGTTTTTAAAAAGATTTTATTTATTTATTGAGATCGGGGAAAGGAAGGAGAAAGAGAGGGAGATAAACATCAGTGTGTGGTTGTCTCTCATGCTCCCCCTACTTGGTGATCAGGCCCGCATCCCAAGCGTGTGCCCTGGCGGGATACTGAACTGGTGACCCTTTCGTTCGCAGGCTGACACTCAATCCACTGTGCTACACCAGCCAGGGCCCAATTTGTGCTTTTTATTTCCTGCATATTTTTCTCCATTCTCCCTCTTCTTCCCAGCTGATAACCCTCCAAATGACCTCCATATCTATGATTCTCTTCCTGTTCTGCTTGTTTGCTGTTTAGATTCAGTTGTTGACAGTTGTGAATTTGTTGCCATTTTAATGTTCATAGTTTTGATCTTCTTTTTCTCATGCAATTGCCTTTAATATTTCATGTAATAATGGCTTGGTGGTGATGAATGCCTTTACCTTTACCTTGCCTGGGAAGCACGTTATCTACCCTTCCATTCGAAATGATAGTTTTGCTGGATAGAGTGATCTAGGTCACTTTGAACACTTCTTGCCAGTCCCTTCTAGCCTGCAAAGTTTCTTTTGAGAAATTAGCTGACCGTCTTATGGGAACTCCTTTGTAGGTAATTTTCTGCTTTTCTCTTGATGTTTTTAAGGTTCTCTGTTTCTCTTTAACCTTTGAAATTTAATTATGATATATCTTGGTGTGTTCCTCTTTGGGTACAACTTGTTTGGGACTCTCTGAGCTTCCTATACTGGTATGTCTTTTTCCTTCAACAAGTTAAGGTAATTTTCTTTCATTATTTTTTCAAATAAGCTTTCAATTTCTTGTCCTTCCTCTTCTCCTTCTGGCACCCCTATGATTTGGATATTGATATGTTCGGAGAGGTCCCAGAAGCTCTTTAGCCTATCCTCATTTTTTTTTTTTTTGAATTCTTTAACTTTTTAATGTTCTGATTGAATTCTTTTTTTCTTCCTTACATTCCAAGTTGTTGACTTGAATCTTGGCTTCATCCCCTCTATTGTTGGTTCCCTGTAGACTTGCCTTTTTCAATTAATATAACTTTCATTTCTGCCTGGGACTTTTTTATGCTGTTGAAGTACCCAATGAGTTCTTTGAGCATCCTGATAACCAGTGTTTTGAACCCTGCATCTGATAGGTTGCTTATCTCCATTTTATTTAGTTCTTTTTCTGGCGTTTCATTCTATTCTTTGATTTGGGCCATATTTGTCTCCTCAATTTGGCAGGCTCCTTGTGTTTGTTTCTGTGTATTAGATAGAGCTGCTTTGACTCCCTGATTTAGTAGTGTGTGATCTATTATAGAAAAGGCAACTGTAAATTGTGTGGGGTGGAGCCTTAGGTAATCACCAGGGTGCAGCAATTTGTTTCACCACTTTGTGGCTGTGTGGGGTAGGGCTCGGAGGGGGGAGAATGCTGCTGCCTGGCCTCTGGAGATTTGCCTGAGAGGAAGCTATCTCCTGGCACTCTCCTGTTGCCAGTCACTTCACTTTCACCCTTTATGCTACTTGTGCCCTTGCAACTGTTGCCCTAGTGTTAAGTCCCAGAGGGAGTGGGCCTGCATAAGTCCTAAGAACTTTGAGGGCCCTTTAAGAGGAGACTCCAAAGAATCCTGCAGCTTCTTCTGCTGCCTCAACCCCCACTGGTTTTTATAGTCAGAAGTTATGGAGACTTATCTCCCTGGCACTGGCACCCTGGGCTGGGTGGTCTGGTCTGGGGCTGGGATCACTTGCTCCCAAGGTATCCCTCCTGATTTTTATCCACCATACATGAATGTGGAACTTCCTGTTCCATTGCCTCTTGGTGCTACTCCATGTCTTCACACCTCCCTATGCCTCTGCTCCTCTCTGTGTCTCTGCCCCTCCTACCCATGTGGATGAATGTGGCTTCTTTAAATCTTTGATTGTTGGACTTCCAATCAGCCTGATTATCTGATGGTTCTGGGTGATATTTGTAGTCTAGTTGTAATTTTTGCTGTAGTTGTGCAAGGAGGTGAAACATGTTTACTTAGGCCTCCATCTTGACTGGAAGTACCAATTTGACTAGTTTTAAGACAAAAATGAGGTATTTGTGGGCATAATATTTAGTGTAAGATAGGGCTACAATGATGAGTGGGGACATATGGTATTTTAATTATAACAGCAAATATTTATCACACACTTCTATGCAAAGTGCCAACCATGTATTTTGATCATATTCTTACATGTATTATTCCTATAATTCCTACAAGCATCCCATGAGGTAGATGCTATTATTCTCATTTTACAAATGAGAACACATACAGAATACCAGATTGAAGGGGTATGATTTAGAGTGAAGCCATAGACTATAGTGGTTTAAAAGCGTGGATCCTGCAGCCATAGATTCAATTCCTACCTAGTTCTTTTTCTAGATTTTAGCAAATCTCCTCACCTCTTTGCAGATAAATTTCTTCACCTATAAAATTAAGTTGAAGGAGTAATTCCCTCAAGGGACTGTAATGAACATTAAATAAGTTGATATATGTAAAGGATTTAAAATGGTGCTTAGCAAATTGAGCTATTAGTTTGAACAATATGAAATTGTTGACATGAAAATGTCAGATGTTAACAATTTCAAATGGTCCAATCTAATAGGTTTTAACTATTATTGATTTAGAAGACAAATGGTGCCATTGAAGGCTTTTGCCCTCTCTAATTGCACCCTATTCCCTTCTTTCATTTCACATGTAGATATACACCTGTAGTCTTTTCTACCTCATCAACTACCTTGCAAACGGACTCCTTCCCCTTCAGTTTCTGAAACCAATCTGAACAGATCTAAATCATAGTAACAATGCCTATCTGAATATTTAATACAGCTAAGAGATCATAAACTATACCACAATATTAAGAAAAATCATATAGAAAAAACCTATATGTATTTCTTCAGCAGCAGGATCATATTTGTGAAAAAGGAGGCATACATACAGGAAATTTTACAAAAAAATTTCAGATAATTTATTCACTCATTCACTAATTCATCCAAGTCCTTTATTCAGTTGACTTTTCTTGAGCATATCCTGTACACAAGGCACAATATTAAGTACAGCAAAGTACACAAAGATGAATGTGACAGGCCCTATACCATTAATAAGTAAATTATTATCTGGAATTGAATGTGCACTATTGTATAACTGGTAGTGAAATATTTTGACTATCAAAATAAGGCTGAATGACTTTGTGACAAAAATTTATATTCTTCTATATTGCAAAGATGACTTTGAACAGATTTTTTGTCTCAGAAATTGTGACAAATGTGAAGACCCAAATTATTCTAAAATTGGCAGCGTGCTACAACACACATTTCTTATCTCACACAATTTCTGAGGATCAGGAAACCAGGAGCAGTTTAGCTGGGTTTCCTGGGTCAGGGTCTCTCATGATGTTATAGCTATTACACAAAGATGTAATCATCTAAAGTCTTGACTAGAGCTATCACGTGGCCCACGCATATGGCTTTGGAGGGAAAAATTCTTTGTTGGCTCTTGGCAGGTCTCTGTTCTCATTGTGTAGGCCCTTCCTTAGGGTTGTTCTGAGCATGGCAGTTGGCTCCCCCCAGAACCAATGATCCGTGAGAGTGAGCAAGGAGGATGCCACAGTGACCTTATGACCTGGTCTCCAAAGTCAGGTGCTGTCAGTTTTGCTTTCCTCTATTCATTAAAATTGAGTCACTAAATCCAATCTGTTTTCAAGATGAGGAAGATTAGGCTATACCTCCTGAAAGAAGGAAGACACTATGGATGTATTTTAAAATTACCACAGAAGTGATGTTAATGTCTCATTTAAATAATGTATTTCAACATTTTTGCTTCTAGAATAACTGTTTATGTGTTCTTGCTACTTTTTGTTAGTAACTTTTAAATCATAGCTTTTCCACTTCTTGATTTAAAAGTAACACATGTTCATGAAAGAATATTTAGTAAATGTAGAAAAATGTAAAAAGGTGAACCATTAATAATTCTATAATCCAGACATAACCCCATTTAACATGTTATTTTTGGCTTGAGTTATATGTGTAAATATTACTGTTCACATACATATAAACAGATATTTTATGGATAGTGAATATGTTGGTATATTTTTATGTGTAGTCTTATTTAGATACATAAGAATTTACTCCCATAATTAAAATTTATTTGAAAACAATTCTAGTAGCTGCATAAGATTCCATAGGTAAATATTTCTTTTCTTTTCATCTTTTTTTCTATTTTTTACATTTAGCTATTTAATTCCTTTAACAATAAATAGGAAAATAGTAAATATATTTGCATAATGTCTTTGCATGTCTGATTATTTCAATATAAGATATTAAAACTAGTTATATAAACTTACTGCTAAATTGTTTTTTAAAAAAATTATATACACTTGTATTTCTATCAGTAGTTTGAGAACCCATCTTGTAATTTGTTGAGTGTTTAATATTATCACTTCTTAATCTTTACTAATTTTATAAACCAAAAAGTATATTTCACTTTTCTTTACTTTGTGTTTTGTTGACATGCCAGTTATTTTATTGTATCTCTGCTCCAAATTCATTTTTTACTGTCAGCTTTGCGAAGTAGATGTGTACCCTTTGAATATATTTTCTTTGCAGCGTGCATGCCATGATCTGTCAGTAGAGGGCACTGGAGAAACATAATACATCAACAGAAAGAAGTCAGGCTTTCCCCGATTCCTGTGGGCTGGCTGGCCGGGCTCTTGGGAACGTGACTTGTTTTCTCCACTGCTTCACCCAGAGTCGTTTCTGCAGTGCTAGTTGACAGTAAGGTGCAGCTTTCTCCAGCATTTGCTCCTCCAACGTCTTTTCCAATTTTTTATTGTGTTTGTGGTGCCATAGCCTGGAGTCTCAATGCAGGCCTGCGACTAGCTCAAATCATTGCTCTCTGCACCTTCTCCTCCACTTGGTGCATGTTCCTGTGGGGCTGGCCATCTGATGAGCCACGTCTTGCCTGACCTTTGTCCCATGCTGCCTAAAAGATGCCACAGAATGAAAACATACACAGAGTTGTACTAGGTTCCTTCAGAGGAGGCTCCTCCAGTTCTCAGTCCTAATAGCACCCCTCTTTCTCTGTGCCTACCCTGGAGCCTGGGCTTGCCTGTTCCTCCAACCTATTTCCTGGGGATCTTCAGACACAGACCCTATGTGATCTGAGCCTTGCACCTGCAGCGAAGTCCCAAGGCTCTCTGCACCCCTGCCTCCCAGAGGTTGTTCCTGCTTGCCCTATGGCCGTGGCCCTGCTCTGGCATGGGCAACCAGCCGACTCCTTTACCCAGTGGGTTGCAACCACACCTTCTTCTGTGAATCCTGAACCCTTCATACCAAGGTTTTCCTTTTTGGAGCCTCTTCCTCAGCATTAGGCTGGCCTTTAGGGTTCTCTTTCCATCTTTTGGTTATACTCCTATCATAAGTTAATAATTCTATATACTAAATACCCCCTGTTTAAATTACTGTGTGGCTTCTGTCTCCTGATTTGACACAGACCAATACAGTTGATCACTATTAAGATGCAACTTTTTTCGTACACTTAGTAGCCATCTGTATTTCTCCTTCTGTGATTTAACTTTTCATGTAAACTGCCTTTTTTTTCCCTATCCAACACTTGGTATTTCTCTTATGCATTCTGTAGACTTTCAATATATTAAAGAGAAATATTTTGTCATGTTTATGGCAGGTACATGATGCTACTTTAAGTTTTTTTAGGTACACTGAATTTTAACTGTTACATTTTTCTATTATTAATTGATAGGTGAAAGGATAAAGTTTTATGCAATGAAAAAAAACTTACTATGACTGAAAAGGTCGTAGCATATTTTTCCTCTCATCCACATTAGGTTTTGGTGACAGTGAGAAGTAATACTTTTGTCTTGAAAATGTTTCATAAACGAACTGGGTTTAGTACAGACAACTGTATTCCATAGTACATGTAATGTATTCAAACAGTTTAACACAACGTGTATGAGAAATCAAATAGAAGTAGTTTACAGAATGGAAGAAAGCTGCATACAACTGTTTAATACAGAGTTCATAAGTAGAATCATAGTTAAGACTTGTGGCATTCTCAGTGTTTTTTTCCAAATTGGTTTAGCAATGTGTAAATACCTTGAGCATTGTTTTTATAGAGTAAGATGTCTTGAGGAAAAAGAGCAGCACTCTAGAATCCTTGCCTAGCTTCTTCTGCTACAGATTTGCATTGTCTTTTGTATTCATTCACTAACAATGGTTATTACAGGCCAAGTCTTGGCTTAATAGCTGATTAAATATGTGAAGTCTCTGTGGTATCTATGTTTGGAAAAATAAAGAAAACTATTTTAACTGACCTAAAAAGATCTTTAAGAATATTTTTAAAAGTCCTCAGTAAAACAGCAAAAAAAAAAAAAAAAAGGGTAGGTGATCAGGTTGAGAAAATTACAGTTTGGATTTCTTAACAGAGTCCACAAGCTTTTCCTTCCCAACGGACCAAGCGTTCTGATGTTACATATATCACCAAAAGTCACCTATCTACACAAAGGCAGTTCTAGATTTTGTGAAAATACTAGAATTTTCAAAGAGCTGTAAGACAGTGTTACCATCAGATTTCTTGGTGGGGTAAGAATATGATTCTGTTTTATTTCAAGAGCTGGCAGCTTTTACTTCTGAATCATTTCTGAGAGTTGGTTGTTGATATTCCAGTTCTCTTGACAGTTCAGGCTAAAAGATGTTTAAACTGTATCATATTGAAGGCACCATTTAAATTCCAGTACATTGAGTGTTTTACTATAAAGGCTATTTGGAATACACAGTATCCAAGCTTACTTCAGTTACTGAAACTAAATTCAAGCTCATTTCAGTCCAACTGTGAACCCTAGTGAACCTGATCATCTCAAAGAGAGACAATCTTTTTCAATATTCAATTTCCTACACATTCAAGTTTATATATATTTGTATGAATGGAAGTACAGGAAATGTGCACTCATCAAATAGTAACATCTCTCTGATTTTGCTGGAGTTTTGGCAAGAAGGGCCTGTACTACTAAACTGTCGTCTCTGTTTTTACTACCTGTTTCCTTTGAAGACATTTCAGTATAATAGCCTTTTCTGTATTGAATCTGAAAATGAAAAGGAGAAAAATAATATTAAAATTTGGACACATTTTGTGCATTGAACCTGTTAAAGGAGCAAGCACCTAGCATGCATGTTCTTGGCTTACTTTGTCATTATTCTTTGAATCTCTCTTTTTTCTTCTTCATGTAATCTTTGAAGGATAGATTCCAGGAGAGAAAGATGAAAGTTAATGTACTGAGCCACCTGAAAAACATACACACACACACACACAAAGAGAAAGCAGAGCATTTATGCGAGAGATACTAAGTTAGGAGGAAGCAAAGGCAGATTCAGGGTGATGGTATTCATACATCACTGCTAATCTCTTCTGTATCTTTATCCATGAGGAAAATGCGAGCATTCTCTTTGGAAGGTCCCTGTAGGAGCCTATGCAGTAGTGGAATGTCTGTCTTCTTTAGCCGCCTCCTTTCTGCCAATGAAAACAAGAACAAACTACAATCAAGAATCCATACCAGAGAAAAAGAAGAAAGATAATATGGTCATTTCTTTTCTTTTTTTTATTTTAGCTCACTGTGAAAGATATAAAAATACTCCCCCCCCAAAAACAACAAACAAACCCATGTACAAAATGAGGCACACACTCAAAATATTTACACTGAAATTAAAACCTTTAAATGAACTAAAAATAGACTTCTTTCTCTTGTCACCCCACAAAGCTTGACTCAGAGGATTTAACTTGCCTTTGGTTAGTATGTTCAGACAAATCTCCAGCCCCATTTATGCCTTTCATCAAACAACACAGTACAAAATTTCTTTATAATTTTTCATTCATTCATTTAATAAATATTTATTAATACTTTCCTACTTCAGTTAATGTAATTCCATCTTTCTAGTTATTCAGGTTCAACACTTTGTAATTATCTTCAATTCTTCCTTTCTCTTTTACTCCACATCCAATCCTTGGATATTCCTTAAACATATTCAGAATCTTTTGATATTGGAGTATTTTTATTATTTCATTCATCTGTAGGCTTCATCCATTCAGCCACGATAATGAGATAAGAAAGAAAATAACTTCCAATTTTGTATATTCCCAGAACTTCTAATTTCCAAGAATTATATATAAATACTACCACAAAAGCACCTTTAGCTTTCTGTCAAAGTAGCTTTCACACCTGTGATTTTATTTTTATCACAATGTAGCATGAACAGTAGTGCCCTTATTTTCATCTTATTTCCTCCCTCCTTCTTTCCTTAAATATTTTTAAGTTCCTACTATGTGTCAGGCATTTCCGTATAGTTCTTGGTACACTGTAGAACAAAACAAAGTAAAACCAGACCTTACATTCTAGTGAATGATACAAATAATAAGAATAATAAAACGTTCTATATGCCAGTGATAAGTATTCAGAAGAAAAATAAAGCTAGGAATAAATGGAATAAACTGTGGATGTTTGTGTGTGAGTATGTGTATACAGAGGAGAAATTTGCAATTATCGATAGGGTGACTGGGGAAGACCTCAATGAACAAATAACATTTGAGTAAAGACATAAAATAGATGAGGATGGAATCATGAAGGTATTTGGGGAAGTGTGTTCTAAATACAGTGAGTAAACAGGTAAAGCACCCTGGAGGCAGCACATGCCTAATGCCTTCAAAGAGCAACAAGGGACCGGGATAGTGCGCATGAACATAGGGGAGAACATAGGGGTGGGGGCGGTTAGTAAAAGATGCAGAGAAGTAATGAGTTTACTGTAAAAGCCCTGGCTTTTACTGTGAGAAGAGAGACCACTGAAGGATTTGAGAAGAGGTTCGTATCCCATGATCTGACTTACGTTGTTAATAGACAATCTCTCTGCTATGTTGAAATAGACTAAAGGGGAAAGGGTAGACCAGTTAGGTCTTTTTACATCACCATCTATCTGTAAAATAAATTCCTTTGGGCTCTTAAAAGTTCCAAGAGTTAGAACTGTTCCCATCCGTTGGCTGGACTCATCCGAGGGAAAAAGTCAAGAGAGGGTCTAGAACACAGAAGCCCACAATTGAAGTGACATTATCTATTCCTATTTCCACAAAGTCAGAGTCCATTGCCTTAGTTCCTCTACCATTCCTGAAGCAATAGGGAACCCTGACAATTTGGCCCCTCTCAATAACCCTTTTTTTGACCTCTGTATCTTATGTTAACTTGGTTTTGCATCTTCAATTTGTTCTATTCGGGATATTATAGAGCAAGGTTTCTTGCTTCATGATTTTGCTTCATGGTTGCCTGGGATAATTATTGGAAATACATATTCTTAAACTGTCTCCAGATCTGGAGGGTCTTGAGAATATGTTTTTTAAATGAACTCTCCAGGTAAGTCTAAAGTGCACTACAATTTGAGAAACACTGTTATAGATTATGGGTCTAGTAGATAAAAGTATTAAAATGCAGCTATCTTTATTTTCCAGATTACTACTCAGACAGGCACTATATACTGCATTTTTTCCTCTAATGATTATCTTCAGTCCTTGATTTTATGTACAAGAAATTTTGACACAAAATATAAAAGGAAACATGATATTTACAGATAAGATTTTAAAAACCTACATTTTTACAGTAAAAATGGACATTTTTTTCTGATTATACAAATAACACATGCTATTGAGTAAGGAAAATGGGGTACAAAATTTCAGTTATCAAAAAAATAAGTTCTGAAGCCCTACCATGCAGCATGGTGACTATAGTTAAGAATATGGTATTGCACACTTGAAAGTACCTCAGAGTAAATATGAAACATTCTCACCACAAGGAAAAAAATTTATATAAAGTGATAAGTATGTTGATTATATTGATATTGGTCATCATTTCACAATGTATATATGTGTCAAATCATTATGTTGTATATTTCAAATATGTACAATTATATTTGTCAATTATTCCCAATTATTTTTCAATAAAGTCCAAACACACAGACACATACACATATACACTCTTGTAATTGAAACTACAAAGTACAAGGCAGAAAGTAGAAGTCACCTAGGATCCCAGAACTCTAAGACAATCAGCATTTGTATCATCTGAGTACCATCCCTTCATATATCTCTTTATACCCAAAACATACAATCCATAAAGACGGTAATATACTAAAATAATAAAATACAATAAAAGTAGTGATATTTTATTGTAGACATTATTTTCTAATCATGGTATTTTTTATTCCATCCCTTTTCCCGATCATATGATCATATATACCACATATTGAAATAGGTATTTCTCATTTTTTTAAATAAAAATAGGATCCTAGATAAACATTTTAGGCATCTTGCATTTTTCATTTAATGCATATTATAGAATTTTCTCCATTCAGCTGGTGTAATTCTTACGCATTCTATTTAATGTCTAATAATCGCTTATTTAATCATTCCCCTAGGATGAATAACTTTAGTTTTTGTCATTATAAACAGCCTTGCACACAAACCTGTAGGTACTTGTGTTTTTATTTTTGTGAAATAAATTATCACCAATGGGATTGCTGGGATAAAGAATACATGTATATACTGTAAATTTTAATAAATACTGCTATAGTGAATTCTGAAAAAGGAGAGATAGTTATCTTTCCACCAGAATTGTATGGAAGTAATTTTACCTTTATCTACACTAGCCAGAGGTAGAATCATTAAAAAGAATTTTGCCAACCTGAGAAGTGTGAGATAATATTGCATCCTGGATTGAATATGTGTTTTCTCGACCACTGCAGTTCTTTGAATGCTTGTATTTCCTTTAGTTTAAGCCTTTTCCTAAAAAACTCTTTATTGTTCATTTTAATTTTTTAATCTTTAAATTGCTTTATCATACTTTTTTCTATTTTTACTAAGAACCCTTTGATATTTTAGGCGCTTATCTTTTTTCCTGATATCCTTCATAAATTACTGCTTATATCTTTTACATGTTTCTACCTCTTTATACCTTTCAATGTTTTTCCTAAACTAGAATATGAGTATATACATCCTTAGAATTTTTAAAAATGTATATGTATATTTCTTATGTTTAAGCTTTCAAGTGATAAGGACTTTAATTTTGTATATGTTTGGAGATCCAGCTTTAATTTTCTTACAGTTATTCTGACATCAAAATATATTATTTTGTTTATTCATTTCTGGCTTAAACATTCTGACATTTCAATTATTAACCTGGGATATTTCTACATTCTAACATTTCAATTTTTTCCATTTTGCGGTTTTCAAAAATTTGAGCATTGCCTTCAGTTTTCTCTAATCTCTCACTAGCTGCTTCCAGCCCCCCACATGCAACGCTATCCCAATGCCCTAGTTCCAACATTTTACCCCCTACCACTGACTTCTGACTGTCTCTCTACTGAGGAAAAATGACACTCCTACAGTGTGTCAGACACTCTGCTAAGAAAGAGTTAATGACAAGATCAGAGAAAAATGATATGCAATGATGACTCCAATAAAATTACAGTGAGAAGGAAGAACCAAAAAGAAGGCAGTACAGAGATCAGTAATGGCTTAAATGCTCAACAATTACTGGAAAAGTTGTTGGGAAACTTCAAGGATTCTTGAGGGCTCTAATCCCCATTCAGGTAATTGAGTGTTTGGCCAAGTAGCAAATTCTTTTGTATTACAAAGTTTTCTAGGATACCTGATTCTTTGGTTCTTCTAGAACATCCTCCCCTCCTTTCTTTCTTCCCTCCCTTTCTTCCACAGAATGAAGCAAACTGCACCGCTGCCTCCCCTGTGGGTAGAAAACTGTAACTCATGGAAGACATGTACAAAGAACACTCAGACTTTCTTACCTCCTGTTGCAAAAATAATGTAAAGTGCAAAGTCCTGGGCACTGTTTTCAATCTGTCAGTAGAAAAAAATGAACAGACATGAATTTTTTGTTGTCATATGATGTTTTCTAAGCCAACCAGACCCAAATAGGTATCAATCTTCTCACATCCATTTTTTACTTTTAGACATAAAACCTTCTCTGCTCCCTGGGAATAATGTAATTTCTCCGGGCACAATTAATAAAAGGTGTCATACATAGGAAAGAATTCTTCAGAACTGAACATTGAATTTAGATTTACATGTTCGTAGGTCTTTTTCAGAAGAGAGAATTTATGTGTCTACAGTTAAATTATATACAAGATATTTATACCTCAGTTCAGTCATAAAATTACCTTAAATTTTTGAAGAAGTTGCTTTATTACTTCTTCAGTGTTCATGATACTGTTTACTCTGACCTTAGTTTCTGATCCAAAGGATGGAGTGAAAATTGATGTCTTAAAAAAAAAAAGACATATGTCTTAAAATTACAGCAAGGTTACAACAGTTAATATTTTGAAACTGGCCTTCTTTGGGCAAAAGAAATAAAATAAAATAAAAATCTAAGATCACCAGTATAAAAAACTTGTTTCCTTGTTTTTGCTTTCTTTGTTGTTGTTGAGTATCATGTCTCCTTGTAAGTGGCCTTATATTGTTTCTAGAGTAAATTAGGTAAAACATAATTTGGCCATTTTCAAAATATTTTCACCAGATAATCACACCACTTTTTAGCATAATTTAAGATTTCAAAATAAGTTAACTGTTATAATTACACACAATTGGTAGGAATGCAGATTGATGCAGACATTGTGAAGAGCAGTATGGAGATACCTAAAAGTTAAAAATGGATCTGCCATTTGACCAAGTGATTCTACTTATGTGAACATATCTAAAGGAATCTAAAGCACTGATTTGAAAGAACATAAGCACCCCTATGTTCATTTGCAGCATTATTTACAATCACCAAGATATGGAAGCAGCCCAAGAGTCCATCAGTAGATGAGTGAATAAAACAACTATGGGACATAACAGAATACTACTTGGCCATTAAAAAAATAAATCTTACCCTTTGCGACAGCATGGATGGAACTGGAGAACATTATACTAAGTGAAAGATGCCAGTCAGAGAAAGACAAATACCATATGATTTCACTCATATGTGGAATCTAACGAACAAACTGAACAAGGAAAATGGGGACAGAATCATAGATGGTGAGCAGGATAACAGCTAGTATGCGGGGTAGTTTAGGGGGTGGAGGGACTAAGCGAGAAGGAAAACTAACTCATGGACATGGACAGAGTGTGGTGATTATGGAGGGGTGGGGGGTTTATGGGGACTAAATGGTAATGAAAAAATACAATAAAAGAATGGAAAAGAAATAGAAAAACATTTTTTTTTAAAAAGTGAAAAAGTTGAGTTTCCAAGATAAAAAGAAAGAAAGAAAAAAGAAAGAAAGAAAGAAAGAAAAGAAAAGAAAAGAAAAAAGAAAAGAAAAGAAAAGAAAGAAAAGTAACATGAACAGGCTTTTTCAAACTGACGTGCCACACTTTCCTCCTGCACAGAAATAATTGTTTTTAGTTTGAACCATATGAAATCACTCCTTTTTGATTGGTCATAAATGATCCGATTTTGGCAATTTCTTATGGTTCAGGTTATATCTCAGCTGAGGATTGAGGTAAAAGTGCTACCACTTGAAGCTCTAGAACAATATGGGGTCTGTTCAGAAAGCATTCAGCCATATATTATAAAAATAGAGGCACTTATTAAAGAAGATACAAGATACAAGAAACATTGTACATAGGACAACGATGCCTCAGCCCCCTTCAAAGTAGGCATCTGGCCTCACACAGTTCTTCCAGTTGCCATCAGCTCTTTGGTTGTATTTTCATGAATCTCATTGACGGTCTGAAATCTCTTCCCTTTCAAAGGTGATTTTAGTTTTGGGAAAAGCCAGAAGTCACAGGGCAAAAAATCTGGGCTATAGTGGGCTGAGTCATCTGGGTGATTTGCTGTTTCACAAAAACACTCTGCATGAGATGTGATACATGAGCAGGTGCGTTACTGCAATGAAGCTGCCAATCACCAGCTGTGGCCTTCTGAATCCTGCAAATAGTCTCCACAGAGGAATGTTCAAGCCTAATACAAAATTTGATGCAAATTCATTGCTCTACTTGCTTAGTCATTGTGAATTTGATGGCCACACAGTACACGTGCTAACTTAGTGGCACCTACCGTCCCTACTGACTAGTACAGTGAAGTTGTCATTGTTCACACATGCACTTTCCAGTCCATTCCCCTTGGCTACCAGGTTACATCAAGGTCACACAAATAATTCTTGTTATATTAATAATGGCTGGGCTTTTTTGGACAGACCTTGTATGATTCGATATCTTCATAGAATTTGTCAATAGAACTAGATTAAGATTCAGGAGACCTAGTGTCTACTAATTCCAACTTTCTCAACTCACTTAAAATTGAGAACTGAAGGAGCCTCAGTGATTTCATTTATAAAATAAGAGAGTAGGACTAGAGGATCTCTAAGACCTTCTCATGTGCCTACATACAGAATTTGAAATAATGTTTTTCAGAGTTTTATTTTACAATAACATTCTTTATATCAGTTTTGTTGGCCAAAACATATAATACAATCCTATTAAAAATTATTTCTTATTGCATGGATAGAAATATAGTACAGGTCAAGTCATATTCATAACTTATCTACAAATATCACAGTATAAGCTCTAATGTGGGTGTTATCCACAGGCTAACAATATTGGCATTATTAAGAAGTTTCATGGTATAAAAACACATTTAAAGACTAAATCAAGTTTATAGATGCTCATAATTACATACCCATTGATAGAGTGCTTTGGGTTTTGGGGTTTTCTTTTTCTTTTTCTGTTAGTTATTAGTGCATGACATTTGTATAAAATACTTGCAGTCCCAGCTTGATCTCTTTCAATCAACAACAATAAAGGTAATGTAAATTGAGTTCTTTTCTTCCCTTGTGTTAGGCACTGTGCTTAACTCACCTTTTTTAAATTTAATCCCATCAACAACTTTGTGACAGAGGAAGGATGAAGAAACTAAGGCTAAGAGATTGAGTAAATTTTTAACTTTGCTCAGCAAGAATTTGACATCAGGTCATCAAGCTGACACTCGAGCGCGCTGACTCATTGAACCACTGTACACACAGCTAACTTAGTGACAATTTCATTTTTATCACAGGAGATCCCCTATGGAAGCCAATCATTTGGTACAATATGACTTTCACAGCTTTCTTAAAGAAACACAGGTTAACACAGGTCACCTCACAAGATGACCACACACAGCATAATTCTGAGAAGAAACCAGTGAAATCTGTAGCTGTACATGGTTGGGCACTGTCTCAGTTACTTTGTGGCCAGGAGGATAACTCTTGAACAACAACAACAACAAAGTCTAGTTTGAACAAAGAATTCAGATGAGAGGTTTGTTCCCATCAGCCTCCAACGGCACCAATACTGATAACCTCACAAGGATGGAAGAAGAAGGAATAAGGTAAAAAGGCCTACAGAAAAATGCTTAAGATAAGTAAATCAATGTTTTGAATCAAAGGGCTTAGAATAGTGCCTGGCACAGGGTAACTACCTTTGAAGTATTTGTGCCATGAATGGATGAATAATTGTTAAAATACATGACATGAAAAATATTTGTTTTAGAAAAATGGTATGTTTTCTACCTTCAGTACAGTGAAATGTCTTACAAATAGCATGGAAAGGCACATGTAAATTAAACACATTAAGTGAAAAATCAGAATACAAGTGATACCTAAATTACAGCTACATTTGTATAAAAAATGACGTGTGATTGTGCAAGATCTGGAAGAGAACATACAAAATGAGACCTTTGATTTATTATAGTAAATAGAACTTTTGAGAAATTTAAATGTTACTTAAATATTAATGTTTTATGTACAATTTTTTTTTTGCCCATGTCCTGAGCTCCTTCCTGGCAGGAGCATCAGTGGATTCATTTTTATATTTCCAATGCTTGGCACAGTACCTGCCACTTAGATAGGGTTCATCCATCATCTAAGAATTTGGGTTCTGGAGTAAGACAAAGCTGCGTTCAAGTTCAAAGTTACTACTTAAAAGCAGTGAGACCTAAGACAAATGACAAATTGCTTCACCTTTGTGAATCTCAATGAACTCACATGTAAAGAAGGGAAAATAATGGCCACTACTTCATAGTATTGTTACAGTGATTAATGAGGAAATTCATCAAAATCGATTTAAAACCTAATACACAGAGAATATGCAGCCAATATTAGATATACTAGTACTGTTGTTATTGTTAGCCTAATAGACAACACTATTTTAAATGACACCAATAGAATTATAACTCACTTCATGGTTATAGAAGTGTCCATTAATAGAAGCTCTATGTCTCTGTCTGTCTTTTCGGTCCATCATTGGAGGCTTCGTCCTTTTTCTCACCAGGGCTGCTTCACTCATGGTCCTATAGAGCAATGGAGATTTTGGCTCTTCATCTGCATGAGGCTTCAGAGTGCTGCTGTGATAAAATAAATAATCTGGGAAGAATAAAGATGATAAGGCCATATCATTTAGCCGCCCACCTCTTTGCATCCTGGGTGGATTTGTATATATATTTAATAAGTAAATATGTAGTTCAGCAACGGTCTCTAATGCTTTGAAACAGTGGGAAAATGGCAATGTTCTCATGTAGGAAGAGAGCCTGCTGCTGGGAGCTTACCTAAAGACTTTAAATAATTTTCTATTGTAAATATAAGATAGTTCATCTTCCTCTAGCACTGGTCCTAAAATACAGGTAGATTTTTGTGTTATCTTTGGTGTCAAGATATTGAGATTCTGCTAGATTTAGATGACAATTTTTTTCCAAGTGGTTAATTGAAAAGATCCTTATCTAAAAGATGTCAAGAGACCATAAGACAAAGATAAGGGAATGCTGGAAGAAACACTCTGTTTGTTACAGAATATGGTTTGTTACAGTGACAGCAGAGGAAGCTGAATTAATAATAGTTTGGGAAAAAAACAGCTAAACAACAGAAGTTTTTGGTAGACTCAGGAAGATAACCCCAAAAGGAACCCTTGTTCGGTATGAAGCCAGCTTGTTAACATCACTACCCAGGAACATAACCCACCTCCGTCTCAGCCACCTTCCTTCTTGGATCTCTGCATATTCATAAAAACAAAATCCATGTAAAATACAGTATCACACTGGACATTTAGTAGAGTTTCAACCAGTGATAATCACTGATGTTATTACATCACATAATTATTGTTATAACTACTGATGTTACTTGTTATAGAAGCTGGCATTTTCAATTGGTTTGGCATGGCCTGACATAAAAAACTACTGAGTATAATAAATGATCCTAATCCTTGAGGAAAATATTGAACAATTTTATGAACATAAACTTTGTTAAAGTCTCCCTAAAAATCTGGGTTCTGGAGTCATTCCTAAGTGACAAAATATAATTTTTAAAATCACTGTATTTTTAAATAGCTAAGTAACGTTCTTAAACATCATACCAGAACTACAGTGATTTAAGTCAGTGTGCTCCTATGAGCCTTTCTTAAAAACATAAAATAGTTTATTATGTAGTGGTATATAAACTGGTAAATTTTGGAGAAATAGTTATGATTTGTGCATTAAAATATCTTCATTAATAACTGTTTGACACTGACCTTCCTGGGGATTCATTGCTTCAGACACTGGAATCTGGTTCCTGTCCAGTTCACTAATATTATGAAGGTCGTCAAATTCTCCCCAGCGTGTCATTCCCCTGAAAAATAATAAGTCTTATAAATGACATCAATTTCATTTATTGTGAGGTCTATGATGTTTTTCAGACTTAGAGTATTTATATTAGTACTGTGGGCCTCTGTAGATAGATACATCATCCTAGTTTATAACAATTTTACATTATTAAAATAATATTTATACCAGAGTGCTAAGCATGTATTTTAAATACTTTATTTATTATAGACATATCTTGACACAATAATTCAGTTACACACTGAAACACAAGGTTATATATATTTTGTAAAATGCATGCGCAAATAGAATTAGGAGGAACCAACATAATCCATTGTTATAAGAGGCCTTACAATGCTCTTAAAAGAGTTTAGACACAAGTGTACATTCTTCCAACATGCACTGAGTTCCTGTTTTTTTTCTTCAAAGGATTGTAGGTAAAGCAGCTCCAAAATAGTAAGATGGTGCCCATCTTTTAGGCCTTGACTAGTATGAAGAATGCAATTTGCAAAGAATGAAGGTGTATGGAAAGTTCTTTCCTAGAAAAACATGATTTCTATGGATACTAACAATTGTCAATGCATTCAAATGCCTGGAATAAATAAAACTGAGCCACTGCTTATTTTTTCCATGTGAGCCAATACTCATCTTTTTTTTCTTTTTTTAAAAAATCTGGCCTTAGACAAGCTACTTATCTTCTATGTGTCATTTCTATAAAATGGGGATGATAACAGTATGGGCTAGGATAAGGTGGTTGAGAAAATTGAATTAATGTGTATAAAAGTCTTAAAACAGTATCCAACACATACTAAGCACCCAATATGTGTTAAATGATTATAATCATTCTCATCTTCACTGTCAACCTCATCATAATCGCCATTAACTGTATCTACTTCATGATGACCCAGAAACCATTAGAGACCCAACTTATTCCAGGATCTCTCTAGGTTAATGGATACTATTATTAATAGGACCAGCCTTAGTTTTACAAGTTTCTTTCAAAATGTCTATTTTCCTTATGACCAAAAAGTATTCACCCATAATGAATTTGTGGCATTAACTCTGGTAGAAACAAAAAAATACTTATTAATACTAGTGGTCAATGCCTATAAATTAATAGACATGATACATCACATAAAGTGAAGGATAAAAATCACAAGATCCTATCAATAGATGCAGAAAAAGCATTTGATGAACTCCAGCACTCATTTTTGATGAAAACACTCAGCAAGTTGGAATAGAGGAAACATACTTCAACAAAGGCCATAGATGGCAAACTCACAGCTAACATCATACTCAATGGGCAAAAACTAAAAGCATTTCCCTTAAGATCAGGAGCAAGACATATTTGACAAAGGAGGCAAGAACATACAACTAGTTAAAGCTAGTCTATTAAAAAAATGGTGTCAGGAAAATTGGACAGATATGTGCAAAAACACATGAAAATAGACTGCCTTCTTACACCATACACAAGAATAAACTCAAAATGGATTACAGACTTAAATGTAAGACCTGAAACCATAAAATCCTAGAAGAAAACACAGGCAGTAAAATCTCAGACATTTCTCATAGCAATATTTTTTTCTACTATGTTATCTCAAGCAGGGGAAGCAAACAAAAAATAAACAAAAGGGACTACATCAAACTAAAATCTTTTTGCACAGCAAACGAAAACAGCAACAAAATGAAAAGATAACCCTTGAATGGGAGAACATATTTGCCAATGATGCATTTGATAAGGGGTTAATTTCTAAAATTTATAAAGAACTTATAAAACTCAACACCAAAAAACAAATGACCCATTTTAAAAATGGGTAAAGGACCTGAATAGACACTTCTCTCCAAAGAGGACATACAGAGGGCTAATAAACATATGAAAAGATGCTCAATGTCACTAATCATCAGAGAAATGCAAATTAAAACCACCATGAGTTATCACCTCATGCTTGTCAGAATGGCTATCATGAATAAGTCAACAAACAAGAGTTGGTGAAGATGTGGAGAAAGGAGAACACTTTTGCACTGTTGGTGGGATTGATGATTGTTGCAGCCACTGTGGAAAGCAGTATGGAGATACCTCAAAGACTTGAAAATGGATTTGCCTTAGGATCCAGTGATTCCACTTCTGAGAATATATCTGAAGCAACCTGGAACACTGATTTGAAAGAATATATGCACCCTTATGTTCATTGTGGCATTATTTATAATAGCCAATATTTGGAAGCAGCTCAAGTGCCCATCAGTAGATGAGCAGAAAAAAAGCTGTGATACATTTACACAATGGAATACTATTGTAGTTGGTTGTAAAAGAGAAGGAAATCTTACCTTTTTCAACAGCATGAATGGACCTGGAGAGTATTATGCTAAATGAAATAAGCCAGTCAGAGATAAACAAGTACCATATGAGTTCACTTATACATAAAATCTAATGAACAAAATAAACAAAATAGAAACAGACTCATAGATACAGAAAACAAACTGACAGCTGTTAGAAGGGAGAAAGGTAGGAGACTAGGTGAAAAAGGTAAAGAGACTAAGAAAAAAAACCCTCATAGGCACAGACAACAGAATGGTGATTACCAGAGGGAAGTGGGGGTGGGAGGAAGTAGAAGAGGGTAAAAGGGGGATAAATGGTGATGGAAGGAGACTTGACTCTGGGGGAGGTGAACACATATTACAATATACAGACGATGTATTAGAGAGTTGTACACCGGAAACTTATATAATTTTATTAATCAAGGCCACCCCAATAAATTCAATAAAAATTTTAAAAATACTAGTGGTGGTAGATATGAAAAAACAGGATTTCTTTAACCTTGATTTTTGAATTACTTTGAAGTGTTTTTATAACTTTTATATTATCTGAGCCTCACAATAGCCTTATGAAGGAGATAAGGAAAATCTAATATATTTGTTAATTAATTTCCCAATGAACTCTACTACCTGGCAAAAAGCCAATCCAAGCAAATGTCATAATGTCCAAGAACTACAGGTAATAACTTTAACAAAAGGAGAAGTATTCAGATCCTGACTCAGAATCTAGTATTATTATGATAGATAAATTATCCATTAAATCTATAGATTAATAAACAAAGGAGGCAGATAAAATTATCATAGAAAATTGGGTAACAATTGAAGAGACAGAATGCCAAAGAAAAGCAAAAACTAAAAAGGCAAAGCAACCTCATTCTATTTCATAAGGGGAAATGAGATGCCTAAGAAGGCCAGAGCAGTGATGTACTGTAAGTTCCTGGAAACTCTAGCAGACTTGATGCCTGTTCTCACTTTCTTATAACTTAGTAGTTCCACACTACTACTAGGAAACAAACATGGCTCAATAGAGCAGTGATGTACTATAAGTTCCTGGAAATTCTAGCAGACTTCACACCTGTTCTCATTTTCTTATAACTTAGTAGTTCCACACTACTACTGGGAAACAAACATGGCTCAATATATGGAGTGTTTAACCCCTTTTCTTCCTATCATTTTAGGAGACTACCCCAGTTTTAGCTCTGGATTGTATAATTTGAAGTATCATGATATACGACTTTGCCCATGAGTAAGTTTGAGGTCAGTTACCCAGAGTTTTCTAAAGAAAACTGATTAGAACTCCATGTAATACCAATTATTTAAACTTACTCCCGATTGAGACTATTTGCACTGCTCTGACCAAGCTCTAGGATATATACCATTAGCAAATTTAACTGTGGGGAGGTTTTCTAATGAGTTTCAAAGAAAAAGGAGGTAGAAGTTTGATAGACAAATAGAATGCAGTCACTTCTCTACCCATATTGTAAGAAAGAAAAAACACTATTGATAACATTCAAATGCACACCTGTCCAGTTTTCGCCCTTTATTTTATTCTGCCATGACTAGTCCAAAATGGCCCAAAGCTGACTTTGGAAAGATATGAAAATAGGAAATAAAAACTGATTTAAGTACATATAATAAGCCTGTCTTTTTACAACAAAAGTTTTCAAAAGAAAATACATGGACCAAATATGAGAGATCAAAGTACTGTCTATAGATTTCATTCCATAAAAGATTAATTACAAGTGATCACAGATTAAACAAGCTGATTTATTTAAGCTTCTACCACTCCCATTAAACTGACACAGTGTGACTCATTTCAAATGTTATTAAAACAAACTGGTGTTCCAGCCAAGATAGCAGCATCAGGAAATGCACTACTCACCTTTTCCCACAACCACATCAAAATTACAACTAAACTACATAACAATCATCATTCAGAACTGCTTGAATGGAAGTCCTACGACTACAGAGTTAAAGAAGAAACTACATCAAGACTGGTAGGAATGGCAGAGGCATGGAACAGGCTGGTCTCATACCCATATGTGGCAGATAAAAATGGGAGGGATATCTTGGCTGCAGAGGTGTCCCCGAACAGTGAGGGATCCCAGACCCACACTAGGTCCCTCATCCAAGGTTCCATTCCAGGAATATAGGTTCTTATATGTTCTGTCTGTTAAAATTCAGCGGGGATTGAGACTGATGGAGATGGAGGGCTTCTGGCATCTTAGGCAGTTCCTCTTAAAGGCCTGTGCATGGACTTACTCAAATTCCCTCCCTCTGAGCTCTAGCACTGAAGCAGTAAAAGGCACCAAAGACATACAGGGAGAAATCGAATTGTCTGACATTAGCCTGGGAGCTGGGGGAGCAGCTTTCTCCAGGACTGAAGAGCTGGCAGAGTTTTACGAGTCCTCCCCATAACAGAGCTCTCCGGCTGGTGTCATATCTAAGTCTCCATGGACCTGGTTCACACTGTTCACCCACTCTGGTGATTTCCTGAGACCCTATACCTCTGAATTTTCAGGCCCACCCAAGCTTTTGTTACCAGTGTCTTTTCCATATAAATGGCCTGTCTTGACTCATGCTTCAGACTTTCCTGAAATTTCTCAGACAAGGAATATCTGGCCTCAGTGTGCCCCATACCTCTAGCTAAGTGAACCCAGCCCTGGCACTAGCAGCAGCCAGCCTTGGTTTGCAGCTTGGCCTTACCTTGGCACCTCCAAGCCCAGCACAAGTGGCAGCCATTTGCAGATCACTTTGTAGTTCATGCACAGTGGCCCCAGGCAGAACATAGGCAGTGGTTGACCTTGGCCTGCACCTCCCAAGAGTTCCCAAAGCCAGTACACCCAGTGGACATGTTCAGACCACACAACCACCTCCACAAATGACACACTCAAGGGGTAGACTCAGTGGGCACCAGAGCCTTGCTGAAGTAAGTTCTGCTCTGTGGGGTAGACCTCTGCACAGCTCATGCTCTACACTGAGCTCCAGCTCTGGGGAAGTAGCCTGAAAGGCACCAGAGACACACAGGGTGGTTGGTATTCAGTAGTCATAGTCATTCTTTGCAGCTAATTGGCCTGCAGGTAAATCCCTGCCATTGATGTACCAACAGTAATCAAAGTTCAACTAAAATAGGAGGGTGTATATGGTCCACATAGGGGGAAAACCCGGAGCATCCTGTTTTGGTGATCAAGGAAGGCTGTGCACTGGACCCTACGGAACAACTAGTACATTAGGTCACTCTACCAAGCCTGGGAGACATAGCAGCTCCACCGAATACAGAGAAACACACACAGGAGGCTGCCAAAATGAGGAGACAAAGAAACACATCCCAAATGAAACGACAGAACAAAACTCTGGAAAAGGAATTAAACAAAATGGAGATAACAATCTACTAGAGGCAGAACTCAAAACACAGGTTATAAGGATAAGGATGCTCAGTGAACTTAGTGAGAACCTTAACAGCATAAAAAAAGATGAGTCAGAAATGAAAGACGCACTAATTGAAATGAAGAATAATTTATAGGGAATTCAAGAGTAGGGTAGACGAGCAGAGAATCAATCAGTGATTTGGAATATAAGGAAGCAAAAAGCACCCAATCAGTATAGCAAAAAAAACAAACAACCAATCCAAGAAATGAGGATAATGTAAAGAGCATCTGGGACAATTTCTAGTGTACCAATATTCACATCATTAGGATGCCAGAATAAGGAGAGAGAGAGCAAGGAATTGAAAATGTATTTGAAAAAATGACATAAAAATTTCATAACTTGGTGAAGGAAATAGACACACAAGTCCAGGAAGCACAGACAGTCCCAAATTCATATCTTGTACAGTTCTCTAAAAGCAAGCCTGATGGGTAATTTCTCCTTTTCAATGATGCTCCTACTCATTGGGAATCAACCCCATTGGTCATATAATAAGTGAAGGTGAGGGATGCAGGGTTTCATCAGCCTGCCTAAGCCCGTGGTCTCCCTTCCACTCTTCCATAAGTCCTGGACTCTTTGCCCCATGGCAGTCCTTAGCTTGGATGAAAGACTAGTCAGAAGTGGCATATGTACAAACAGTTCTCACAACAGAGCGGAAGTAATTTAACAACCAGGCTTCTGGGGGTTTTGTTTGATACTATATTTTGAGTCCCTTCTTTGTGCCAAGCACGCTGCCAAGCACTGGGGTGGCAATGATGAGTAAGGCATGTTTGGCATTCTCCTCATGCTCAAGGAGCTCACAGGCTAGTAGGCGGAGGTACACACACCAATATAATTAATAGCATGCTCTGAAAGTGATATAGAAAAGTCGTCAGTGCACCTGGTACGGACTGAGGGGTCAGGAAAAGCTTTCTGGAGAGTGTGTTATCTGACCTGAGTCTTAAAGTGTTGGTAGAAAAGAGTCAGGCAAATGGGTGTGGAGAAGCAGGTAGACTTCTAGGCAGAGTCAGTAAAGTAAGAAACTGTATGTTAGGCATAGGGAATTATAAAATGTTCACACTTGCCAGAGCACCATGTTTGAGAAAGATCAGCAAGGTACAAATCATAGTGGGGCTTCAGTGTTTTCTTCAAAGGAAAAACAGAACTACCCTTAAGGCAATATCTGGTTTTTCCTGATTATGCGCAAAGATCAGATTGGGGAAATGGCCATAGCAGCTCTCTTCCCACCCTACCCTCTGCCAGAACTCTTGCCCATCTACCTGTGGATGGGAGGATGGATGAGGTGAAGGTTTACTACCTTCACATGCACACAAAAGAGAGATGAATTGCAACCTCAAGGATTGAGGAAGGGAGGTTGTATGATAGATTTCTATTACGTTTTTTTTAAAGGGATATCCATACTGTTTCCATAATGGCTGCACAAGTGTTCTCTTTTCTCCACATCTTCACAAGCACTTGCTATTTGTTGATTTTTTGATAATAGCCATTCTTATGACTACAGATGTTGAGCATCATGTGTCTCTTGGCCTGTTGTATGTCTTTGAAGAAATGTCTTTTCATGCCCTCTGCCCATTTTTTGATCAGACTGTTTATTTTTTATTTTTGTTATTGAGTTGTATGATTTTTCTTATATATTTTGGACAGTAATTCCTGATCAGATATAATATTTGCAAATATATTTTTTCACTTTGTAATTGTCTTTTTATTTTCTTGATGGTTTCCTTCACTGTGCAGAAGCATTTTAGTTTGAAATCCCACTTGTTTATTTTTTCTTTTGTTTCCCTTGCTTGAGAGGTATTATACAAAATGGTATTACTCAGAATTATATCAAATAGTTTATCACTACATTTTCTTTTAACAGTTTTATGGTTACCATACAATCCAGTAATTCTGCTTCTGGGTATTTGTTCAAAGAAAATGAGAACACTAATTTGAAAAGATATATATACCTCTATGTTCATAGCAACATTATTTACAGTAGCCGAGATGTAGAAGCAACCAGGTATCCATTGATAGAGAAATTCAAAAAGAAGATATACACACATGCGCGCGCACACACACACACACACACAATAGAATATTACTCAGCAATAAAAAAAAAGAATGAAATCCTTCCATTTATGAGAACATGGGTGGATGGACATAAAGGGTATTATGCTAAGTAAAATAAGCCAGATAAGTAAAGATAAATGTTGCATAATTTCACTTATACGTGGAATTTTTAAAAATGAAAAGAAATGGGCAAACAAAACAAAAATAAACTTATAGAAACACAGAATAAACTGACTGCCAGATGGGAGAGGGTTAGAGGGATGGGTGAAAAAGGTAAAGGGGACTATAGTCAATAATAGTGTTAAAAGATTGCACAGTGACAGATAGTTACTAGACTTAGTGTAGTGAAGTAAGTTATATAAATGTCAAATCAGTATGATGTATATTTGAGTCTAATACAATATTGTATGTCAAATATACTTTAATTAAAATTAAAATTATAAAAAAGGAAGAGAGGAAGGGAGAGAAGGATGAAGAAAACAGAAGAAAATATATACATATGACTGCTTCTAAGAATATTTATTGGTTTTTCTAAAAATTATAAAATAAAAAATCAGCCCAACTTAATTATTCAGGGTACAATTGCAGAGAACTGTTTTGTGCATTTACTGAGCTTCAAATGCACTTTGCTGCACTTTGTTGAACAGGGTCAGGACAATCAGGTGGAGCATAATTAAGTCACCTTTCCAAAAAGCAGAAAGAGCTCTTTGTTTCAAGAGAAATTTGAATTTTATCCTCTTTTTTTTCTTGCCTTTACATTTTGTCTTTTCCAATGAAGGGATGCAGTGTTCCAGGGAAGAAACAATACTACAGAGCGGTCAAGAGCACAGGCTCTCGAGCCCTTAGGCCTGAGGTTCAGTCCAGTTCAACTTAAATGGTGATTAGGGATCTTGTGTAATTTCCTACGCCTCAGAGCTCCGGTTTCTGAACCCTACTCCTAGAGTTGCAGAGGGATTAAATGACATTGTATATATGCATTTAGTAGAGGTCCCATCTTTAAGAGTGCATGCAATAAAAGTAAATATGAAGATTATCTAAAGAACTAAAAACATGAGTGATAGCTTACATTTTGGAACAGACATCTGGTGACTTCATAGTAAAAGAAGGGATTTGCTTCTCATCTTGTATTTTCAGCTGTATTGGCCGTTTTACTCCCCAGCAAATGTCCAACATTCCTTCAACAATTAGTTTATCATCTTCAGTCTAGGGAAGAAACCAATCATCTCAAACACCATTGTATTATTTATACAAGGTAGATGTTTTCACTGAAGATGTAGAAATTAAACATGTAAGACATCTTAATAAATAAAAACATAAATTTCCAAGTGGGATTATTTGATTTTTTAATTTATCTACAAAATAATTTTGTTTTTGAAAGTTTTTTTAATTTTTGAAAATAGCTATAACCAGCAAAGTCAGTCATAATGGTAATGACATGCCTATCAAAGGGCACAGTATGTTAATATGTTTCCTGAACTCCGTGATTCTTCAATTAAGTGAAAGTTTAATTCTCTAATTCTGTTTAACTTAAAATTCAAGTGGAATTAAAAACTGCACTAAACTAGAAATTGGAATAACAATTGTTGAGAGATTTAGTGGCTCTTTCCTCATTTCTGAACAGGAAAATTTTAACTCACAAAATTATTATGCAGAATGAGTGAAATAACATATATGAAAACAGTGTAAAATATAAAACAGAAATGACTTTTTGAATACAAATCAATAACAGATTTGAATAATGTCTCCTGAGTTGGAACTGTTATAATAAAAAAAGGAAACTCCATGCAAAGAAAAATTAGCGAACATCTATGAAATATTTACTTATTTAGTGGTTGTAAATATTAATACTAAAGCACATTCCCATAGAACTTATTTTGTAATCTATTTTTCTCTTGTTTATGTAAGTCTTTGTGTTATTAAAGTAATGTGTTAGTATTACAGGTGATTTGGAAAATATAGGAACTAAGAAGAGTCATATTCCAATCATCCAATAACTACTGTTATTATTGAAAGTCAATTATCACAAAACATAAATGACTCAATTCTTATTTAAGAGTGTAATGAAAACTCCAAACTCTGAAATCAGACAGGCCCGTGTTCAAACTCTGGCTCTGCAATTTCCTAGCTGTGTGACCTAGTTGCTGAAACCTTTAAATCTAGGCTGTTTCTTCAGAAGAACAAACATCATAATAGTCCCCAAATCACAGGACCTGGTATTTAATACCTGCTTAAAGAATATAATTACTTATTATTTCTTTGGCTGATAAACCTATGTTGGAGCCACTTCTGAAACAAAGTTTTGCTTTTTCCCACTTTTGAGTTTATATTTCAGATTACTGAGAGGTCAGGTTACTAATAGTTGCTTTTAATAACCAAACATAATTTGTTCTTTGAAATGGCAGTACATGATGCAGATACTACATTTCAATTATCGATGTATAGCATCCTTTCTTTGCCTAATTAAAATTCAATTAATCCCTTACATCAAACATTCAAAGAGTAACTACCCTTTTGATGCTATGTAATTCTTTCCTGATTAACCAAAGAACATATATGCATAACTCAAAGACAAAGACAATGGTGTGTGATGGCCAGAGGGAAGAGGGGGTGAGGGCTGGGTGGAGGAGGGCAAAGCGGGGAAAAATGGGGACATCTGTAATAGTGTCAATAATAAAAATAAAGTGAAAAAAGAAGAAATATTCCAATATCACATAAGGGATATCAGAATGTTTTCTAATTTCAGGAAACATGTCTTTGCACATTAATTATACCTGAAGACTTATTTATACTTATATAATTTCCTTGTCCCAATACGTAGGTCGCTTCTCTTCCATATCTACATGAATATCCTTGGTGATTTCAAGGATCCTTATATGCCATCTCTAAACAAATAGCTGCCAACTTTGTATCTCTAGCCCAAACCTCTCCCTTGAACTCCCATTGTCACACTGCCAGCTTGACATCAAACTTAATCTGTTTCTAACTAACTCATGATAGTTCTTCCATCAATATTTTCTTCTCCCAGTGTTTCCCATCTTGGTAAATAGCACCCCCACCCTTCTAGTTTTTCAGGTCAAGAATTTTACAGTCATCATTTATCTTTCTCTCATACTGAACATTCAATGCAAATTCTACAAACTCTACCATAAAAATATATTCCTAATATAACCACACTTACCACATCCACTACCATGATTCTGGTCCATGCCATTGTCATTGATGACAGATTATTTCAAGTTTCTGGTTTACCTCATTCTTCTCCTGCTCCCTTCATACATTCCCAGTAGCCTGAGAGAGCCTTTACAAAGAACCCTTTCAGATAATCTCACTGTTCTATTCATAACTCCCTAGTGGCTTCTCATCTTATTCCAAGTAGAAACTGATGTCTCCACAAGACCCTACATATTCTTGTACCTTCCCCTCCTCAGTTATCTGTCTACTAGTTCCCATTCTCACAAGGTTCCTGCTGTCCAGGCTCAAAATCTTTATTTGTGCTGTTCTTTCTGCCAAAATGTGTGTCCCACAGACTTCTACAAAGTTTGCTCCCTCACATCTTTCAGAGCCTTTGGTCAAATGTTCCCCTTTCCCTCCCCACTTAGGTTCCAGAGCCTACTTGCACTTGGGTGTTTCCCACAGCCACCATCAACATCTGACATGCTGTACATTTTACTTCTCTTTCTTGCCTTTCTATTAGGATGTAAACAGCATGAAGGCAGAACATTCTGTCTAGTTTATATTTTTTTAATGCTATGGCCCCAGCTCATAGAACAGGGGCTTGTACGTGGTAGACAATCAATATTTGTTTAACTCATTAATCAGAGTTTAAGAAAGCCACGTTATCCTCCATGGACTGCCCCTTTTAATGTCATTGTAAGTCGGTCAGAAGTCAGAAGATTTGCAAAATTCTGTATTCTAACTTTGCTGACCAGTGAGTAAAGATGGAAAGACTAAAAAATCTGATATTCTCACTGTATACTTTACTTCACATAGTTTTAAAAAATTATGTAAGACATGAGATTTTATTTAAAAATTAAGTGACTTTTTGATTGTGAATTGAGTACTAATTCACAGGTTTGGAAAAGGCCTGCCTCAGCTTGTCTGTTCATAACATCAAAATCCAAACAAACATGTTCCTAAGGATAACAAACATCTTAACATCATGAGTTTTGTGAAAACTATTAAATAAAATCTTAATCAGCATTTTCTTAAAATTTTGATCTTTTCTTAAATTTTCTATTTTTTATTAATTATGGACATTAGAGATCTAAGATATAGGCCAATATTAAAATAATTTAAAATTTGGCCCACTTCTTTTTAAAGGGATTAGTTATTCTGTATATTATATTTGGGAAGATAGTTGACATATCCAATTGAACTCAATTATTTAAGTTCATTAGTAAACAACAGAGTGGTTTGTAAACATCCAACTGTCTCAGCTGCAGATTTAAGCCAAAACATGGTGGCCTAAAGTCAATGTTCCGCCATCAAATTTGAAGATATAAAACAGAATATTAGAAAATTATAATGATCCCTGGGACCAAGAAGATATTATAAAGATGGAAAGTGAGCGGCATTAGAATAAAAGACTGAGTGGAGAGACACGCGAAAAATGAGGCAGTCAAATGAATGAACGATCAAAAGAAAGAGGAAAAGAAAAAAAGAGAAAAAGAAGGAAGACCTAAGGCCAGTGTGCACGGTAGCCTGTCAGTTGCACCCTGAAAATGCTTTCTAGCTTCGGAACTGTACTGAATTGTTTCTTTAACATTTTTATTATGACATGGTATGCATTCATTTTAATGTTCTTTCATTTTAACAACCAAATCAAACTATGTTACAGATGTGTCATGATTTATTTGAGCAATTCTCCATTAGTAGAGACTTAACATACCTTCAATTTTTTCCTATTACAAATGGAAAATCCTTCTGTTTACATCCTGGTGCATTTATAAGATAGTATTAAGATAGATTTCTAAAAGAATTGCTGTTCAAAAGATATTCATACACTGTTTTTAAAGTGGAGAGCAGATATGTCATTAAAGTCATTTTAAAATACTTTCTTATTCACCAAAGAATGCTTAGGAAGTCACAGACGTCCCAGGACTGGAATTTTTGTGATACACTTTAAAAAATTATGACCAAGTTAAAGATTAACCTGTTTCTCACAGACCATTTGTGCTGCTGGCTTATGGACTCCACCCATCCTGACTCCTCTGTATCCTCACGGATTTTTTTTCTGTGAATCAACTGTATTTCATTTCCTGATGCACTTACCTGACCATAGGAAATATGCAGATTTTTCTGGTTCTTATAAAAAATGTTATAGGTCTTCAATAAAGAATTAAGTTGCTCCCTTAAAAAAAGAGAAAGTTACATTCAGTTACAATTAGTCTTTGGCTCCTTAAGAGTGAAAGGCTGTGATGGTGCTTCCAGGTCATAAAGATATGAGATGGAAGGAAATGGTTCAATGGGATTTTACTGTTCTGTCATTTTAACGTAATGTAAGTCATTGAAAACTGAAGGCTTCTTAGGACCCAAATAAATGTTAAAGCTGCTAATTCATAAATGAGTAACCAAAGAACGGACACGGCTGAGGACAAAAGTGGTGAGAAGAGGGTTCTATAGCAGAAGGCAGCTGTAAAATAGAGATTTGGTTTTGTGTTCCTTTTTTGTTTTGCAGCACTTAACCAACCTAAGTGAAGCACCTAGTATTTGCCCCGCATTATGCTATCTATCTGGGGATAGAGCAAAGGTTCAGGAAGGGTCCCCACCCCTGAGTGTTTGCCCCTGTGTGGCACGTGGGCTCTGAAGGTGGGGGCGGGGGAAGGCTGTTTCCTGCCACACCTCCATCCTTTCGTCTGTGCCTCCCCAGCTCAAAATGCTTATCTGACCTACTCTGTTGGTCCAAGCTATTGTCTCTCACCTGGATTATTGGAAGTTTCCTGAAAGCCTCCCTGTATCTGTTTGTCTATTTTCAACAGCAGGAGTTATTTTAGTGTACACTTGATTATATCTCTCTTTTGTTCAAACTTCTCATTATTAATGCCAATAGCCCTCCAATGATTTCAAAGGCCAGATGTGACCTTCTCTGCTGTTACACCTTTGATCTCATTTCCTGGTTCTCTCTCCTTCACTCACTACTCTCCAGCCACTGGCTGCCTTGATGTACCTTGAACATTCTAGGTGCAACCTGATCCCAGGGCCCCTGTACTTGTTGATCCCCCCGCTCTGCCCAGGGTGATCTTCCCCCCAAACCATCACAATGTTAGCAAGCTCATTTTTCAAAAATATTTACTCAAAAGTCATCTTCTCAAGGAGTCTTTCTTGACCACCCAGTCTAGAAGTTTTCCTTCTCAAATGTTCATATCCTGCTTCCCTCTTTGCTTCTGCTGCTTAGATACCACTTAACCTTGTATATTTTACTTATATTCTTGCAATAGATAGTTATATATTCCTATATATTATAAGAATATATATTTTTATAATAGTGTCTTATATTTTGTCCCCCACCCCTGCCACTAGGCTATACGTCCCTGAGGGCAGACATGTCTCTATGTTTTGTTCACACTCTGTTTCATGTGCCCAGAAGAAGGTCTGGCACACAGTAAAAACTCAACAAATGCTAGCCGAATGAAGTGAGCAGAGAAATTTTTGTTTCTAAAACTACAAAACATACTGAAGAAAAGGAAAAAGGCTTTTTAAAAAATATATATATAGGTGAATTTATGTGGAAGAAATCTCATGATATCAAACTTCCAAATATATCAACAACTAAAGTCCCTTTGATCCTAAATATGTCTCTCTCCCACAAGGATCTTAGTTCCATGAGGGCAGGAATTTTGGTCTGTTTTATTCACTGCTGCCTTTGCAGTGCTTAGAACAGAGACTTGCTCATAATAAGCTGTTATTCAACAAACACTGAATATTGAACTACAGAATTCATGTATATTAATTTTTACATGTTTGAGATCACATTCTTCTTCCATTTGACTTTTTTCTCTTGTCATTTTTTTCATGTGCACATTCCCAAAGATCATTATGCTCCACATAATCACCACATTAAAAAAAGTTCTACAGAATTCTTGCAAGCTATCATTCCATTTCCCAACTGGGTTACTTTAGAATTTTAGTGTTAATAAATATTTCTGCTCTAAATATCAATGAGCACACTGATTTTGTGCCTTGGAGCCATTTCTGTGGGATATTTCCTAAAACTTATAGTACTGCTAAAGATCATAAACACTTTTATAGCTCTTATCATTGAGTGCCAGAGCAGCATACAGAAATTTCTGGTTCACTTGGGATGCAACTCCTGATATGCTGAGCTGTGAGAGTTGTTATTAAAGCAAATGAATTTTTACATAATCTTATTCCCTCGGCTTCTGTTTCTGATAGAACTGCACAATACGGTATAGTACAAATATCCTTCAAAGTATTTACCTCAGGATTATGTATAATTAGAAAGATTATTCTCTGGGAACAAGCTATTTGGAAAATGTTTCTGTATCTGAACAAAACATGACTAAATCTTCCTCCACAGAAATAAGCCTCCCAGTGACCCAGGGAACTGGCAAACTGTGGTCCTGGGCCATCTGTTTTTTGTAAATAAAGTTTTATTGGAATGCAGCCACACTAATTTGTTGGCTTGTTGTCTATAGTTGCTTTCCTGCTATAACTGCAGAGCTGAATCATTGTGACAGAAACCAGATGTCCCACAAAGCCTAAAATATGTATTACCTGGCCCTATACAGAGAAAGTCAGCCAAATACCACACAAGTCCTTTTTTTTTTTTACCACAGGCAGGATCTTTCTGACTATCAATGACACTTTGAAGGAATATTGGAGTATGGAAGAAGAGTAGAACAAGCTCAGTAAAATAGTGTTTAAATAAAATTATGTAGTTAGTGGTGCAATAAAATGAGGGGTTAGCAAAGAAGATTCAGAATTAGCTGAACAACTACAGCAATGGTGAGTGCATTCCAAATATTGAAAGATCATCATATTTTAATTGTATATTCCTGACCAGAGGGCCTTTTAAAGATGATCCTTTATACAGCTTATGAAACGATGGCTCTAATACAACACAATAAACCGTGGCTTGCAACATTCTGAGTACACTTGTTGGCATTAGGGGCACAAGGAGCTGAAGTGCTATTGTCAGATTGACCATCTGCTGATTCAAATCATGTCCTTTAACAGAACACCTGTACTAATGGTTGTTCATTCATACATTCACTGTGTGAGCACAATCAAGAGACCTCAGTCATATTCTGAGGGTGAGTGGGAACTTGGAGGACTAGATGTACAGCAAACTTTGCAGGGTAAGAATTAAACCAGGAAGGGATGAGGAGCTTACCAGGTAATATAAACATTAACAAGGACATGTAGCTCTTTCTAGAGTTGTGGAGAAAGCTCAAGGAGTTGAGATTCTATGTATAACATGTAAAGTGGGGAGTGGTGAGCAGTGAGCTGAAGAAGCAGAAAGGAACCTTGTGAACCATTTTAAGAAGCTTAGAATTTACCCCACAAGCAAAGGGCAGCTACTGAAGATTCTTAGCAAGAAAAACACATGAAGATGCTAAGGGCCACTAGGGAACTTAAGGAAAACATATTTCAGGACAGGACAAGATGCAGCAAGATGAGTGGGACCACTGCAAGAAGTGCAGGAACTAGGCTATGTTTCATGGAAAGGCGACCAGATGTCCCACATCTATGGAAGGGTCTACAGTCTAAAAGGGACTCAAAATAAGTATAGGGATTATATGGTTTAGGAAATCCAAAGGTAATCACCAAAGTGTTACCTAGGCAGCCCTAGTCAGGAAATGGGATACTGATTTAATATACACCGTGCCTTGTCAATGGTAATTGTAATAGATTTTAGGATACACTTAAATGTTACATATGGACCCCCTCAAAAAAAGAGAAAGACAACCCTTTTCTCTCACCCCCCAAATAATTCACCCAACCACAGCCAGAGTGCTTAGCAACTGTTGCCTTAACAAAACTATAAAATGGGTGAGAAGAAATGGATTCCACATCCAATCCTCTCAGTTTATAAATCTGTGGTATATAGAAGCCACTGGGATACCCAAGAAGTAGATGTGAGATTCAAACAGCCTGTACGTGGCATGTGTGATACATAAGAAATTGATTTTCTAAGATCTGGATGTTTTTTAGAAAACATCACACAGTACACAATCTCGATAGTGTTTTTACAAAACTAAGGGATGGCAAACTTCCATGTAAGCTGGACATCTAACGGCATGAACACAGAATCATAATCTTGCCCAGGACAGAAGCCAGCCCAGTGCCCTGGCAGTGCAGAGAGAGGATCCTGACGCTGACAGACACCCAGAATTTCTCATTATGCTTCCTGGAAGAGCGCTGGCCAGGGAGAGTCTTAACAAGGGTGAAAGGTGTAGAGGAAGGATGCAGAAGAGAGTCCAGGGCTCCTGTTCCTTTAAGGCTCCTAGCTCAGTTTTAATGAGTAATAACAGATCCAGCATTACATGTAAAATGCTTAGGTGTACTTTGCACTTTGTGGTCTGAATTGCAGCTGCTCAGCAGATGGGAATTACCCACATCCTGACGTTTGCTTTGAATGACAGGCTTAGCAAGAAATAAGTTCCTCAATCTTATCACGCTATTTAGCTGCCCAGGGCTGGGAGGGGGAACATTTTTATTGGATTTTATAAAGCTGTAATATGCATGGACATTGGACAGCATGATGTGTGAAAGTGAGTTATGTCCTGCACAGATAACATGGATGTCAAATATTAGTTGTAATAAGAATTATCTCTCTTGTTTTACTAATGATTTATGGCATAATTAAGTGGACACTGAATTCCTTTCCTGGAAACCAAAATTCCCCGTCCCATTCTTTACTAAGTGGTTCTTACAGTTTGGATTCACTGAAGGCCAATGAGAAATACTGTTGTATGCTGCATTCCAACGTGAACTTCAGAGACTGCCAAATGACACAAAATGAGCTTCAGAGGAAAATATAGCCGGACGTAGCCACCAAAGGTGTATTTGGCCGTGACTGTGCTTCCTGAGTTTCTGTTACTTCTGCCTCTTGGAGTCTTGCTGAAAAATGCTCAGGCTCCAAATCGGGCAGCCACTGAACTGCATCATGGCAGTGGGGCTGGGAACAACGTTCCGCTGCGTGCGTTGCCCTGTTTGAGAGCAGGGATCTAAACTACAGGAGTCTCTTCAGAGAGATGAAAAAACTGAGGCAGAGTTAAAATGCTAACTTGCTCTCTTACAGTTGTTTTTTTCCTCTGAAAAAGTACCTTCCCCACAAATGATTTTGTTCATAATGTTAAATTTTAGCAATGAGATTAATAATTGCAT